CGAGATCAGACACGAGACCAGACACAAGACCAGTTACAAGACCAGACACAAGACCAGACATAAGACCAGACACAAGACCAGTTACAAGACCAGACATAAAACCAATCACGAGATCAGACACGAGACCAGACACAAGACCAGTCACAAGACCAGAAACAAGATTAGACATAAGACAAGTAATGGGGTAAAAAATGACAACAGGATGATTGTATGGCAGTTCATTTTTATAGCTTGGGACTTGAATTCAGATCGTTGGCCTTGCGTTGTCTAATGGGGTCTCACCTACATGTACAACACTGCTAACTGTTGGCAAAGTTTAAACAGACTAGAAGTTCAAGGTTTATCTATGTCATGTACAGTATTGGGCTAAACTGGTCAAGATATCTGAAATCAACATCACTGTGAAAATGGTATTTTCTCTCAACAAAGCTCATCTTGTGGGTTTTTGAAACTATTCAAATCTCTGTTTATTTTCTGAAAATAAACTTTGACACTCTTCCCTGTCGGTTTCACCAAGGTGATGGTACTGACCTGATCTTTGGTGCCTGTTATGTAATGAATTCCATCAATTGTTGATGTTTTGATAAAGAGGCCCTGTAGGAAAGAGGAAATGTTGTCAAACCGTGGGGAGCAGGAGACGGAAATGTCCAACCTGTGCATCCAACTATTTCAACTCTGCCCATCAGTGCCCGTCCGTGTTTTTTCCAATATGGTTTAGAGCTCCACTAGTGATACCCTGATTTCCTGTTTCGTTTTGCAATAAACTGCCAATTTAGAACTCATAGGGAAATTCCAGTTTAAAGGTCCTTATGGCTTTGATCTACTTTCACAGACTGACTAAAAAGCTACGCTCCTGATGAATTTCACACAGTGAATGAATGGCAAATAAATTTGGACACCTGTCTCGGTTAGATTGACTGGCCAGGCTTTGGGCACTAAGAACAGACTGTTCAACTAAGCATTTCCATATTTTGAGCTATCTCCCTATGGACAAAAGAAAATTAATGGACAGGTGATGTCAAAGTACGGGCGGTAACTCACCAACTCCTCCTCGGGGAGTTTTTTCTTGATTTTCACTTCTTCAATTGTCGTGGGCTGAATCACCAGGGGATCGGTTGACTGCTTTATCAAATTGTCGGCCATTGCTGCAAGCTCTCTCGCCTGAAAATAATTTCCAGAGACAGCTGAAACTATTGTGATACAAGAAACGTGACCCAAATCAGCCTTATCAGACATGGTGGAATCACACAAACAGTAATCTAAAAAACAAACCTACTAAGCTGTCTCTCACAGATGAACAAAGCAAAGCTACCAGTTCTTCTCAAAGCTAAAAAAACCCAAACAATTCTAACAAAAATTTCAAGACTCACAATGGCTTTTATTTCGGGCAGTGCCTCGGTCAAAATGGAATGGTGTTGCACGGCTTGCGTCATTTCTAGGGCATACTGCAGGATATCTTTGCTGAACTCTTGGAAATCCTTCTCTGGTCCGTTGGCAAACGGCGGTCTACAAAAAGAAACCAAAGAAACTGAAAGTTGGATAATCACATATTTATGGCATTTACTCACAGTACAGTTTTACGGTGGATTATACTGAAGAACTAAGTCAAGATTCCTTTACACACCACTCATAGCATTAAGATAACATGCTCAGTGATGCACATTTGGAGGAAGAAATTTCTAAGAACATCAAGAGATTTTATGCATCCTGTGAATTCCGGTTTGCTAACTGACCTGTCTAGCCACGAGATGAGAGTCTTGGCAGCGGATATCGTCTCTGATATCCTGAGCAGCATGGCAGATGGCCCATTGTACAGTTTGTCCTTGGCCTGGTTCCCTGACTGTAGTCTCTGCTCCAGCAGGTTAGCCAGGTTACTGGCCTTACAGTGCAGGTTCAAGGCCACTGACTGTAGAGTCTCAGTAGGATGGCCATAATGCTGATGGAAGCGACAAAAATGGAGAAGTCTTTAATTCTAACTTCTCGGGGTGTGAAGAAATTATCAGGGATGTGAGTGGCCGCTTTAAATTTAAGCTGAAAACAGCAAGCCAAAAGCTGAAATGTAAAAAGTTCCAATATTTTGTACAGACCAGGTGCACCAAAAACCTGAAATTCAGGGTCGACATCTGAAAAAAAAACTGAAATGAGCTAAAACGCTGAATTCTCACACCCCTGAATTATATTAAAATTTGAGGGTTCAGGAATTTTAGGATTAGCAATAAGACAGCACTGCCAAAAGAACAACACTGTGTACACATGAAACATGCTTGTTTAAAAATGTAATAGTCGCACACAGTGGCAATTCATAGATAAGGTATATCATTACATTTCTCACCAAGTTCACTAGAAGTGTACAATATAACTACCAGTTACTCAACTGAGTCCTTTTTCTCAACCATTCTTCTCGTGCATTTCTTTCTCCTCCAACAAAAACCCACAAAACTATGCAAACGCATCAGAAACTTTCTAAGAAAATCTCAACATCAGGGACATTTTTGTCATGTTGTGACCTGTGGATAATCAACTAGTCACCCGACCACTGCTTTGGTTTTCTGAGAAGTTTAAAAGACGAAATTCCACTGACCACCGTGGCAAGGAGGTCAATGGCTTCCAGCATGAGTTCTTGGTGACCCATCTTGACCATGTTCATGTCTTCCAGCTCCTGAATGGTCATCTGGAGCAGCCGGTCGCCGGTCACTGAGTGGGCCAGGAAGTTGGGAATGTACTGCTCCAAGCAGCTATCCAGGCCTTGCAGGATAGAAGTGGGGAAAACGATAAATTCAAAAATTGCATTTTTGAACCAACAACTGTTGCTGCATTGTAAAAGAGTACCCATTTTTATGCCTAAACCCACCTCAATCCTCCAAAATCCTTCGGGTGGTTTGGAGGATTTTGGAGGGTTGAGGGTGCATGGAAAAAGTGCATGGCTTATTGCAAAGGATGCCATGTGTGACAACCTGGTCGTGGGATACACCTTGTGTTGTTTTTGCTTAGTCAAGCATAAGTTCAGCCTGATTGATATTTCTTTTGAATCAAGCACACTGCTCACGAATGCTATTTACACTGCCTCAACATAATGACAGGAATTGCCAGAGGATTTTGAAGGATTGAGGCAGTAGGCACACCTCCTTGTTACATTTAAAAGAAATTTTGGAGGATTTCAGAGGATTTGAAAATGCATGCCTGCAATACAACAGCTGTACACCCAACTGAACTTATGTGTCAAACGTCCCAGCCATTTTGCCAGCAAGAAAGATTCACCAAGCACAGAAACTTCAGACCCTCTAACCTTGGCAATAAACTTTGTAGCCACATTAAAACAAAATGACAGTGATGATCTTCAATTGTAATTGTTTGATTGCCAGGTAAACTATTTTACACAACACAATTATAAACTACATGTTAATAATTCATTGTGAATACTTGTAACACCTGTGCCAACAGATAGGAGGGCTTTCCTTCTCTGGGGGAGTGTTTTCAGGAAACACTAATCTAAATTTACAGGTAACTTCCTTCACAATACATGTACACTAGTTCCGGCGCACAATGAAAGGTCATACTACAATTGTACAAGGGCTGAGCCTGCATGCATGATTTCTTTGTGAAAAGTTGCCCTTGCGAACTGTTGAAGGTTGTTCACAATTGAAAACCCCCCCCAACAAACATGAAAGTGGAAATAACAACAGAGAATGGTGACGCTGCGTGACAGAATGCTGGAAGTTTTGCTATTTGTTAACCTCAACTTTCTGGCCATTTTCCTCTTTTTTTTTTGGCCTCGAGTCTTCCTGAATCTTCAACTCTCATGCACTGTGCAACTATCATCCAGTGGCATGTCCTCAAAGTGAAGTAAAGGGAAGTAAACCCCCACTCCCTCAATATAAATGCACTAACTCTGTACCTACCGGGAACACAATTCAACACACTCTTTATAAACACCCAACCCCACATAAAGTCAGCAATGGTGTTCGTCTCCAGTCCCACACCAATCAAAACCCCACAAAACTAGCACATCGTTTATGGTGGATTCAAGGTAGGTCAAGCCCTTGTAGGTCAAGTCCGCTGTTTACATGTACAACGTATTGCTTTTAGTGCAGACAAAGAAACCTTGAATGATTAATAATCAATGCCTGGCAATACAATGTAACACTTCACAGAAAGCACTGACGTATGCAGCATAAATACAACTTTGGAAAACCACGTACACTGAGGCAATAAACGGAAAAATAGCAATGAATGGCATGGTGGTTTTCTGGCTCCCCACAAATCATTTGCACTTTCATCCCACACAGCTTGGTGACTTATTATTAGGTCATGTATTCATGTTATAGACAAACACACTTCAAGGAGAACATATGAATCATGGACTAAAATTTTGATCAACCAGACTGACAGCGATTGTCCAAACAAACTAACATGACCAATGAACTAAAAATGCATTCACTGAAAAGGTAATGAGATATATTTTATATATATTCTTAATTTGGGCAAAAATTAAAAAATGAAACTGCATTTCAACAGCAAAATATTTGTGCCTTCATAAAATGCATTATCTCTGTTGTCAAAACTCATTTTGAACAAGTCTCAAGGAAGTCTGTGGACAGCATTCTTCTCTACATTCATGATGGAAATGTGTGTCATAAAATAGACCAGTTTGTTTGTCTTTGCCAAATTTGACATTAATTATTTCCTGTACTGAGACGCACTGATAACTTCAACGTGATTTGATATAAATAGGTCAATCATTAAGTTGGTATCATCTGCAGAATACTAGATGAGACAAGCGTGCATAATTAGCCCTCAGAAAACTGACACTGTACACGGTATATAGTTTCATATTGAGGTAAACCAAATTGTCCTAGTCCTGTTAATGCCAGCAAAATTGCAGGAAGTGCACCTAGCAAGAAATGTTGTTTCAGGCGATGGCAGTATCGCCGTGCATCAAGGACAACCTGTCATTGCCTGAAAGTCAGGAAATCTGAGGAACTGTGTGGTAGGACCAATGGGCAGAGGAAATGATGTATGCATAAATGGCAAGGTAAGAAGAACGTCAGCTTTTTCATTTGAAAGCATTAACAGAAGATGACTCGCCAATAATCTAATACCGGCAGAATCATGTGAGTGTGACCACAAGAAAGCTATTCAGGATTTCTTTATAATGTTGAGGAAAAAAGGCAAAAGTATTGCTTTTAATTCCATCTATGGACGATGTATTAACCATCTGACAGCAATAAAATGTTCTATAAAGTCAAATTTAGCTATAAAAAAATAAGGAATTCACTTAGGAAACGCTTCGAATTTCAGTCTAATAAGATTCGTCCACAAGGTGTGAAATGGTGTCTGTACCAGTACCTAAAGGTACATGGAATTTTTATCCTGTTTTAAAATATTCAACTGGTAAGCTAAGAAAACAATACAAATTAAATAATGGTTGCAATTCTCAGCCACTGCTTTTGTAAACTATTAAAAAAATATAAGTTCAAATGACCATTTAGTTGACTTGAACTTTTTTATCGGTACACCTCCAGTCTGGGCATGTAAAGGAACTCGAGTACTTTGCTGTGGGAGTTGAGCAGGTTTTGAGAGCGGATTCTCAGGTATGAATTCCTTTTAAATATCAACTGTGGCAGGAATAATGCTTACACCTGACAACCAGCTGCTTAAGCCAGAAAAAAAAATTCAGCGAAATTACAAAAACATAAAAAAGGGAATAAATAAGATTAGAACTTAAGTAATCCAGCAGCTCAGCAATTCCCCTCACAATCAACAAAATCATGACTTCTGCCCAAAGAAAGGCAACTTTGCTTTCTTGTTAAGCTCCTACAGGAACTATATTTCAGAAACAATAAACAGCACATTTCCGAAGCAAGTGTTTGCATAGGGCCTACAAGTACAAGAGGTAAACAGCAGAAGTGTACCAGATCACAGCAGTAATTCTTATACACACTTTGTTTAACATGGCAAAAGCCATTAAGGTAAAAAAAGGAAAATGATAAAAGAAAATCAATTATAACACTAACGTACGATAAGATTCAACACATTTACAAATTTGAGAAAAGTTTTGAAAAATAGGCCCCTACCTGTACATTAAATTAAAGCCTTATCGCTCATACTGCAAGAGTGATTTGGTACAATAGTAGAAAGGCATCATGGGAAGGAAAAATGGGCAAACCTTGCCCCTTTTCCCTTCCCACTTGGCTACCTTTTCACAGTTGTGCAAAATCAGCCATGCAGTATACTGTTAAATGAAAAGGCTTGTGCAACATGATGACTGTGTTGATGATGCATACATATCGCACAACTCAGCCAGGAATTTAAAAAGATGTCACATATGAACCCCCCCTCCCCCATGAACCCCGCCTACCGCGGCCATCCCGTACATGCCAATCATTCAAGGTGTTTTGGCACCATGACCAAGCCTATGTCCAAACATCAGAACAAGCACTCAGTTCGTTCGGAGTTCAGTTTGTCTTCAATTTACCTGACAAAAACACTTTAAAAAATTCAGGAAGACTACCCAAACATCTAAGCAATGGTGATTTACCTTTTATCCAGTTTGCAATCTCCTCTGGAGTCCAAGAGATTATGTTTAGAGACGACATTTTGACAAATCTTTCGGTGCGAAATGCACCAGGCTCGACACCGAAGACTCTAAATTACAGGAAGCGAATGTTACAGCAAAGATTGTCTAGCGCCGCGCTATACAATCTTTGGTTACAGTGTGATCGTTCCCAGGGGTTTCCCTGGATCGTCACCTAAATTTAGTCTGGTGCTCTTCATAGTTATCACTCCGTGATAGTACAAATGGACAAGACTCCAGACAGCTGATGCACCTTGAAAAGATATCGCCATTGAATACGCGTAAAGGTTGATAAGCGATAAAAAATTTTCTAATAAATTATAGTTTTTCTGTGCTCAGTTGAACGACAGAAGTAACATTTTGAAAGGGAACATGTCAAGACAAGGTGGTCGATCGACTGATCCCAGAAAAGTGGTAGGTGGGATGGTTGATGACTGTATTTAAAAGCAGAGTTATAATTACTGAGTCAGTGTCTCGAACATGTCGAGTCCGCCTCCAGTCACAATTTTTGCGACTCGACTCGAGTCCCGATGGGTGAATGACTTGACTCTGCTCGAGTCTCTGTGATGAAATGACTCGACTCAACTCTCTAATGGAGACTTGACTCGAGTAACCTACAAGCTTATAATACTTGAGTCTCAAAAACATTTAAAACATGTTAAAGCAAAATTTTAGTTAGGCATGTTGGGGAGCGCATCAGAAGACGAACCCCACAGTTCTGGTGCATTAATATGGAGACCTAGGTACAGTATTGCCGAAAGTGAAATATCGTTAAGAAAATTCGGTTTTACCATCTCCATGTGACTTTTCCAAAATATTACTTGGGGAAGACAAAGATAAAATTCCAACATGAGTGTTTCATGAGGTGGTTTCAGTTAGGGATTCCTCTTCCAAAAATTATCGAACGTGATAGGTTGGCCCAACGTTAACTCCCCATAGGAGGACCGTGCAAGGGTTCCGGAAGCTCACTGCGTGACCTTCTACTTTCAGGCTCTATTGAAATGAGACATCGGCCAAGCCAAATTGACAACATAATTTTCACATGCTTTTGTAAATAATGCATAAACAGCTGAACTATGTGAACTGACAATTATAGATCAAGTAGATTTGGACTGTTTCATCAAAGTTTTTCTCAGTGAGTAATTGCAAAATGAATTTATTTTGATTTTTTTCTTTCTTTTCAGAGCCAAGAGTTGTTTACCCTGACATATGGATCTCTTGTCTCACAGCTCGTCAAAGATTATGAAAGTGATGAAGAAGTCAACAAACAACTGGACAAAATGTAAAGTGTCTTCTTTCTTCATACGGTCACCTCAGTCAAATAATGTAAAGTCAGTAAACAAAATTTTAAAAGAAAAGTATACAGTATGATGAAAAATTCAAATTTACCTCGAATTATGCTTTACTTTTGTTAAGATGACGTATGAAGAAAGTATGATTTCCCCCGTTTAATCCTTTATCTGCTGTTTTCTCACCTTCCCAGGGGCTACAACATCGGCATCCGTCTGGTGGAAGATTTCCTAGCTCGCTCAGGGGAGAGAAGATGCAACGATTTTAGGGAAACAGCAGACATCATAGCAAAAGTAAGATTTTGGAGAACAAACAAGAAACTTAATTTCTTCGCTGTGTTTAATGTAACTGTGCTCAAGCCCATATCAGGATCAGATCCTAGAGTGCTGGAAACTTGAACCTGAATCTGACCTGAGTTACAGATTTAGTGACTCAAACATCATCGCTCACTAGGAGCAATGACACTCACACTTTGACTTGGTCTCATTGGTGATGCGGCCTTGACAACCAAATAAAATGTTTTTAAAGACTGTCATAAAATTGATAAACGTTGGTGCTTCTAAGTATTCAGGTTTTGAGAAATTTTGAGAATGCCAGATGTGCTATTTGTACTCTGCTTTGTCAGTATTCGTAAAAGCTCCTGGATACTGACAGCTAGCCCTGTGTGAATTAAATTAGTGCAAATTGTTGTTAGAGGTCAAGAGTCAATTTATGGAGCCCACAAGAAAAAAGAACTGTTTCTTACTCTGTCTTTTTTTCAGTCTGGTTTCAAAATGTTCCTTGGTATCACGCCGACGGTCACTAACTGGAGCGCAGCGGGTGATGAGTTCTCCCTTGTATTTGATAACAATCCTCTAACGGACTTTGTAGAATTACCAGAAGAACACAGCCAACTCAACTACTCCAACATTTTGTGCGGGGTTATCCGAGGTGCTTTAGAAACCGTAAGTAACGTGATGTGAATCTGACTGAGGTAGATCTCGAGACAACTTCAAAGTCTGGAGAAAAGGTGAAAAAGAAAGCAGTCCAATGTTCTGAATGAAACAGTGAAATTGAATGACTCTATGGGGAAATCTGGTGCTGATTTGTCATTCAAAATAGAATATTTTGCCAACTTCAAGCAGTTTTTGGAGCACTGATCAAAAAGGGAAATTTGTTGAAAGATTTTTAAGGAGGGGGGAAAGACTATCAACGGCTATAAGAATGAAATGAGTGAAATGTAGTATGCTTACTGGAAACCCAATGATCGTCATTTGAACTGTCATTACAACGTTTTGTTTTCTGTGGTCACAGGTTCAGATGGATGTCAACGTTCGCTTTGTCCAAGACGTCCTCAAGGGAGATAACCAAACAGAGGTCAAGGTTAAGTTCATCAAGAGGTTAGAGGACGCCGTGCCTGCTGGGGAGGAGTGAGGCAGATATCGATTGTTAAATTATTGATATGTATATATGTGGAGAATCTGTGATGTTGGTGTTGCTATCAACGTTATGTAATGACATTCTGTCATAATGTTTTAAAGATACAGCGGCTGTGGCATATAGGAATTGTTAAGCAATGAATCCGGGTTTGTTGGATTTCAGGGATAACTCGGCTGTCTCCTGAAACCGACACATTTGGTCATCTTTGTTATTATAATACGTGATACATGTACTTTTCTATGCATAGTTTACCTTCAGTTTATTCCTGGGACACTTCCTCTTATTTCACTTCAGTTTTGTTAGCTTAGCTCTCATTAATTTCTATTCTGCACAGGACAGTTTAAATGATTACAAGAAGTAACATCTACAGAAATATATTCACATGTGCAGTTGCCAGCACAGACATGGAGGCTTACTCTTGCAGTTAGTGTTTATAAAGACATGCCTTGAAATAATAAACAAAGACAGACTGAAGTATTGAGGCACAGGAAACAGACGGACACAACAGACAGCCTCCCGATCCATTCCCCATTGTTATTCTGAAAGGAATACATGTATTCAGAAACCGAAAATGGTTTGGAAGAAGTGTTAATTGTAAGGGATTTTTTCAGCCATTGTGGGTCTGCTTCAGTCCAGGAAATACCTCAGATTCAATTCAATGACATTGGAAAACAAAGAATACCATTTCTTTTCAATCCTTTGCTGTTACCTAATATTTGGAAATTATTTTGAAATTTAGAGTTTGCCCAAGAAGGAAGTATCATACAAAAATTTCAAGTGTGCTTTGTTTGCTGTAAGATGCAGTTGAATAAGTCAGACAGACTCATTGTTTTCGAAAAACTTGTTTGTTCATTCCATAAATCTTTCCCCGTGATGTCAAAATTTGAAATTGGTCTTATCATGTAAATAAAAGTGTCACAGCCGAGTCATTTCACTGTGCTGTGTCATTTTATGTCATTTTGACTTTTGCTGTAGACCTTTTACTGAGATGTGCATAAACTGGTTTAAGTTGAGAAATCTTTCAGTTCAAAGGGCAGAAGTGATGCAATAATTGCTCTGGGGAAATTTAGGGATTGAAAGATGAAAACAAAACGAAGGGCATATGGAGAACAAGGCCGTTTTCCAATACTCAACTTCGGCTCCGTCTCAGGCTTCAACTGTTTTTGAACTAGCTGACTTTGAAGCTGTAAGCGCAGTAATTAGTCTAATAGTGCCACAAAATATCAAATAAGATGCAAGAGATTCAGAAATTACAGTAATCCAATTTAATTTAAACGCTTCAGGCCCACAATCGGGGATTGGTTTTGTGAACGAAGCCTGAAACGGAGCCCAAGTCGAGTTTTGGAAAAGGGCCCAAAAAATTGACGTATATTTGACATAGAGGGCGCTATTTATAAATAACAGGGAAAAAAGTGGAATCAACTCTCATCGCGTTTAACTATTGAGGGCGCTAATGCAAACTTCAAGATTGGAACTCTTGATGTGTATGCCATGCGGAAAAATGCGGCGATCATTATTAAGGCGATTCAAGTCATACCAGTCCATGCTCTGTGCGCTAAGTAAGAGAGCATATTGTGGAACAGCTTCCATGAAGGTTAGAATGATAAGGACGTTGTCTTGAGCTACGAGCCGGTAGAGACCTATAACCACACAATCCATGCATGCAGCGACTTCACCCTTTGACCTATGGACTGACCCACACTACTACGCCTGTATCCGATATCCCTTCATATCAAGCAGTGATCATGGTGATGACGTCATTTTGAAGCTATTTTCAGATTGTGGTTATCGGCCCAAAACCTTCAATAAAACATCGCAATAATTTCAACTGAGTTCTTTAAAAGCACATTACAAAGCTAAAGATTTTCCCTGTTGAATCTTGGCAACTTGTAACCTAGGTGGTGCTGAACTTGTATTAGGTAGGTAGGCCTAAGTGAATCCAACAAACCCTGGAGGTTACAGTAGAATGAACCAACTAAAAAAGCTAGCGTGAATAAACTGGGGCCTAAGTTTTGCTGAAACTTACTTTGCACGTAGAAATGTTGCCCTTGAAAATCTACATGGATCGACTGTAGTCCGAGTAACTCGGATTCTACAGTTCACCTTTTAAACATGATAGGTAGGCCTAGTTCTAGGGGTGGAACCCCATACCATTCTGCCAACATGGCCAATTGCTGCAAGAGGTCACATTCAATGCAAAGGACATTTATTTTTTATAAATAAATTTGCTCGACAAAATTTGACCAAAACCTGATCAAAAGCTTTTTTAAATTAAAGTTGTATACCTCTGTTAGTTTTCATTGCATTTTGGGGCATGCTTATTTATGGGAATGCTGTTTATCTTTATGTTCAACATAACAGTGTGTCAACATGAGTAAGAGAAGAATCTTTTCAGCGATCCAGCCGACTGGTATCCCGCATCTGGGCAACTACTTTGGGGCCCTCCAAAACTGGGTCCAACTGCAGAATGACCCTGACAACAAGTTGATATTCAGCATCGTCGACCTGCACTCCATTACCCTACCACAAGAGCCTGATGTACTCAGGCAGAGCATCCGAGATTGTGTGGCTGTGCTTTTGGCATGCGGTATTGATCCGGAGAGAAGCATTCTATTCCAACAATCTAGCGTTAGTGGTCAGAGTGTTAGAGATAAATGGGGAAAAGTTTGTAAGACGGGCATCACTCATCATTCTCTACAGTGGCGTATATCAGCCCTCAGAAAGCAATAACGTGTCCTTAAGAGTCAAATTTAACAGGGACAATATGGAAACATTGACTTGGAAAACTTTCAAATGTTTCAGACCAGTCTCATCGGGATTGTGCCATGAGGGGTGTCAAATGATGTCCGTGTATGAAACTCCTTAAGATAAGTGGGCAAGTGAATATAACATTACATTTGTTCAGAACAAAACCAGCATTCTTAAATTCAACGTTTTGAAATCTGTACGTGCATCCTGCTAAAATTTTTCTCTAAAAGCGCATCCCTTAATTGAAAATAAGTAAAACTTTTAAAGTCATTATTATCTGGATTTTTAATTCACTAAAAGTTTAATGTGATAAAGCATGGCCAAGAATACATGTCAATAGTGTTGTGTTAAAATAATTTTCCAGCTTCATCTACCATAATTTGATCAGATGTATTTGGGGTTTTTTTCCCCAACTGTAGGTACATCAGCATGCAGAGCTAGCATGGGTCTTAGGCTGTAAAACCACACTTGCCCGACTTGGACAATTTCCCCAGTGGAAGGTAAGGGACGTTTTACCAGATGGACAAGCATTCTTACCAGCTGAATCTTGACCTAAGTCCTTTTTTTTTTTTTATTATTAGTAGTATTAATCATTTCTGGTAATGACACCAAGGATTCCTCAAAAGCACCCCAATCACTGCAGCTCACAAGCCTGAAGAAACCTGTAGAGTGGAGACAATGAGAAGCAGTTACAGTTTTAGAGGTGGGAGGAAAACCCCAGAGGAATATTCTGGGTAAAACCCACGGAATCAGGTAGGGACTGAAAACCCAACCCACATGTGGACCAGGCCGGGAATCGAACCCGGGACCACAGAGGTGGAAGGCGAGGAAAGAAGTACTATGCCAACCTGACTCCCTCAGCAGACTGTCAACGTTTTTCCTGATTCTTAAGCACTTATTGAACACTACTCACTTTGACAAGCACTTCAGTCTTTCACTCTCTAAATGACTATCTTTTGTTCCTTTTTGCCCCCAAAGTCGAAATCTGGTGGTGACAAGAAGAAAGAGTGTGTTGGACTCTACACCTATCCGGTTCTCCAAAGTGCTGATATTCTCCTGTACAAGTAAGGAAAAAGTTCACCACCAAACTTACTCGCCTGTTTCAACAACATTAGCACTGAAGGTAGTGGTTCGTGCGTAAACAGTTTTAGGATAGGAGACACTTTGTTTTCCTGATATTGTTTCGTGCCTCATTTTATTTTAGAACGACTCACGTTCCGGTCGGGGAAGACCAGTACCCCCATCTGGAGCTAGCCCAAGATCTGGCGAGGATATTCAACAACAACTTTGGTTCTTTCTTCTCCATCCCTGAAGCCATCGCTGGTGAGTTCCTGAACTTCTTGGAATCATGTGCCTTCAGTAGTAGCATATCACAGGCTACACACTAAGAGGCTTTCTTATTTAAAAATTGAGCCAAATGACAGTGGAATTCTTTCTTACTGTAGCCTTCTCATTGTCACCAGACAGTAAAACAGTTTCTGGAGAAGAATTCAGTGATTGCTTGTTTCAGACAGCCACCTCCCCCCCCCTGAGCAGCTGGCCCCAAACCACATCCATCAAGATGGCATATATCTATGTTTTGTTCTTGTGATGTGCCCCCAGCTCTTACTGTCCTTGCTCCCTTCTCCCCTTGCCTCGTGCTGATACCTGAAATATGCTCCTGTTTCTACACATAGGGGAAATTAGCAAGGTGAAGAGTTTACGAAATCCCAGCGTGAAAATGAGCAAGTCTGAACCAGACCGGAGGGGCCGCATTGAACTTACCGACTCTTACGAAGAAATTCAAGAGAAGTTCAGGAAAGCTGTGACGGATTTTACGGGCGCTGTGACCTTTGACCCCGACAACCGACCGGGGGTGTCCAATCTTGTCGCGATTCATGCCGCCGTACAGGAGTCATCCCTAGAGGAAATATGTGAACAGAATATGGGAGTAGAGACAGGAGAGTACAAACTGATCTTAGCCGAGGCTGTGAATGCAAAGCTTGCACCGATACGAGAGAAAATATTTGAGTTGAGGAGAAATCCAGAGTACATAGACAGCATCTTGAGGAAGGGAGCTGAGAGGGCTAGTGAGGTGGCTGACAAGACTTTCAGTGAAGTCAAGAAACGTGTGGGGTTTGTGTGACCTTAGAAGGTCAAAGGTCACTCTGAGCTAATAAGCCTTTTGCGACTTAAATTTAAACAAAATCTGGTACATGTGAACATAACAATTTGAATTCTTCAGACACTGTTGCTATACCACATAATTTGGGGCAAGCTTTTACGTAGCGATCACCATGTCTAGGATGGACTGGTTCCTTTGTGCCCTTCCTATCCATTGAGAACTGTGTACTGATGCAAGGCGTCTCTTATGTAACTAAGTAAAAGCTTGCCCCGAATTATGAGGTAATAACAATTGCAGACCAGTTGTTTTGTTCGTGTACCAGATTGTATTCAAATGCAAGTCGCAATATACTTATTAGGGAAAAGATAGCCATCGCTTTACATGAACAATATTTTGTCTTAATTTTCAGGAAAGTTATAGAGACCAAGTATTCCAGCCATAAATAGTGGTTTACTTAACCAAGTCAGGAGAAATAGGCAGAAAATGTTTTAGTACCTTTATTAAAAGACATTGTAAGAGACTGAGAAAAGTTACCTACCTGAATGATTCCAATCTGGTTTCTTCGTGTTTCCTTTGTTGAAAATCATCTGCCAAAAACCAAAAAACCAATGCTATGCTTCACATATTTGTGGATCAACTTGCCTCTAAATCATATTGTAGGTATGTGACGTTATGTTTTAAACCAAATTGAAATCATTTTAAAGAATCTTGGCTTTCACTGGCCAAGTCAGTTGTCTATGGATTGGAGACACAAGGCAATAAAATACAATGAAACACATACAGTGGTGTCATCTGGTAAAATTTATTTCTGTTAATTTGAGTTGAAAAAATATATTTCATACGAGATTTGCGATATTCAAACACAAAAGTGTTCAGGTATTAACATCACCATTCAAGGTCATTTCTTAAAAAAATCTGTATTAACTTTAGTCACTGTACAGAACCAAACTCCAGGAAATAATCCCAGAGGATCAGTGTATTACTAAAGTAAACTATACATCTACAAACTAGAATGTACATGTATCAATGATTACTATTCATAAAAATAACCCACACTAGGGCAATTTTTTTCTACAAAAAACTGCTGGATCTGATGCCACATATTTTTGTAACAGGGAGCATGGTGTGCCATGGTCCCGTGTAAATACTGTAACGGATTGAATTCGATTCATCTTAACAAAATATACTGTCACAACACTTGTCAGGTCCAGAAAACAAGCTTGGAAAACAGCTCATTAAGTATCTTCTCCATAAGTAAAGTACACAGTTTGTACCATTGATGTAACATGCAAATTTCAGAGTGTTCTGAAGAACTTTAAAGCTGATGGAAAAAATAAGCCAGTGTGTTTGCAGTACTACTGTAGTTGGAGTTGTAGCATTGTTTCACTGGCCTGATCTATGATTACATAACGGCATGGGTGCTTAGGTTTAAGGTCAAATGGGACAAAGGTTAAGTTGAATTATTTCCACAGTAGGTGGATCGTCCTTTAACATCAGTAAAGTTCAAAGTAAGACAACCAAAGTGTTTGCTGAAAATAAATAAAATTGAACAGAAAACTTGGGTAGCCTCTAAAAATGGCCACATAATTTCCAAACGAATGTTATAATAATTTTAAGTTCCAACAATAAAAAAAGATCAATTTCCTAAACACCATTACCTTGCATAGGTGTTTTAGGCCCCAGTTACATGCCAGAGGTCTCAATTTCTACACTCACTGAAAGTGAAAGTCCATTTCCCAATTTGCCAAGTGACAATTAAATTGCATCAAATGCAAGCGAAAAGTGTGCTATCTGCAGCTGACAGCTTTGAAAGTGAAAGACTTCCAAGAGAATTGCATTAATTATGCGCACCTGGCCGACAGCTATATGCATTACAACTTCTGCAGCCAATCACATCTTGATTCAGTACATCTCATTCATATTCATGACATAGTTGTGGTTACAGTGACTCTACGTGGTCATCTTGTTTCAAATTTTAAAAAAACCAAAGGGTGCTTAAAGACATAGAATGCAACTGACCCACCATTTTGAAGGCAACTCATCTCAAACGACCCACAGTCACAGAGAACAATATCAACACATTCAATGAGGAAGGAGAGTAGAACCAACCAACATGACGATTTGAAGACTCGGGGTCACAAATGCAGTCACTGTCAACTATGGATGCAATTCACATTTTCCTTTGGCTCTGTGTAAGAGCTGATAATGCCCATATTTGGTAACTGCATGCACTTAACAATATCTCTCACATTTAAATATTAAAAAAGATTGAACAGGGGAGGGGGTCATTGCATTGAAATTTCAACACAAAATCGAATAAATTGCAAGGAGAAAAACCCTCCCCCCCCAAAAAAAAAGAGACCAATCATTACCCAGTGCAGGCGACAAGCCAATTCCCTAGTATAAAAAAAACTTACTTGTGAAAAATAATGCTTCTTCTTACAAAAGCTTTGGGTGAAGATGTTCACATGTTCTTGGATTGATAAAATCAAGTTGGCAAGTGCTGATAAGTTACTACACTGAGCTAAGAGGGCTCTCTCTCAACAGCATTCCTAAAGTGCACTGTTAAAATATTATATTTATTTACAATTCAATATTCTACACTTTTTACATCATCTTGTTTCAGAAAGGAAACAAAAAGGTCACAAATTTCTGCACACTGCGGGTGTTACCACACAAATTAGACATCACAAAAGCCAGCATATACAAAAACCTTTCAAAAAAGAAACCAAAAAAATGCAGCAACATGATACAATAAAGCAGCCGTATCAAACAGTAAGTTTTCAACAAATTTTCATTTGAGCAAAACAAAATCAGGTGTTGGTACACAATAATACCAATGATTTCCCTTACGACAAACCATGTCACACTTTGCACTGACCCTGAGGACTATAAACACAAGATAATTAAATTGCACATAAATTAAAAACAAAGAAATCTGTTAAACAGGAGCCCCATTTGTACTAACACAAAGCTCTGAAGACACTAGAACATGGGACAAAGACTTGGATTACATTAAAAGAGATGACTGAACGAGACCTAGAGACTAACTTCAGGGAATAAAACCAAAAATCCCCTTCTGACTTCAGAAGTGTTTTGGTGGAAAAAACCTCCTTGCAGATGACCCATTATGAGGCTATGCTTTGTATCTGCTCTGCAAGATTGCAAAGGATCATGAACTCAGTGGCGTAGCTAGGATATGACAAGGGGGGCACAAAGAGATACCAGCATCTTATGGGGGGTACCAGCATCTTATGGGGGTACCAGCATCTTATGGGGGGTACCAGCATCTTATGGGTGGTACCAGCTTTCAGTGGTGTGGTTTTTTGGGGCAAGATTTTTGTTAGCTTTGTTCAATATCCATTCATCCTTTTTTTTGGGGGGGGTCACCCGGAATTTGTTGGGGGCATTTGTCCATCACAAGACCAAAACAAGACCTCCGGTCTGAATTCAAGACACAAGCTTTTCAAACAAACTACAACAAAAGCATTCCCTTGTCATTGTCTGCCCTGTTACTTGTGACTGGTCTTGCATTGGTCTCGGCTACAATAGTGCAATGGATAGCACAGTAGTTCTAGACTTGCAAATGATCGGTAACAGATGAGGCAATCTGGAAATCTGCAAGAAATTTGGAACTTCCCCTCGCGCAAATAAAATTACAAATGAAGAATCAACTTACGACAAAATGTATACATTGACACCAAAAAAACGACAGAAAAATGCCGTGAAGTAGTCACCGTGTTGATATTCTTTGCTCATCACTGTCGACGCTGTACTGAGTGTCAACAGCGCCAAAGGAATTAAACAATGAAACGATATGACCTTCCTGGTGCTCGGTATGCACTATTAGCTGGTTCGACTGGTACTCTGCAGTATCGACTGGAAATCAATGCTCGGTGACACCTGTCAAATGCAACGTCAAGAGATAACAATTCCAAAAAAAATTATATGATGTCAACAGTCTGGGCTACATTAAGGTTATACTGCCATATGCAACAGAGATATTATTGTCATGGTTACGATTTCAGAGGAAAATTCTCACTTCAGCAACAGAAAGGCAACACTTCTGACAACTCAAACTACAATCAGCCAAAACTACTAACAACCAACATTCTGATTGGGCCAAACCAATGACTTTACCAAAACTTTGACTGGTTCAAACTCTAGTTTGTCAAACTCTAAGATCTGGGTCAGTCGAGCACTGCACCATATCACGGAGTGGGTCAACTTTGACTGGAAAAACCTTTGATCACAATCTATCACCGCAACAATCTTTCCAAACTGACCTTGACGAATGTATGATCCAACAATTGATTGGCTGTCCATCTGTCCAGGGCGTTGGGCACTAGACACTTGGACAGGAAGTCCTTACACTCCGGGCTGACGTTGTCGGGAGTCAGTGGAATGGCGCCCTCGCCCACTTTGAAGAGGATAGGGAACTCGTGGTCAAATTCATGCCAAGGGCGCTTAAAACAAAAACAGAAATCTAAAATGAGAAAGAAACTAGCGGTATAAAAACTCATTACAAAATGTACAACGTAAAACCTAAGGCAAGAACTTCAAACTATATATCGTCAATCAAGCATCGTAAGATATTGGAGGAAGAGGGCTCCAACCTTTCCTGTGGTCATCTCGATGACCACACATCCCAAACTCCAGATATCAGCTGCCCGGCCATAACCTTTTTTCCCCTGACCTGTTTGGGTAATGACCTCTGGTGCCATGTACGCTGTGAGGTCAAAGATCAAAGGTTAAATTTGAGAAGTTAATAAATACAAAATAATGACACAGATGCTGCAGTAAACCTACTGAGGGAAAATGAAACTTTGTCCGAGTGCGACACACTTTCTAGCTTAAAATCGTTATGGCAAAAACAGGAAAAGTTGCGAGTTTGAGATGCCAAAAGCTTTAGATCCCTAACTGCTGGCTGAGAAACTGTCTGAGTCCTTCCGGTTCATCAAAGGTAAGGAGATTTTAAACTTTACCTGCTGTTCCTGTGAAGGTTGTCAGCTCCCCACGCATTGTTTTAGCATTCTGCAGCTTGATTGCACTGCCAAAATCTCCCAACTTGACGTGCCCGTCAGACGACAGGAACACATTAGCACCTGAGCAAGAAGTGGGGAAAAAGATTTTCACACCCAACTCAGGATACTGATGAACCAAATTCTTGCAGCAAATACCCAGCATTAGAATGCCACATTTCTAACATTCTGTTAATTGTTAAGGTCATCACATACCCCTGAATTATCACACTTAAAGACAAGGGGCTTCTACCTTTGATATCTCTATGTACAATGCCGTGTTCATGTAAGAAGCTAATGGCAACTGTGATCTCCTGGGTGTAACATCGAACCATCTGCTCAGGCAAGCCGGCCTTAGCCACCTCAGCTATCGTCCCCTCGTCGCAGTACTCCATGAAAATAAGTAGCTCCTCCTGCGACAACCAAAATCAATCAAAATCTTACTCCCTAGTCATTCTTGCCAAAAACCCAGTCAAAGAGCTTAACGACAATACACCAATTGATTTTGTTGCCACAATGGGCCACAACTCAGAGAACTTTGTTTGCAAACTACAAAAAAATGAAACAGCATGACTGAGAGAAAGGACTGACTGACCCTGTGTATTTCAACTCCGTAGTAGCGCACAAGGCTAGCATGGCGGATTCCTTCAAAGTTCTTGAGTTCATCAGCAATATCTTTGATAGCACTGTGATCATTCCGTTGGAACCGAAGCTGTTGAATAGAGAATGAATTGATAGATGAAACATGAATCTTGCATCAGATGATGTCTGTTTTTGAAAATGTCTAACTTAAAGGTCAACAGTAGTAATTTCAAGCCGACTGATGGTGATTCAATGACTGATGAAAAATATCTCAAGGATTACCTCTTTCATAGCCAGTGTCTCGCCGGTGTCCATGTTGATGCAGGAGTACACGGTGGTACCAAACTGCCCTTCACCTGATCACGGACCAAAAAATCAAACACGTCTTCTTCTGGTTTTAACAAGTTTTAATCACACTTCAGGAAGTTCAATAGATAAGAAATCAAACCAGACTGGCCTCGAAATTATCTTGCTGGTAGCCAGCAGGACCAGTACTTCAACATTTTCACTAGTCCTGCTAAAAGTCTGGTGGTCACACCAGAACCACACACACAGCCAATTGAACAATCCTTGTTAGGGCGCAGGCCGTGACGTTTTTTTAGTTTGCCCAATCGGGCAGGCCATGCCATAAATTTGTTTGCCCGAATAGGATCAACACTTGCCCAAGATTTCTCGGAATCCATGATTATTATGGTTATTTAACTTAGGCCTACGTTTTCACCACTTTGACAGTGAAACGTAAATGGAAACTCAAAAATTGCAAATGTAAGTAGGAAGACATATAAAAATAAGCATTTCAACGTGAGAAAATATTGAAAAATGTTTGTGAAGACAGAAAGAGAGAGAAAATGGGAGAGCAGCTGACCTATCTTGCGTCCGCGCTGCCAGCGGAAAGTGACCTTCTTGCAGTTGATGTTGACCACCTCGTGGTCACTGTGGCGGTCGCTGACCGTGCCAATCAGTGACCAGTCCTGCAGCTTCTGGTTGCGGCGCTCCTCCAGCTGCTGCAGCTTGCTGCGTACCCGCTCCGAGCGGTCCATCTTGGACAGGGACTCAGCACTGTCCTTGGAGATGCTGTGGAACATGCGGGGCAGTGGCGGGGACATGGGGCTGGGGGTGCCACGCTTGGAGAACGGAGGCTCTGTTTCAGATTGGAAACGCAAACCTGAATAAGGTTTTCAGTTTAAAAATGTAACAAAAAAGCAACATGTTGAATGACCTAAAAGGTTGTAATTACATAGAACTGGTTTTTTTGCACTCACTGCCACTTGGCACTAGTGCCCTCACTGCCAGTCAATATAACACTATTGCCTGTTAATATATTCAATAGCATAGCAGACTTATCTTTCAGCAGGGTTACTGTTAGTACAGCTGATAGGAATCTGTTGAGTTTTCTTTGCTGGAAATGCATAAATGTGCACTCATTGCCTCATGGCCGGTCAATATGAATATATTGCCTGTTACATAGGTATATAGTGTATAGCATACCAGGCAAGTCTTCAGTAGGGCTGCTGTTTGGCATGAGTGACAGAAACCGCTCTGTACTATTTGTCCGTTGGAGTTCACCAAACTGCACTGGCGAGGGCATGTGAGGAGATGGTGTGGAGTCTGATGTCGACCTAGTAGAAGACTTGGACCAGGCTCGCGATAGCTTCAACGAACTGCCGTCCATGGGACTAGTCACGGCAAATGCTACACAATAAGAAATGCAACACCGATTTACAAATGTAAATGAAAACCTCTGCTCAGTACCTGATCAGAACATCCCCAAGTAAGTAAAACAGAAATTTGGTCCCTGGACAGTTTCAAAAATTCACACAATAGCCCCCATGTACACACTGCAAAACAAAAGGAAATCCAATTATATAGCCTGGATGTAAAACCGAATGACAGAGAGCAGCTACGACAAAATGTACATGCTCAGTGGAAATAAGAAGGCATGTCACTTCACTTGATGTGGGTGTGTCGACTGTTGAAATGAATGTACCAACCTGGGCTTCCAGAGCAAGACTTGTCTTCGTTGCCGATGATGTGCGTGATACACTTGCTCATCACCTGCGTCATTCTCTGCACAAATGAAAATCCAGCACAGAGATATTTGATTGGATTACATCACACACTGAATGCAATGCATTATCTGTCCTGTGGTTGGGTAAATTTTTTTTCAAGTAGCCAAAATTGCAACAAATGGTAAATCCTTACGACAAAGTCGTCGTTGGAAAGAAATGCAACATTTCGGGGTTCGCTGGCCACCACCAGAAAATCCATGCCATGATTGGCCCACCTACAAAAAAGAAAAAATCATTCAAACAGTTACAAAGCAACCCAAATTTCTAAAGCCTTCAACTAAAAAGTTCGGAGCAGGCCTCGACATTAACGGTTGTCCAATTGCCCAGGACAAGTAATTTCTCCTTTCAGGCTAGTTAAAATTAAGGACAAATTGCCCAATCGGCCGGCACTTTTCTCTTGAAATGCGTGGCCAAGAATAGCAGTCAGCAAATTTACCTTTGCAAAATTCATTCTTTTTGTAAAGAAACAAACATAAATTTTGCACATACCTTGGTCTAGTGCCCCGTCCCCTCTCACATTTTTCAAGCACAAATGTCATCCACATGTGGGCCAAGTTTTGCATCGACTCAGCCAGTTTCTGCCTCGCTTCTCCCGACAGTAGGCGTGTCACTTCCTTGTGGTACTGGAGGGGGGGGAACAAGACGGCATTAACCAGCTTTTATTTCAAGCAAGAAGGGAAACAGTACACAACTCACAAACTGATTTACTTCCACGATTACTGAAACCCAAACAGTCCTCCATCCTCCGACAGGCGGATTAAGCAAGACGCTCCCCCCCAGAAACGAAAGTGCACATGAAATTTATAATAAGCTTTGCAAAGAAAGATGATTTGATAACACTCACAAAAGACCTGGGCCCAATTTCATGGCGCTGCTTACCACACGATTTCACGTTAACAGAGGCTCTGCTTATTTCATGCAGACCATAAGCAGTAAGCACAGCCAAAGGCTGCTAACCTTGGAGGACAAATTTGCTTAAATTAGTGACACAATAATCTCTACGCACACACAGCATTTACCATGCTAAGCACCACCACAAAATAGTGATTAAGGAATAGCAAATATTTCTGCGAAACCTAGCACGACCTTTCTGCAAACCGTGCTATGACATCAGGCCCTCTTTGTGCCACACAGCTCTAAATCTTGTTCCACAATCTGTTATTGGTTCCCCGATGCCAGAACCTGTGGATGGGGGGAACTAGTGTTGCGAAACAACAGGTTTACAGCAACTGGTAAACTACAGAGGCTTTGCAGGGCAGCCATCATAAAGGACGGTCCTTTTGTTCTACAGGGTATACACAGAGGAGGTTTTCCTCTGGAACAAAAGAACTGCCCTGCAAGACGGCTGCCACGCAAAGCCTCAATATCGTGACACAAAAGATACTCACATCAAAGCTGACAGAGAAACACTGGTGCATGGTATCCTTGAAGTAAGACAGCATGTTAATCTTCTCTGTCTCCTCAATGTCTAAGATGGAATCGATGTCCAAGTTCTCGTCCACCTGTTTGATGTTATGCACGATGGTGTGGCACAGGCCCAGGGCATTTTGCTGGATGGAATTTCAGAACACAGGAAGAGAAGAGACAAGCTTTTGGACATCTCGCTAAGCAACTTTCCTTGCTTTTGCTTAACAAGGTGTAAACCATTTCATGATATTTTTGGCTGGTAATCAGTTAGCTACATGTACTTAACCCCTTCATGCAGGGATTTTTTTGACCGCAACTGGGCTGTGGTATGCCCAGTATGCAAAGCTCTGTCCAGCAGCAGGCCCACATTGAAACCGCAGGTGCATGATGAATAGAATGAATGTGTGGTATGCACTAATCCTCCCACTATAACAACCCGATTGAGGCCTTTCCGGTCTTCCACTGTGGTGTTCCCGCACCAGACAGCGATTGACAATGTCAGGACACGCTCAACCACTGCCTGATAGAACTTCACCAGCAGACCTTGGCTGATCCAGAAACTCCTCAGTCTTCTGAGACAAAACAGACGTTGTTGGGCTTTCCTTACCAAGAAATCAACATGGGTTGTCCATTTCAGATCATTAGTCATATGTAAGCCTAAAAATCTACAGGAGTCAACCCTTTTCAACCAGACTACAAAGATGCAGCACGTTTGAATAAAGCGGGAACCAGCATTGGCATGCAATGAATATTCCAACGTTGACTGTCAGAACCCACCTTTAATTCATCCAGGGCCTCTGCGATGGTGTTGTGGCTTGAGGTTTGATCGCTCGTCAGCGTCACTGCCTTGCCGACTGCTCGCTCAAACGCCTTCCGCTGGCCGTGAAGTTGGGAAGAGTGGTTGACAACAAGAAGTAAACACTTCACCTACAGACAAATAAAAGTAAGACATAACCTCAGGAGTGACAGAATTGTTACAATGGTAAATGTCAACAGCGAAAACTACTTTTACAAGGGGAACTAAAAAATAAATGTGGCATTATTTTGTCGTTTGATTTAGCTACATTTGTAATCATGAAGACACACTGCTCTGTTTCGATCTACTTGTGAAAAAGGAAGATTTTAAAACAATTACGTATTACACACTGACGAACGGTTCACTATTTGCTCACCAAATTATGGAAAGAGTTGAATTTCACGAACAAACACTAAACGTAAAACTCTTGATAGCAGAAAAATTTTGCTCAAACAGACACCGGGTTACACCTGCAAGAATGTCATTTCATGTACAATGTGTAATGCTGGTCTTGAGCATTTCTGCACAGGTATTAATCTGGAAATATATTGTCGTCTAATCTGCTCCATGACATGCGACAAACAAAAGCAAATAGTAATGATAGATAAGCTATCTGTACCTGGATATCGGAGAGAGCAATTGTGGTTTCCACATCGGGCATGACGTGAACGCAGGGCTCGTCCCACTCAGGCAAGTTCCCTTCCTCCCCGCCGTCGCTGCACCGCACCAGGAGCAAATACCCGACGCTGTCCACAGAGGAGGGATCGTTGGGGATGAGAGGCATATCCTCACGACCGCACAAGTCATCCAGGAGCTGTAAGATCTGCAGCGTGTCCTCCTTGAGATGCTTGGGGACAAACATCAGATGGCCAGGGATATCTGCCCCCATGTTCACCTGGTGAGAACGAAAAGCATTCAGATAAAAATAAAGGATTTCCTCACAGTAGATTTGAGGTGAAAACAGGGAAAGATTCCATAGAATTGCTGATTGTCTTTCAACTTTTCCAACTATGAGTATCCAACACACAGGCTGAGACAGTGCAAGCTGGCAAACAACAATGAATGGCCAAGGTTTGAAATTTTAATAAAAAACAGAATCAGAATCTAGATTTGCACCGAGTTAGATGTAAAGCTTGACATTTCTACAATTCATCAAATAAACCCCAATAGAAGCTGTCTGGATGCATTTTAAGAAAACAAATCTTGTTTCTTTCTGTTCCACCTAACATCATATCCATCAATGCAATTGACAAATTCAAAAACAGGTAGATATTTTAGGTCAAGCTGTCTTGCTTCACCAACCTTGATATGATCGGACACTTTGAGAACTCTCAGCAATTCCTTTGTTGGCACTGTCCTCTGGAACTCGGCAGCAATTTCCAAATCCTATCAAAAAGATGAACAGCACTCCACATCAAAAGATTGAATTCTTTAACAATTGGGTTAATCTATCACAATTCCTTGAGGTCGTATTATCAGACAATTTGAAGCTGATGAAGTATACCTTTCTCAGCATCTTGGCAAATCCAAGGGCCTTGGAGGCCCTCTCCCGAACTTCATGGAACAGCAGCTTGAAGTGCTTGCAAGAATTGATGATTATTCTCCTAAAAATTGCAACCAAATCTCCAGAATTTATTCCTTAAAGTATGACAAACTTCTGGAAATATGTTCATGCATACTTCACCTTCAAAATATTCACACTGTTTAAGAAGTAATTATTTTCTTAAAGACTGGTCGTTTTCACAAGAAATTTATGAACCATTAGTTATAATTTGAAATTTAAACAAAAAGTTTTAGAAATCCTACTGCTTCTTTAACAAATGGTAAAGTTTATGAAACGGGATACAAAGGAGCTCACAAAAGCTTGGTAATAATTGCTGATTGTTAGAAGAATTGGGGGCCAGGATTCGGACCAACTTCCTAAATTCACAAGTGCTAAACAATATACCTTGTTTGAGGATTTGCTATTTTAGGGGTACATGAATGAGGTATAAAACATGGGTGAACTAGGTTATGCTTTGTACTTCATTGTGTCTCCATGCGACTGGCTGTCTTGGTGGGAAGAGCTGACATCATCCACTCCGTTCTCTAGATAGTCTCCAATGGACAACAGTAGATTCTTGGCCATTATGCTGCAAAGAAACACCAAGATAAGCGATAACATAACAAGTACACCTGTAGAGGCCCCTAGCTTGTGGCTAAGTCGACTTCCCACAGATTCGTGTTTTGGTTTAGCTGTAGCCGACTGATTCGCACAGGGGCCAAGACTCACCAGAACCGTTTGCCAGCCTGGGCCTCGCCTCCTCGGACATGGGGGCAGATCTCCTTGGTGAAGTCCCACTCGTCATCCAGGATATTCTTGAGGCTGATGGAGGCTTGGGGTAACCTCTGTAGCATCAAGATCCAGCTATGAAGGTACTCAAAGTAGCACTGGGGAAACGCGGCAATCAAATCGGAACAAAGCCACAATCAGTTACACCAATCAGAATCAAAACTAATCACAGTGGACATTTCACAGAAGTCTCCATCCAATGATATCAGTACGATGACCCCTGCTCACCAGGCCCATAATCAATCCTAAAATCACCTCAGCTCCCAGGGGGAGTCTATACAGACTTTTGAGACAAAGGCCAAAGCAGAGTTACTGGTCTTTTTTGCCAGCTCTGAGCATGCAAACGATGGTGGAAACAGATCAGTATGCCTACTGCCAACACCTCTGCCAAATCGACTTATCGCAGAAAGTCTTTTCACACTCACTCTGAGCATTTCTTGTAGATTGTTCTCGTACTCCTCAATGTCACTCTCAGCATGTTCCTGGGCCTTGACATCATCCGGCGTGACAGCGCTAACCATACTCTGGTAGTATTGTTTCATGTGCACCGAGGAACGAATCACTTCCTTACACTCGTAGATGAGCTGCACAAAGCAAAAACAGCCACCGCTCAAATTATTTCAGCAGTGAAAATGACATTTCCTGCACTTCCAACCAGATGCGTTTAGCTTTGCACTTGCATAAACTCTACGCATCCACCGATGGAAAATTCTCTGTGCGCTCGCACCCAGGCCATTTTATAACCCTGTCGTACTGGAAATATTGCGAATTTGCATGCTTGGCAGTATTCAGCTGGTAACCAGCCAGGAGCTGCATACATTACAAATATATAAAGCTTTGGTTGGTGAGCAGGAAAATGTCTGTGCATGGTCAATATTTTGGCTTAGAAGCTGTATGCACCTGCAGTAGAGTGAAATCCCCAGCTCATGGAATGCAACTAGTTTTAACGTGGCAGTTTTAACATACCTGCTGGATGCTGTGAGCTGAGGGATCTACGGCTGGCTTGTGTTCCAATCGGAAGCGTAGGCACTCATGCATAACGTCCAGAGGAATTCGTAAGAGAAACAAATATGCAGGCCTGCAAACATACAAAAATGAAATCTGAATCAAGAATTTTTTTCAACTGAAACCAGGGTCAATCTGGATCAATTCAGCAAGTTTTTAAAACTTGACCAATTCCTCTGCAATAAAATTTACATAAACAATGATCAAGGTACAGTCTTTCAATGGACATGTAACTTTTGCATCACAAAACCAACTTTGAAGTTCTCCTTTCACAATGAATATTAATATTTTACAATATCAAGAATTTGACCATGCCGTCTGCACTTCAAGCAGGATTTGAAAAAAAAGGCACCAAAGGTCAAAGGTAAGACCCTCATTATGGCGCCAACTTGACTACCCAAGTTTTATTATACATAATATCTCAAAAACTAATATTGTAAATGATTCGAAAATGGAGTTGTTATCTTGCAGTGACTGGCACTGATGTACACAACAGACCCTGCAGAAAGTGAGGTATGCTGGTAGTTGCTGGAGTGGTCTGAAATTTCTTCTATCCTTTTCAGGATTTTTGAAGGCCCCCCACAATAGTGCTTATCAAAGGCACTGTTTGGGGAGTGATAAGTGATATGATTGAAAGTAGTCAATGCCAATCACTACTCAATCGCTTGGCTTAAAAGCTCTACAACATAAATTCCATGCAAGGGAAAACAACACACCCACACATCACATATTTTGTGAAAAATATCCATTCCTCTGACAAGATTCTAAATGAACTGCAACCACACAGGAAATCTTTACACTTGCCTACATTCCTGAATAAAATTAGGAGTAACCTACACAAAGCACTGCATGAATAAGTACTTGGCTCCAAAAAACTATTTAGCTATAACTTGGGTTTAAACATGTACTTGAAATTTGTCACCTGTACGCCTAATTTCAGCTGTGTCCAAGGGCTGATCCAGAACCCCAATTTTTTTTTGAGGGGGGGTTCCAAATTTGTTGGGGGGGGCAAAACTTTTGGAATTTTCACGTGACCTTTTATGTTCTTTCCAAAGGTTGATGCTACATTTTAATGCTTTTTCCTTTATTTTGAAGACAAAGGAAACAGACTGACAAGATCGTTTTCCTCTCGTTATTTATCATAATTCAATTTTTTATTTATTGTCTCAGAAACCTTCCGGATACCTTTAACGACAAGGAAACCAATGACAGATGTATTTTATATTTTTCACTTGCCAGAGGCAGGGAGTCCTGTTGAAGGTACATGTACAGTGTCTGGGCTCAATCGACCAAAAGTCTCTAAAACCTCCTGGTGAATTTCAAAGGATCCAGGAGGTTCAGGGCAAAATGGTTTTATAAACAATGACATGTAGCTTCGCATTTTAGATTCAAAGGTGTAAAGTAAATAAGTTCAAAGTATTGCAAAGGTTAATGGAGAGTTTGTACACTCCCCTAATTCCTCAACGTGTTGATGTACAGGGTACAATCCAAACATTTGATTTCCTGTTTTTTCATTTCCTGAATGTCAACATCGACTGCAAGGTTAAACAGACAGGATGTGCTCACAAGGCTTGTTCCGGAGAATGCAAGGGCAGAGCCCTGGAAAATTTATCGCTACAGATGGTGGAGCACAAAGAATACGCTCTACAGAATGTACGGATAGTGAAGAAACTTTACTTCAGCTATTTCAACTTGCAATGACTTAACAGAGAGTATAAATCGTGATTTACACAAATTTTTATTCTTTTTTTAACGAGTTTTCTCTGTATTTTTATTTGTTATATTGGCAGCAAGTCAGATCTTGCTGGAAAAGGTATATTTCACAAAGTAAAATCTTTTCCCAATGCTATGATTTGAAGAAATATGTTGACCATACAAAAAAGAGTGACACTTTTTGAAAACTAGACTTAACAGTGCATCACAGTTACATCTTAAGTTACACACAGTTCACAATTTGTGACTAGATGATAAACGATGACACCCAAAGCCTTGATTGCTACTTAGGAAGACAGTTTGCTACCTTCAAACATGGAGCGGTGCACAGAATGTCATACGTGAAGCCATGCCCGCTTGAGGCAGTGACAAGGGTCGTGTATACTTACATGAATGAGGGCAGACCCATAGCTGTAAACTCTTCACTCCAAGCCCCGTGTGTTGATAGCAGGTCGTACTGGTGTTGCTCGACCTGGTTGGTCTCCTGCGTTATGGGGCTTGTGAATGGAAGCGGATTGCCCGACACCGAATCGTAATCAACCTGCGGGAGAGAACACGCAGTTTGTTGAATCTGTCCAGTGCAGAATTTCAATTAGGTCGAGAATGGAAAGCTTTTAGAACTCTCCTCACAAAGGTGGACAAAACATGTGTGGAAAAATGTGACTTTTAAAACAAGAAAATTCTACACTGTAGAAGTGGGTGTTTAAGGGGGAGGCAAGGGGTCTGGGTGGCACTTCTCCTATTGACAAAAAACAAACCCCCCAAAAATAATACCGATGAAAGGGGACGAGAATCATCAATTTGCTTTGATATTGGCCCCGTTCCATTGTAAATGGCTTATCGGTCTGTTTTTGATGAGTGCTTTGGGTTTGTCCCACCACCATCCCCCCCCTTGGAAAATATCCTAGCAACACCCATGACAGTAGGACAACCAGCAACCAGGATTAGAAGGTACTACTGAAGAGGTTGTATCATGCTTGCATGTAGGTCACACATACTTTAAACACCCGTGCACTCACTACAGTGTATCTGGTTCCAAAGGCTGGTCTAGCGTGGGACTCATTTAAATGAAAAAGTTCCAAATCCATTTACAGTTTTTCCCAAACGTACAAACAGAACCGCCCCTTTTCGAGGTTTGACGTTTTGACAAAATCTGGCATTCATTTCTTTGAGAAACAATGCCTGTCAAATGAAATCTGAGTTTCAGAACACTCGACTACTCGGTCATTGTCAAAGGAACACCATGAATTCATCACCACAACTTTATGTCAACTATTTACACTGTATGCAATTTGTTGTGTTTAAGGTTTTCAATGGCACCGTGGTAACGGTGAGCCATTTACATCTTTTAACGGTATGGGAAAGTTTGCTAAACGTTTTTCAAATTAAACATAAATTGCCACCCTTAGTCTAGCTCTAAGTGTGTCATGTAATGTCAAACTTTCCTTACACTGCTTGGCCTGTGCTTCCGCTTGGGTGTATTGATGTCCTCAACAAATGTAGGCTTCTGGAGAACCTGTTTTGTTCTCTGTAGTGTCTTGCCTAGCAGGGTGTACAGCATGTTGGTCATTCTTCTCAGGCCGCTGTGTTTCAGGCTCCGGTCGACAAAGGGGCGGTACATGGAGGTAGCCGAGTTGAAGTCGAAGCTGAAGTGGCACTGGCTGAAGATGCGGGCAATGCGGGGTGAGTCATCCGATACTGAGCCTTTGAATGACGGCGTACTGTGGTGGGGGGTGATTCTTGGAGAGGGTTCACATTCATCGTCAGCGTCGTTGAGTCCATCATAGCTGTCGCTGTCTTCTTGTATGTCAAAGGTCACAGATCGAGTTCTCTTTTTGGGTACTTGGGTATCTTGGTTATTCAGCTCTGGTATTGAAGGGGATTCCACTTCCTTTTCAATTGCTGTTTCTTCAGTGTCTGTTGAGTCTAACGAGCTTGAAACCTCCTTAACATCAAATAATCTCCTTGGGTGTGGTTTGATCAGACCGGATTCGACCTTCTGGACAGCATTCATTTCCAGTTGGTCAATTTGTTCATCTTCAGACTCATCATCGAGTATGAAAGGCCAAAAGACTCCTTCGATGTCAATCACCCCGAGCATCAAGGCAGCCTGTTCCAATTTGTGGTTGAGATCGCCGGTGATGTTTAACCACAAGCATAGCGTCTCGATGCGCTTTCGGAAGCCTGTCATTTTGTAGAGCGGGTAATCGTTCTGAAGTGCCCTCAGGGTCGAATACAGCTGTGAGGCTTCCTCTAGCTGCTCCATGATGCTTGTGATCTGCTTCCAGGCTTGCCGGGTGTTCTGAATGTAGTTAGTCAGGGCGGCACTGAGTGGCATGCACATGCCGACACTGTCTGAGCTGGCTCGACGGTTTAAGAAGGGCGTGCTGCAGGTGTTGCAGGGCTTCAGCGGCTCGTCTTGGCTCTGGACACTCCGGTCTGAATCTGATCCCGTGTCCCCTTGGCTTACGCTCTCAGAAGCAGTGTTCGATGACAACAAACGGCCTCTTGGATGACGCTTCAGGGTGCATTTTGTGGGCCCTTTACCCTTGGAGGGGGAGGGAATAAACTTAAACCTGAGAATCGCTTCCAGGATGCTGGGGATCATCTCCCGAGCTTCGACGATCCGTTGGTCCTCCTGTATCATTGTCAGGCCGTTCTGAAATGCCTTCAACTCCAACCACAAGAGTTGATTCCAGGCCATGCGAACTGTGTCCGTTTGGTTGGAGTTCTCCTGCCATCCGCTGTAATTCTTGCCTTCCACACTTCCTTCCTTCTTGGCGGTGCCGATGCGGATCATCTCTGAGAATATCTTGTGGAATGAGATGCGATCCTCTGGGCAGTAGCACTTTCCCACAGAGTGCTTCTTGCTCTTGGAACTCTTTGGAGAGGGCGGGGGACTTTGGCTCACTTGCTGAGTGGTCAGACTGCGGAAGAAGACATTGGAGTCCACCTTGACGACTGGCGACGGCATAGGGTCCAGGAATGTGTTCAGGGGTACGATCACACTAGGGACCTCAGTGCCGTCATAGTTGACGGCACTGTGCTTGTACTCTCGTTGTTGGTTGCGCTCGATTGTGATGCTCTTCCGCTTCTGCTGCATGGCGGTGCTTCCGAGGACCGGATCAATGAAAGCTTCTCCTTCGTCCACTTTGTCCATTCTCACCAGGCTTCTCCGCGGACCACTGTTGAACGTCTTGGGGATACTGTCCCGTCTCGGGATGACCAACCGCGGTGGCTTGGGCCCCTGACGGGAACGCAGGTGCTGTCTCTTCTCCTCCCTGTGGTTGCGAGGAGGAGTGGTCCCGGCCCAGTAGCCAGGATCGTTATCAAACGAGCTGAGGTTGTCTTCTTCTGGGATGGGGAGGTGATCTCTCATTGCAGCTGCATGCTGGCTGCTGGACACATGATTCAATGTGGCAGGTTCCCCTTCAACATCTTCAAGGCTACTGTACTGGTCAGCAGCATCTCCGATATTGTCATTTTGGTGATGGAATAAGATATCATCTGGCAAATCACCATTAGCACTGTTGTTTCTGTCCTCCCTGTTAAAAGAATATAAACTCTTGTAAGCTCATCACAAGAGGAAATAAAGTCTCAATTCATTTCTAACTTTGAAATTTATTGAAACAGTTTGTTGATTGTTCAATCAGTTGAGAGAAAAAACACTAAAATCCTTGAAGTACTTGGCAACTGTTTCACAATACAAAAAAATTATTCATCTTACGTGTCACTGTTCAGAATAAAAAAAATTACATTCAAAGTTTAAATTATAGGAAAATTTAGTAAAACTATTTCGAGGGGAAGACTGTTGAGTCTTGTCACGCCTGACCAACTTTATTCACCACGTATAATTTCATTGAGGGAAATCACTACTCCCAGACGTCCACCCCACTCCCACATCGGACCCCACAGTTCTGGGGTAGCAAGTCACTTCATGCAGACAATTTTGAAACAAATTTGGAAAGTCTAATCTGCTATGAAAGTGTCCCCCTCCAAACATGCATAGGCTAGTTAAGAGTGTAGCCTACCTGACTAAACTATCGGACTTTGACCAAAAGAAGCATCTGAATTATTATTATTTTATTCAGAAATCAACCAACTAAGCAACGAACGTACACGAAGAAAACAAGATACAGTTGATTCATTCTGGGATAACCCAAGAAAGCCGATTACACAGGCTTATTTCCATTGGGGTCCCTTAAGCTTAAGTACATGTAGGCCTATGGGCAAATTCACAAAATTACACATGATATAGGCAAAGGCCCTACATACAATAATAAATTTATCGTCACTGCTGGCATGACAGGTTGGCAGATAAAGTGTAATTCCCGAAATATGGAACTTTTGGACCTGTTGCAGCTGATGGCATCTTATACATGTTAGGCCTTCCGCATAAAAGTCCACATAGGCCTACACATGATACACGTAAAAATCCAAAACATTGCGTCCGGAAACTGGGCAGGAAATGTACCATGCTCACACAGACTAGACGTCTTTACATGCCGGGATTTGTTCAAGGTTGATCATTAAAATACACAATCTTTCACACTTCACATCTCTTTCCAAATTCCCACGGCATGTCTACTTCGATTTCTGCCACTTCTCCTGAAATTCCACTTAATATCACTTACATCTTGACCGAGAAAACAGGTGTTCACTTCGTCGGTCACGTCGACTCGGTCCGCTCACGCCATTAGCCCCTCAATCGTTCAGACAAAACACCCCGTTCGAGGGTCTTTTTGTTTCTTTAACAAACTCCTCTGTTTTGCTGCGTGTCAGTATAGCTGTACGCACAAGCACCCAATGAACACCCAATCGGGGCTTCATATTCAATACCCCTATCGGGAAATGCGACGTCTGTTTTCAATCTGGGTTAACTGTAAAACCACACGTCATGTCTGTCTGCAACGGTGATTTGAGTGTGATGGCCAAACTTGTAAACCGCGAAACGGGCAGCAAGCAGAGAGTTGCCAAACGGAAGCGCAAAACACTTCGAAAGAGGAAGTTAAGCTGGTAGCGCGAATTAAATGATTTGTGCAAGGCGAAGGTGGGTCAACAATACACCACATGATAAGCCGCGTTACGAAGTTTCAGTTTTTCACACACAGATCTTGAATCACAGGGTCAACTTAATGACCTGGGAAAACGCAATACCACTCCGCAAATAATGCAAACATGTAGACTCAATGTAGACTTATGTTATTACTTTATCAGTTTGATTTCTATTTCATTAATATTTGCTGTACAGAAAATGGTTTCATTTTGAGTCATTTCATAATGGTATCATCAGATGTAGAGACTGAAACATAGTTCTGTGTCATAATCACAAGTTTCTCCCCAAGTTATAAGCTGATCCAGTCTCATCTGTTGAGCAATCCATTACAAAATTCCTGTGGAAATTTAAGATCGGAGCATAAATGCTTAGATATTCCAAAATCTGTCTCATTTTTTGCAGACTTACATTAGAAGCAAACTAAATCCTCTCAACAAAAATATTCACAGTATCACATTTTAATGTCACCCCGACTGCCTCTTTAATTTGATGCATATGGAAAAAGAATCAATATGAAACAGACATACCGTTATCTACTTATCATTTGGCTCAAATGTGAGTTGGAAGTGCAGTTTGCTCCAGATTACTTCCTTGTCTTAAAGAAAGTCAAATAAGAATGCAATGAATGAAACCTGAAGGAGAGAGGAAAGGGATTTCTTGAAATGCCTTCGAAGAAGGTAACAAGATCTGAGCATGGGTATTGCCGGATCAAATCCGTAGGAGTGATTCATCTACAGATTGCTAGCAGTTTCTACCGTAAGAAGTGAACACCACCACAGCAATTTCAGTTCTAAAATGTTCTGATGACCGGCATCACGTCTCAAAGGGTCTACACAGATATCATTAACATCTGGAAGTACTTGTATGAGGCAACAGAGTATAGCGCCCTCAACGTGATTGGATGAGGCTAAATGGGAGTGCTCCCACGAAGAGTGCTTGAACACCACAGGTCATGAGGTCATAACAATACTGAAATTGTTCCGTTTGATTCCATTCCTGACAACTGTCTTTGGGAAAGCTTTCCTCTGGCTAGGTTCACCGGTGAACTGACACATGACGAAACTGAGCTTTTGACTGCTATGCGAGGCAGTGAGGTTGCAACCAAGGCTCTCTAACATTTCCTGGAAGAGTTCATGGCTGAGATACCGAGAATTCTCCAGACAGGCAAGTGGCAAAACAATCTGATGGAGAGAAAGGGACGGGAAAATGTTTGGCATCGGGTGTATGTTACTGACAAAGTTTATAAACATTCAACATATCAAGAGAATGAAATTACTGAATGGGATTAAACTTACAAATAAGTGTCCTAGTGGCTTGCATATCGCTCTACATTTTTTGAGCATTTCTCCACGTCTAGCAGGTGAACCAACAAAGTTCAGAACCAAACTCAGAACAATGATGTCATAGAGCATCGGCTCATCATTCTATTAATGAATAAAACATAAGTCTCATTCACACTTAATTTTATCATAATCAGTTCCATATTACACTGAACAAAAGAATAGCTGTCATATCCATGTGTGGGGACCATGCCCCATAATTCCATCTAGCCCCAATATTCACATTTTCTCTGGAATTTATCTCTCAACATTTTTCTATGGCAGTACCTTCAAAATTTTGGGTCCTCAAAATTGATGGCCGTCTGAAAAAGTTTTCAAAATATGATCTAGTGGCAAGCTTCCTCAGGAAAAAAAACAACTAATGTGTAGCACAACTTTTCCACAAAACCTGGTTACAAAAAATCATGAAGTTGTCAAGATTCAATAGGGCTGTGCCAAATATCTGAATAAATGAATATTCGATCGATTGTCAAATATTCAAATATAATTTTTCAAATTTGAATATTTGAATATGAAATTCATGAAAAGGAAGGGAAACCTTTCTGTTGTTTTAAAGGAGAAAAACTGCATTATGGAGGCTTGCTTCAAGCAGATTCAAATGAAAAGTGTCAGAAATCTTACAAGGATTTAAAAAAATAAATTATTCATTAAACAATTTAAAAGGAGTAGAAATTTTCAATGGGGCATGAAGTCTTGTTCATCTCTTAATTTTTGCTAAATCTTGGCTGGAGACACTCCTAAAGATACTGCTGCCACTCACTGCAACCAAATATCCTGATCTTCAATCAAATGGAAGGTCGAGTATTAGAATAGTGAATTATTCAAATTGACTCAGCCCTAAGATTCAATGATCTCTTTTCAATGACTTTCCGTTCCTAAGGCAACTTCAGGAAGGTAATGAGAAAACACTTTCACAAAAATTACCTGGAATGTGAAAAAGTCGGCTTTGATGATACAGCCATTCTGAGGGTTAAGATCAATGGCAGTACAGTCGATCCATTTCTTCTGCTTTCTGTAATGATTGTCTAAAGCGCCCACATCCAAAAGTTTCAACTTGGTTCCCTGAGTGACAATCAAACATCAATCTTGTTAATTTGCGGTTTTCCTAGTATTTGGAAAACTAAACCAAGACTTATCACAAAAGTAAATGTAAGGCGAAAAGAATTTTTAAAAAGTGTACAATGCAAACTGAACATTCAAAATGTAGTCCAAGTTATGGCAATGAATTAACCTTTTCTTTCCTGATATTCAATTCTTTCAGTTTTTGTAGAACCCATTTTGCAGAGTTGATGTTTCCATGGTGAGCTTCTCCGAGTTTCGATGCTGATTGATAAGCATCAAGTCCTCCGAGCTGTGAAAAAGAGACATCAGAGTTTTACATTCATTCAACCTCAAAGTCTATAAAATCAACAATGAAATCTCTCAAAAACCAACCGTCAAAACGGAGGATATCTATCAATTTTGTGTGATTCTGAAATTACTGTAGCTTAATGGTATAATGCACAATCACTAATTTGATGGGAATACTGAATCTTTAGTTTTGGCAATACATACTTGGGTCTAATACTTAGGTAAAAAGCTGGCATATAATTTCACGAAATCATTTCAACAACAGGCATAAATGATGATACCACCGTAATGGTCAGCAGTGCGTTTAATTACATTTTAAAAAGTCACATAAGAAACATCATACCTCTTCCACACACTTTTTCAAGGAAATGATCCTTGGATCGGCATGTGATTCTTTCTCCTTTTTTCCACTGATCTTTTCAATTTCCTTGTTAATAGTATGCAGCTTTGAAATCACCTTGTTATCTCTGTGAGGAGTCTTTCTAAAATAAAATAAATATTTTGAATTTAATATTAGAAATTTATAATTCAAATTTCAACGACAGTATAAAAAATTCCAGGACAGCTCAGCTTCGCACATATTCTGTACCTAGACTGTGTACATCCTAGCCTAGGCAATCCTTATGTTCAGTTCCTACTTTTGTTGGACAAATGGCCTCTCTTAAACTGCAAAAATTGTATGAATTTCAATTCCTCCCGAACGTTTAATAGACCTACTAACCCACACGAAAAGAGACAAAATATTTGAAAAAGAATTCTAATGTAAGATGTCATTAAGGCTGCCCATACAGCAAAGATTAAGTCTGTACTGCTGACACACATGCTGGGAGAAGTTTAAAAATTTGAGGTGTGTTAAAGGTCAATTTTGCCACATCCTGCAGTGGCTGGCTGCATGCGAAGCCATGGCAGAAGGCATGGCATTGCATTAGCCAAATAGTTACCAAGTCCCTACATGCCTTTTAATTTTATGAAACCAATCATCATCATCACGACCATGAATGATGACCACCCCCCAGAACTGTGAGTCCGACGCCCAGAGAGGAGCGGACGTCGCGTCGGACCCACAGTCATGACAGTGACAGTGATGATCAGCATTAATAGTGCTCGAGTATATGCAACTTGAAGCACAAGAAAAAAGTCGTGTCTGGAAAACTCCTCACATGTTATATTCCGTAACTGGCCGATATCGCTTTCTTCTTGACTTCATTTTGAAGGTTTACCCATAAAATTCAACGTATCGATACTTGTTGTTGACAATGGACGCAGCCATCTTGAATTGGAAGTTTTTTTCTCTCAAAATCAATCAAAAGAGGGCGCTACAGCGAATTACTGGGTGTTCTAATTTTTCGCTAAACAATTAACGAATTCGTAAGCGCAGTACTTAGCACGAACAAAATAAGCAGTGTTGATCAAGTTTATCACGATGTCGTCTGCAGAAGAGTTCGATCCAAAACAACCGCAGTCGGCTCCGGAAGTCGCGGACAACGAGAGCACAAGCGAGACCCGAGAAACCAACGATTTTCACTCGACAATCGACAGCCTGACAAAACGAAAAGCTACACCGTTCACTTCCACAATGGACGTGGCTCTCGCCACAGCATACACGACGGAGAAAAACATACTTGACGGGACATTCCGCGAGCACGGTGTACCGACGAGGCAGCAGAAGCAGGCCGCTTGGGAGAGGATACGGGACTGTGTTAATGCGTAAGTGCTTTCCAGATTAGCTTTTGTCTTTTGATGGCAAGATGTCAAATTTTTCGTCATAAAGATCTTATATCTTGAGAAATAATGGCTTCCTGATCAATAAAACTGAAAGTTTTTTCCAGATAATCCATGGAGATAAAGTGTTGAGAAAAGAGAGATAAGACCTCCTACCCCCCCCTAGAAAATTTCATAGAACTGCTTAAGCACAGAATTTGCTTAAGCGCGAAAAAAACTTGCTTAATATACAAAAGAGTACTAGCTCAAACTCTATGTGATTGTCATGCCAACCAAAACAGATAAATACCATTCCAAAACAATATACCTAACACGAAGTTTCGGCTGATAACCTGATTTGTCAAGCAAGGTTTTTCACACTAAAACAAATGTTTTGCTTAAGCAGCACTTTGAAATTGGCCCTGTAGATGTAGAGTTGTGATGCAGAAAGTGAGTAAAGACTGCCAGACAAATTGAGTGAAGTGTCAGGAAGTATGAACAATTTGTAAATGTTTTTCTTTATACTGATCTTGCACTTGTAGATTTTCAGGGGAAAACAACGTGAAAACCGTGCAACAGTGTAAAGACAGACATCGTAATTTGATACAAGCAGGTAAGCCTCGTTTTTATCTCCAAAAAAAACTGCAACAAAATAAAAACCAGTAACTTTTAACAAACCAGCAACCAAATAACTTTTTTTCTTTGATTTGATAAAACCATGTATTTTAGTTCGCTTCAAGAGGTCATCTGGATTCCTGGAAGGACCACTGCCATTGCCTGGCAACATCCAATCACAGGAGATGATTGATCAACAGGGGGAGGCATCACATCAAGAGCTGAATGAAAAAGACAGAACAGAGGAAGTACAGACCAATCAGCAAGAATTGCATCATGTTGAGCCAGCCAATGGTAAGATAGCTTGGACCATAGTGTCTCAATTATTAACCAATCATAGCCTGAGTTTACTATACACTCAGGAAGCTCCGCCTCCTCTAGTAGTGGAAGAAGCATTGTGTCTGCTAACAAAGAGAAACTCACCTAAAAAAATCAAGATTGTCTTCAACTTTAATCTAGACTATTTATTTCTTTTCGGTTGCCTTATATGCTCTTACATGTTAAAATATGTTCATATGCGGTACAGTAAGGTATTTTTGTTTTCTTTTGCATGTAGAATGAGTTCTGTCATGTCCGTACAGATTCCACATGTAAGAATTAAGTGAAGAATTCCCCTCCCCCCAACATTCCAGGTATTCCTTCAACATCAGGCCTATCACTCAAGGAGAAACGACCCTTGAAGCGGCCATCCTCGTCTTCCGCCGACTCCTTAGACGAGTACCACAAGCGCAAGCTCGCCATCCTGGTGAAGGAGCACATAGTCAGGGTGGAGCTGATGAAAGCCCAGACGGAATACTACCGCACCAAGACAGAGCTGATGGTCAAGCATAGCTGTAGCCGGCCAGCTAGCCTGCCCGTCAATCCACCGTCCAAGCACTCCTCCTCCCATCTACACCTGCATCCCAACCTGCCGGGAAAGACTTGAACGTTTATTCTTTTGGTAAAAAAGCCGCTCTGTTCAGCTGTACATGGTTTCTCAGAGTTTTTTTAGCAACCTGCAGAGATAGGAAGCTTGCGTTGGCTTGAAGTAATGCAAAAGGTTCTCGTTTCTGGAAGACGTTTTGAAACATAGCGGATGTTTTTCACAGATGGACACAGACATCTCCTGTGATAGACTACGTATTACCAGTCATTGGCTAGAGGAAAACAAATTTTTGCTGTGAAATGCACATTAAAAACGATTCAGGAGGGTGCTATTTTTAAGAAAATTGCTTGAGAATGTTTCAATGTGAACAGTTTCCACATTTCCCATTTTCCAAGTTTATCTGTCATTTATCCGAATCTGTACACTCTTCCATGTGTTGTTCTCACAGCTATCTGAAACAACATTAAGAATGTAAAAAATAAACACTGAATCCCATGAATATTGAACAAAAGTGCAATGACTACAAAAACTCTTTACAATCGATAGAAAATATGACATCAAAAAAATCTATTATCACAGTCATTAAAAGCAATTCATACTGCAAAATGACGCAAAATAACCTTGTCAAATACCTTCTGATAAGATTCGTTTTTTTTAATTCCAACAGACTCTTCCAGTTTTTGCAGTATTATTGACAGATTGCTTTCTGTTGACTGTTTATACTTCATTTGCCATGAAACATTTGCCATTATATGGCGCAATTACCATTCAGCTCACAGCTTTTTAAGCAATCAGATTTGCTAGGCGTCAAATCAGTATGAAGTCCAGGTCTGGCCCAATCTAACATCTAGTCACATGACACTGGCAGAAAGAAAATAGTGATTGATAAAATAAACGATAAATTGGGACCAACAATGATATTGCGATCAATCTTTTCAGGGGAAGTTTAATATTGCGAATAATACTTATTTTTAAATTTAATTCAAGCTTTCCAAATTATGCAATTATTAAAATTTAGATGTTAAAGGGCTCAGAAAGTAATTTTGTCAAAAAATATCTGATAGACCAACTCATATATGACAAAATCAAATGAAATACCCCCAGTTAGACTAATTGATATGGAATTTTTGGTATCGGAGTAAATAGTGTAAATAACTTCTAGCAAGTAATGCATTTAATAAACCCAGTTTATGGCCCTCTTCCAAATTTTTGTAGCTATTTTAGTCCTTAGATTGCCCTACTTTTTTAATTCAGTCAGTGGAGAGAATAGCCCGTCATATTTTGCTGTAAACATTACCCTTTTAATATCCCAAACCTGTAATTTATAACTTTATTTTAGTTGTTTGAACATAATGCACATTTGTATATACATAAAAAAATCAATCAATTGGACGCGATTCTGTTGCATGGCAATGTTAAAAACATACGCAAAATGAGCTGTACTTCCTATAAAACAAATCTAGCATTATTTAGTGAAAATGTCTGCTTGACGTTCCTTGCATTTACTTTTTGTACAGCCAAGCACCTGCATTTTCAGCATTTGGTTTATTTCCACTGGCTACTGTTGCTTTGGGCCTTGCAAGTCTCAAAGTTGTTGAAGTGCTGTTTCTCACTTTTCCATTACTTCGTTTACTATTTATATTTTGGCAAATCTAAGCAGCTACCTCAACAAATGCCTAGGGAGAGAGGAATGTCATGCAACTCGACGTGACCAGATGCCACCTGCCAAACATACGGCTAGACTGTGAATGAATGTATTGAATAAAAATGATCCCAAGTAACCGCCAAACTTTGTCGGAATTGATATTTTATTAGACATGACATATGACACATTCTTGAATTCAGTCTGATAGTTCATTGTCCATGGGTATTCAAGACAGTGTTGCATGGTTTGTAAGACATTCACAAAGTCTAAAATCAACAGAAAAAGAGAAGCGTCTAATATATGCACTCTAATATCTCATATACACACATCGGTGACAAAATAAGTCGTAAGTCTGGTCATTATGGGTTTAATTTCAACACACTGTGCCTTTTTCCAGAATGCCTTCTCCATTATTAATTTGAAGAGTGTAAAATTATCCAACTGCCTCAGATATTCCTGCGCCAAAAGCCAATATGACAAATGCGCCATTAACGTTTAAAAAAAAATGGAAAGTGTATGCTATGACAACATTCACAGGTTATCACATTAAGCAGGCATTAAATTTCTGCAGATCAATAAGCATCTAGCTCGCATCGGACACAATGACACCATGGGCAGCTCTGACTGCGAGTAAAGTGAAGCGCCCTCAACAACCTGTGCTTGATGCAGTTACGCTGCCTTCTCCCGTGGCACATAATTTCTGAAATCTAAAAACTTCTATGAGAATCCACAAAAATCTGGAGAGGAATCACTAATTTCGTTTGTCACGTCATTTCACTGTCGATTGCCGGGAAGTCTATTCGGTCAAACTGTTCAACTGTGACATTCAGGTGTTCAGCTATCTCGGTTGGGTTCGTGTAAAGCGACGGTTCAACTTTCAGGTCCGATATGCTCTTTTCTCTTGAAGTGAACTCCCGAAGGATGTAACTTGCCCCAGCCTGCAACGAAACCAAATTTAAATTGTTGAAAGGGCAAAATTGGTGGGCACAATGAATTTCAAATCTCAACTCGATGAACCAAGTGTCCACATTGTAAGTCAAAAATAGTGAAATTCCTCGTTGCAAGGCTAAAAGTGTGGAAAATTTGTTTGATATTGTAAGATACGTCACACACACGCATACATGGTAGAGTTTGGTTTCCCTAGGTCTACATCAAAGCACATCGGAAGGACAAATTCCCAATCCATCAAAATCTATAAAACTTGATGGCTTTTGATGGGTATAGGAAGACCGAAGACAATCTTAACCTTACCTCATGGTAGATTCTGGTATCGTTGATCCTGATCAGAACATCATCCACGCGAAGAAAGAACCTCAGCAAAATGAAGAAACAGGACTGCATAACTCTCTGAGTCGGGAAAAAATCACAAAAAAATTCACACAGAATGTTCAGTGTTCCCAAAACACAAAGTTGAATTTCACTGCATTGAAAGAAGAGACAATGTACAGTGTTCGTTTTACACAGGACTGCATGGAGACATATCTTACCATTTTCACTATGAGCGATGCACAGCCATTGTCAGCGAGCTCATCTTCAAACAGGGTCATCTCCTCGTAGAAGTGGATCTTCTCTCGCACTTTCAGCTTCTCCATGTTTATCCTTTGATCTGTTGAGGATTCCTGTATAGTGACACATGAACACAACTATCACTTCCAATTCTCCACAGCTGTTGAAATAACTTGAAACGGCCAACTGGGCTAAAAGAAAGACCTCTATTGAGGATAACAGTCCCAATAAGGAAAAAGCCTTGGTATAAACGCAACTCACTGTCGAGTTAGATTAGTAATTGTTGATGAAAGTCACCTGTAAGTCTCCAAGGAGAGTTCCCTTGTAGTCCGTGGTGAAAGTCCAGTCAAAGGGCTTGACAACCTTCTTGATGAACTCGCAGTCGCTTCTGAACAATGTCCAGAAAACAAAAACAGGTTTGAGATTAGTCAAGAGCTCCTCATGAATACAGATCTGCTCATCTGTTAAACCCTCTACCAACCAGAGCTGTTACTCAGAACGAAAAAGTTCTTTCATTACTATACAAAAAGCTATCACTTACGTCGTAAGAAAATGTTGAACAGCAAACACAGTCTTTTGGAAGTGAACTATCAAAAGGATTTTGAACAATGCAGACAATGAGGTAGGAAGATTACTGACTGTGCTATGTCCAAAAGTTGTGGCTACTGCTGGGAACAACACCTGCTCCAATGGAAGCCACTGGGCAAGCAGCAGTAGCCATTTCCCATAGGCATGTGTTTCTCTGAGCCACAGCTGATCGATCTGGACACAGTCCAAGTCTCCACACCCTTACCACACACCTTGCCTCTTGCCACTTCTGTGCGGCGGCAACTTTGATGGGGTCATTGTGAGCGTCAACACGTTTCAAGGAGTCGAATGCATTGAACTCAATGCCATAACCACCAACGTTCATGATCCTCAGCACATTGTCTCCAAAGATCATCTCGGGCAACTGAGGCAGTTCCAGTTCTTGATGATACCTACATAAGCCAAGAAGAGTTGAATATGAACTTAAACCCTAACTCCCAGGGACCATTGAAATCATGCACATGCTTGTTGGATTCAGAATGGTTACGGTTTATCTCTTTCTTTTTATGATTCACAATCAATTTTTATTTGCCTTTTATCCTTTTCTCCACATTTTTGCAAGAAGACATAATTAATTTTAGGTATTCATGTGGTTTGATAGTACATAACACAGTTTGGTATATTCTGCATATAGCAACAGGTGTAACATTTTCGTGTTCAGAGAAAGTTCAAGATTATCACAAAATTTAAATAGACATTTTGCCTACAGCTAATTCCAGAGACTCATGGAAGTCCAGTCTGCATATTTCTTTACTACAAACCTCTCCAGTTGCAAAGATTTCAATATGTGTCCCTTCGTTGATGTGATAGCCCATGGTCCAAAATTGAAGACTTCTGTCCGAGGCGATCGAACTGATGTAGCCACATCCTTGACCTCTGACATAATTGCAATTTCCCCTCTCTGTTGCCTTGAATTCTATTTTTGAGGTATTCCTTGGAAAGAACAACATGAAGTTTGGTGATGAAGCAGGTTTTCATGCTAAACTCAACTTTTGCCAAAATCAATTCAGAAACAGTTCCACAGATGGACAACACATACTTGATGCCCTGTGCACAAACCTAGCATGAGACTTGTCTGAAAGAAAAAGAGGCGCTAGGGCCTAGCCCAAGGCCTAGTCGAGTTCCACAGTCATGACTAGTAATGACAGTGTAGGCCTATATCATTTGGAAACGTGATTGACAGAATTTTGAATACTAGTACACAGAAACTGAAGTTCAAAACTACTCACTTTGGAAAGAATTGACAGCCGCAAAAGCTCAGCAACACGAACGCCAAATCCACAAATTTCAGTACTGTCCACCAGGGTTCGAAAATGAGAAAGAATTCTACGAGGAGAATGCTACTCAAAGTGTAGTGCTCGTCGTAAACTTTCAACAATAGAGGGCGCTATATAACATCCAAAGAGAAAACAGTGGGCGGAGTCAGGCGAAGGGATGTATTCTCACTACCAACAAACAAGTATTTCTGAGGGTCATAGCTGTTAAGACACAAGCCGTTTTACACAGTTAGGATGGTTATGCCATCTAATCTACCTCTTGCCACTCCGAACAGCAAAAGAAAAACCTTAAGCCAGAACTCTAAGCTTTCTGGAATTAAATTTTTCTAAGGTTTATGTATTCTTGGAGAAACGATTCCATGAATCTTGTTTTTATTTAGCAAATTAATTGTACAGTAATATGGACATTTCAGAACAGTGCATTGCCCAATCACAATTCGCGAAATATGTCGACACAATACGCGTTTCTAAAGGGTTGACAGATTTTGTGCGTTTTGATTGGCCAACGTGTTGCAAACTCTCGGAGGCGCACTATTGTGAATCACCCAAATTGTTAACCGTCAGAAAATGAAACACACAAAAAACAATTTAAATCAGAAATTCTTTGCTCTCACAACCATGTTGGAAGTTCCCTCAACTCCCTCCCTACCCCAGCCAAACTTCAATCCTTGAGAATAATTTCCATAAATACGACAATTCAACAAGAATTTATAATTTAGTTGGGAAATGGAGAAAAAAACCCATTTTCTGGGCAACTCCAAATCAAAGCCCACTTTTACCCAGGCACAATATACAAAACAGTAACAGCATTTCATCATGAATATACAATTTTATTGATCAAAAATATGAGAATATATGTAAGCACACATGTACAGCCCACAGTGAGTGTATGCGTGGCCAACTTGATAATTAAATCAGGGCCAAATGAGAAACTTGTTCCAGATTAATCACTATCCTTCCTCCAGTAGTATTTCCATCAAGCTTCAAAAGTGTTCCTGTTAAAATATTCCAATTTTCAGTCTGTCTCCAGTCTTGGCTTGAGGGATGACGTACTTCTCAAACAGCCCAAACAAGTCCGTCTTGAGTTCGGGGATATCGCACATGCGTTTGAACTTCACGTCACGCCAGTTCCAGTCGAGGACGAGGTATCGGGTGCCTGCGAGGTTCAGCACATCTTGCTGGAGCAGGGCGGCGATTCGGTTGGGCGTCCCCACTGCAAACTGAACTCGGTTCTTGGCCAAGAAATCTGCCTGATCTTGGATCTGAGGCCAGGACAGAGAGATTATTAGGCTCAACATGATGCTTTGACTTGAGGGCAAAGGGCAGTGGAGGTGGATTTTGTCCACTGTGTGTCACTGGCAGAGGGAAATGCTACAGTGGTGGTACATGCCTAATTGGAGTAAAATGCAACCAGAACCAGGGTCATAGCAATGGCAGGGGGAGCTGGGGGTGCGCTACCCCCAATAATTAATTTATTTGGCAAATAGGGCTTTGGTCAGCAAATGAATCCAACATAAATGATATACCTTGGCCATCAGCATTACCCCTGAAGCATGAAATGTAGTGTACCTGGGATTTCTATTTTATATGACACGAGGTTGGCAAATAAGTCACAAGTCGGCAAATTGACTCTGGTACTGGCCCCCCCCCCCAAGAAAATGCCTTCCCTATGCCCCTGGCCAGAACTGACTCTGAGGCATAAGATGAAACCAGTGCCAGACAGAAAATTTAGAGTTGGAAAAATGTGGTGAGTCTGACAGCTGGTTTGCATAGTGCCCCAGGTAGGACGCAGTCCAGACAGTACAGGTCTGGTTTTGTTTTACCTTCATGTGCTTGGAGAACAGTTTGGCGCTGACGCACTGCTTGCCCTTGAATGCGGCCGCCTCTCGGTTGAGATCCACCGCCCTCCTGGCTGACGCAGTAAGCAGAAGCAGGAGGCAGGTCTTGGCGGCTTTGGGTCGCTTTGCCTCAATATCTCTCCGCCAGTTCAGAATGGCAGACTCCAGGTAGGTAGACAGAGGCTGAGAGGAAAGGTTGGGTGACAGAAAGTGGGATTCTGTAGAAAAAGGACAAGATTAATCTGTCATCGGTGAAAAAGGCGAAGGTTGTGAGTTAAACAAAAGAGGAAAATTCCTTCTGCAGTTAGGATGGACAAACAATATTGTGATGTTATGTTTTCCAAACATTTCCAAGAAGGGGGAGGTCCAAAGCCCATAAGGAAATGCAGAAACAATTCCTACAATTTGCGTCTTTTTTGATGTATGGTGAAAAAGAAAACATTTTCATGAGGGATAAGACAAACCAAAATCAAACACGCAATTCCTAAACATTTTAGAAACAAACTAGTTGAAAATAAATTGTTAAAACTTTATGCTTGGAGATTAACTCATCCACAAATACTTGCTATACTGGGATCGTCATTATTTCAAGTAAAATTCACACACTCAAAGCCCCAATCTAAGATTCCAGATGGTACAAACGTAATGCTTTGTGACTTCTTCAATCATAGAAAATTGTTTTACCATTCAGTTGAAGATCATCAAGCTCAATAGGAGACAGTTTCTCCTTAAAGTGTTGCTCCATTTTCGCCATCACATCCCCCACTGTCGCCGGCATGGGTGCACTTTTAGAGAGATGCTCACTAATTTTTTGCTGAAAGTCATTAGGAAAATAAACGACAGAAGAGAATATTAAAATCCCCCCCCAAATGCAATTACCTTGGAATATAATAGAATTATAAGAAACATTACTGAGGACAATTTTTGACCAAAATATGCTTTTAACATGTTCTTAATAAAAAGTAAGCGTTAACAATGCATAGATCGGATTTGCTCCGGCACCCCATCGTCCATGAAATGTAAACTCAAAGGAAATACATGCAATAGATCTGGCATGACTAGGATCAACAAATGCATTCTTACCTTAGTTCGACGTTTCCTTTTCGTTTTCTTCTGGCTTAATACATCTTCCTCTGCTTTCCTTTTTGTTGGTGATACTTTGGAAAACTCAGTTTTATCAGACTGCGTAATCCTACCTTTTGCAGTTCCTTTCACTGTTTGAGAAAAACAGAGGAACAAAATTAGTTCTTCATCAAGATTAAAACTATATAAAAAATAAAGCAATTTTAAGTTGTGCCAGGGCCGTGTTGTTAGTTACTGTACCCCCAGAACTGCAGAGTGGGAGCGTGGCGGACGACGAGCCCCACAGTTTGCTACAGTTGACGCATGTTCAGGAAAATGCTGCAATATAGGCTCATAAATTTTTTAACTATTTTTTCTGTTTTCTTTTGGACTTGATCTTGGAGAGGAGGTCATGAGCAACATTTTGATATAAGTTTGGATTCCATCGGTGCCTGCAAAGCAAAGAAATACTGATTTAAAGTAAGGCTATTTTGAGATGTTTTGGGACATTTTTTGTAGATGTGTGATGCAGAGCAAACTGTGATTTTTTTGTACACAAAAAGAGTGTGGATTTTGACTGAAAACTTGCTTGAAATCCACATTTTCGTGAAATCTTTTTTCTTATTCGTGCCTTATTTCAATGAATTAAATATTGGCTTCACTTGAAATTAAAAAAAAAATTGAAATTGGAAGTTAAATAGAGAGCTAGAGCAAATGAGTTCCTAAATGAACAGCGCCCTCACTCATTTGTGCATGTGGATCACTTGCCTCTATTTTCGTCTTCATCACTGCTTGTGTCTGACGATTTCTTAGCATCATCCAACCACCATTCGTCGCCTAGGTCATCTCCCATTTTGTCCGATTTTAGTGAGAATTAGTGTGACTTCTTCAACGTTACAACCAATGACACGTGCACGGCGTGGCAACGCGGCACATCGCTCGTGAGACGACGTAACAGTGACGGCGCCGTAAAGAATTCAAGCGCATCTGCGTAAGCTATATACTGCCCTCAGCGACAAAAATAATAAATAATAATAATTGACATTTATAAAGCGCCCAATCCATCAAGCTGCTTCCAGGCGCTGTACATCAGTATAAGCATAGATAAAGAAATACATAACTAAATGAATGAATAAATAAATAAGAAATAAATAAAACCTACATGTACCATAGTTAAAATCAACACTAAGAGACTAAAAATGCTTGTTTAAAAATGGGGCTGGGCACGCGGCATGCTGGGGAAAGCAGCATGTTCGTATGTATTCATGTACATTATTCATCATCATTGTCATAGATTAGCATATCATCATACTACGGGTAACACCTGTTATGGGGGGGCAGAAAGACTTAAAACTTGTGAAGGTCATCCCTTACCCGAAGTCCCTGCCTCCCACCCCACCTCACTCCACCCCCTAAGAAATAACCCACATCCAACAGCAAAAAATCACGCACAACCTGACAGATTTCTCCCCACTAATTAGTGGAGGTAGTAGACAACCACGTTTAATTGATTAGTCCCACCTTAACCCCCCCCCCCCGGCCACCTATGCGCCAACTTAAGGGCACCCTCCCCCTTCAACACACCTCTAGTCAAGCCCACTTTTAAGACCAATCATGGTGCATGCATGCGAACTGTCTACCGGTAGAGGTCACCACGGTCATCACGCATGCACTCACACAGCTACAGACGTAACACGCAAGCATGGCAAATATGGCCGATCACAAGAAACCTGAGGTTTGTAAACGTTGTCGATTTACTTTGATTTTTGAGGTTTTATTCCTTGAAACTGAACACCGACCTGCAATGCTTCTTTCATGTAGTCTTGAGGTGACATTTTGAACAGGAAATTGTTGGTGCTCTGCTGGAATGTGGAGTTTTCTGTTATCACTACTCTTGTTCAACACTATCAAAAAAAAGATCAGAAATAGGCTGACATTAAACAGTAACACAACAGTTAGGTTGAAGCCAAAGGAAACTTTGGCCTCACGTTACACGTGTTATTGACACATCACGCTGTTCCCAGAACATGTACAGCACGAACCTAGTCTAATTTTAACACGGAAAGATACCCGATGTTTGACACCCAGTTTAAGTCATTACGAATGACATTGGAGAATATGCATGACATGCTGAAAGTAAATTGTGATGAGTCCTCAGAATTTGGAGAAAATAACCGCACAGTAGGTCTAGTCAGTTGTTACCTCATGTTTAATTTTATCATGTTTAGGTATTTACAATCATGTTTTAAATTATTCATGTATCATATTTGTGCTTTTGTTTTTCATGATTTTGTTTGTTCATCAAGGTATTCCAATACCTGAGTGGATTTGGCAATGAATTTGCCTCAGAAGATCCCCGATGCCCGAATGCTCTGCCAAAAGGCCAGGTAAAAAAAACAACCACCTTACCCAAAAAACCAAAAGATTTCTTCTCAAGTTCATGCATGTGAGCCTGTATTGAAACTTTCAACTCTATCTCTGTCTGCAGCTGTACATTTTTAGTTAGTTTAACCACTCCTTGAGGAGTTGAAATGATTTGGAATCGCAGAAGTGTGCCTCAGCAGAGGTTTTACTTTCACTTACGCTTACATGTAGTTTAGCTATTTTATAAAATGCTCTTTACTAATAAATTGAGAGTTGACTATATGATTCATGAGGTATTTTATTCAAAGAAAGATTTGCGTGTGATGATTTCCCTAGAACAACCCTCAGAAGTGTGCTTATGGCCTTTATGCCGAGCAGCTGTCCGGCACGGCCTTCACGGCACCTCGGGTGCACAACAAGCGAACCTGGCTGTACCGCATCCGACCCTCTGTCCTCCACAGCCGATTTGAGCCAGTACCACAGGGCAATCTGACGCATGCCTGGGACGAGTGGCATCCAGATCCAAATCAGGTACAGAAAGGGGGGGAGGGAATGTGGAGGGGTGTGTCACGGTGAGAACCTTCCTCCCTCAGCCCAACCCAACCCCTCCATTGTAAGATGTTGTCCGTTCCTACCTACTCTGTGAACCCCAATGCCCACCCCTCCCCTTCAAACTGGTCAGGCAACATCCGTGAAAGTTTACAGTGTGGTGGTTTTGTCCTCCTTCAGTTCATGTAGCTGCCAATCCTACCATGTTTCTGTCAGAATATTTATAATGAAAACGAGTATTAATCCGTCATAATCATTTGATTGGTATCTGTATTATGCTTGGAGTTCATTAACAGTCTCTATTGTCATGGGTCTCAAACCAATAAATGATACAGCTATTTATATTAAAGGCATCTGTAAAAATATAACATTTTATTCTTTTCCCAGATGCGTTGGCATCCATTTGCAATTCCTGACCCTGCGTTTGCAAGTGTAGACTTTGTTGAGGTAAAGAGCTATTCTGTTGAAAATCGGACAACATTATTTACATTGACTTGAAATTTTAAGTCACAGAAAGGCAGTTTGGTCAGCACTGTTTTGTCAGATTACGGTTTCGCAGGCTAAAACCTTCCTCAAAATATTTTGGTCACTACACTTTGGCAATACCAGGGGCAAAATTTCTTGGAGCGTAGACATTTTTTTAAGGCTGGGTCTAAAGCAGGCTTCCAGAGCTACAGCTGCATCTTTTCTTGAAGACTGTGCTGAATAACCGAATATTTGATCGATCATCAAATATTCAAATATTATTTTTCAAATTTGAATATTCAAATGCTAAATCAATTAAAAAGAAAGGAGAACTTTCTTTTGTTTTAAATGAGAAAAACTGCAATATAGAGGCTTGTTCCAAGTAAATTTAAATGAAAAGTGACAAAAACCTCACAATTTGAAAAGAAGATTATTCATTAAAAACTTTAAATGGAATATACATTTTCAACAGGAAAAGAATTATTGTTTGTCTCTTAAATCTTGTTAAATTGTGGCTGGAGATACCGGTAGACATGAAAATCTATTATAGTGATTATAATGTACAATTGTGTCCGTTATTGTAACTGCTTTTGTATATGGTTTTTTCCATCAACAATCTGCTGGCCGGTATGACCGAATTGAAGGTTGAATATTCGAATAGTGAATTATTTGAATGAACTCAGCCCTACTTTGACTTGTGTTTTTGTTGTCGTATGCAGGGTTTGAGCACAGTTTGTGGTGCTGGAGATTGTAAGAGTCGTAATGGCCTAGCCATACATATATACGCCTGCAATGCCTCCATGGGAAACAAGTGAGTTGTCAGCTCTAACGTTTGTTGTAGTGCTTCCCTTTTACTCTGCCCCACAAAAGAGAAAGTTTACTTTACAGTATAAAATGTTCCTCTCATGAAGTGAAAATGCAACACTTCAAAAATTACTTTCGATTTAACTTCTAGTACCCACTAATTCATAAAAATTACTTTACCACAGGTGTTTCTACGATTCAGATGGAGACTTCTTGATTGGTAAGTTTGGTGTCTGGCATTCAAATATTGTAAAATATATGTAAAACTTACTCAAGATGCAGAACTAAAACACAATCCAAAACACAGGGTTCCCAACTCATTAGTTGATCTTGTTTCTTTGGGATGTCAGTTCCCCAACAGGGTACATTGATGATCCATACAGAGTTTGGACGGATGACGGTGGCTCCAAATGAAATCTGCGTCATCCAGGTCAGAAACGTCTTTCCCATATTTCCTTCTTGGAAAAAAAAAATTGAATAAGGAAAGATGATATAAATGTGTATTTACTGTTTATAGCAGATCAAATTTTTTTGTTCAAAAATACATTTACTTACGCTACAGCTTCTGTGTCAACAGTCTTATTAATAACATTTCTGTAGCAAGGGATGCGATTCAGCATTGCGGTGACTGAGCCATCACGCGGCTATATCTTGGAGATCTTCAGTGGTCACTTCACGCTCCCTGACCTGGGACCCATTGGTAAAGTGGAAGTAGCTGATTTTTATAAACTGATATCGATTTTTGCAATCAATATGCAGGTGGTTTCTTCCTAAAGATGAACTGGTATATTATACTGAGGAAGTGGTTCTGGAGAATTTGTCGTAGCTATTTAGGAAGGTAGAATTGAGTTATGGTTGACTGTATAAGGAGCTTGAGACACTTCGAAGGTTGAAATACAAAGATGTGCCCTTGGGTGCAAGAGGACTTGAAGGATCTAGGCAATTTCCCTGGCAAACAGTTTGATTGGATCATTTTGTTTTGTTGTTTTAGGTGCTAATGGGCTCGCCAATCCTCGAGACTTCCTAACACCAGCAGCCTGGTATGAAGACCGTCTGTGTGACTACACCGTCATCTCTAAGTACCAGGGCAAACTCTTCGCTGCCAAGCAGGACCACTCGCCGTTTGACGTTGTGGCCTGGCATGGTAACTACTGCCCCTACAAGTATGATCTGGATAACTTCATGGTGATCAATGCGGTGGCATTCGATCATGCTGTAAGTGCAAAGCTAAAAAGAAAACTCGTGTCAACGTTTTCAATTTATGAAATGCAAGCACTCAAAGGACAGCATAAGGAGGCAACATCCAGTCCATTCCAACAGCAATGCCAAGAGCATTGTTAATACACGATCCTGCTTCTAACAAGCTAACTGTTAGATCCCCAAATCGTTCATTTTCCAGTACAGATAATCTGAGGTCTCTTTTATGACAAGGTAATTTGTGAAGTCCTGATGACCTTGTGATTGACCCCTTCACGCCGGGACTCTTTTGACTGCCCATTATGCAAAGCCCTGTCCAGCAGTAGCCCCACATTGAAACCGCAGGTGCATGATGAAATAGAGCACTAATCCTCCCACAGAGCCGCGGCGTTTGCCATCTAACGGCGTTTGCTGTCTACCGGCGTTTGCCGTCTACCGGCGTTTGCCGTCTACCGGCGTTTAAGGGGTTAAAGTATGTGACTGTTCCAGAATGCAGTGACTGTGACAGGAACTGTAGTCTTGAACATGGAAGACAAGCATTCACCCACGATTGCCTCTCTTGTTTGCTCACCCACAGGACCCGTCCATATTCACCGTCCTGACCTGTCAATCCAATAAGCCCGGTGTGGCTGTCGCGGACTTCGTCATCTTCCCTCCACGTTGGTCTGTGCAGGAGCACACCTTCAGGCCGCCCTACTACCACCGTCAGTATTACTCCAAACAGCTGCGTCATAATCACTCAGCTATGGCTAGAAACAGCATGCATGCATATGGCTAGCCACTAGGTAGTGACTGCTGCCACTTCCCATAGACTCGTGTGTGATTGTAAGCCACAGCCACTTCATCAAATATGGTCTACCCCACAAGTCACTTGAATGCATAAAGCCAAGGCAATGGAATGTGTGTGATTTCCCCCCCCCCAACCAATTTTAAGTTTTACCTTTGCTGAAGAAGAAATTAGTCTAATAAACCCTTCTCAATGATCTAATTGAGCGAGTACATCTTATTTTAGATTTTGTACGTCAAACTTGTCTTTTACATTTCATAGGCAACTGCATGAGCGAGTTCATGGGACTTATCAAAGGCAGATATGAAGCAAAGGTGAGCTGTGATAAAACCCAAGTGAAGAAATTTCATAATTTGTTGTTTTGATATTTGCAGGCATCGTTTGATGTATTTCAGTTTTAATATTGCGCCCAATATAGGAATTCTAGCTATTTGGTGCTGTTGAATTTAGAACTGTACCCTGACCCTTTTGGCCAGCTTATCTCCACATTCCATCAATGGTGATGGTGCGTAATGTCTTGCCCTTGGAGGGCAACGATTGTTTGATTAGCTTTATTGCTCCATTATCCTCTGCTGTTCAGAGCTGTTAGTCGCAATGGTGTTGTTTGTGGCATTTAAGGGTTCAGCCAAACTGTTTTTCCCTCTAGAGAATAACAGAAAATATCAGTGAGTTAATTTTTTTTTCTAAGAAGTCAGTTTTTCCTCACAGAAGAGTTTTGAAATAGACATGTAAGGGGGCAAAAATTTGCCAAGGCATTTGGAAGATTTTTCTTTTGCAAATTCCCATAAAATGTTCTTTATATGTCAACAGATACAGTGTGAGTATATTAAAATTACTCTGTGTAAAGGAAATTAACTTTATGTTTCAGAATTGTAAAGAATGCTACAGGACTGTTTAGTTGCTCAAATCCTTCAAAATACTTGAAAACATGGTCAAAAGAAGTTTCTGCTCCTTCATCAAATAGTCTGATACCTTCAGATCCTTTCATTTCCAACCCATTTTTGTTTGATTCATAGGAAGAGGGGTTCCAGGCAGGGGGTGGGACTCTACACAGCATGATGACCCCCCATGGACCAGATGCTGCCTGCTTTGAGAAGGCCTCCACTGATGCACTGACACCGCAACGTGTGGCTGACGGAACCATGGTAAGAAATGAATTTGCACTGCCTGCTGCAGTGATCAAAGGGTCATGGGTTTGAATCCAGCCAACTACAAGCATTAGGGCCGGTCAACCAATCAGCCAATTATAAAGTTCGTAATGTTACAATTTTTTTGTTTTGCCAGGCATTTATGTTTGAGAGTTCCTTCAGCATGGCTCTCACCAAATGGGGAAACTTGACCTGTGATAAGGTGGATAAGAGGTACAATGAATGTTGGGAACCACTTCAGAAGCACTTCAAGCCGTCTTAAAAACACCTGTTAGAGGGAGCAGGAGATGTGCAGTCACAGGTGCAAGATGTTGGAAGACATTTAAGATACTATTGACACACTGCATGCCACATTCATCATAATGGTTCTTGTTGGTACTCAGTATTTGGGGGAGTGTCCAGCATGACAGAGGGGGGGGAGGATTCATGGGTCAACAAAGGACAGATGTCATGCAGAAGGTGGCATAGCGGAAAATTTTGCACTTGCAGTACAATCTTAGGCTATGTGCAATATGGGAACTCCAGAGCTTTGGCTACGTCTGTTATCAGCACCTATCTGTGTATTTCCAATGGAGTTAAGACCAAGACCTTGCTCTGGGTGCAGCCTGAGGTTATAAAGTGCTCGCAATTGCTATATAACTATAGAGGGCGCCACAGCCCTGACATAAAATGACAATCAAGTGAGGGCATTTGCATGTCGCTGATGGCAGCATGAATTTCTTCCTGTTGACCAATGGCAGACCTCATAAGAAAGCACGTGGGGCACAGGGTACACGACCAGACTTCAGCAGGTATGAAAACTACATCGTATATTCTACATAAAGAATATACCCAAAAAAGAAAAATTGCCCCCAAAGGTGGTACACTACTAAAAGATTCAAGGCTGCTGTGGATAAACTGACCATGTTTGAAATTTGTTCGCTTATGCTTGAGTGCTACATCGGGTAGTTTATAGGAAAGTGTGACCCTCCCACTTAGTCTCTTGTCTTTGATGATAGCTGTGTTGATTTGAATAAAAATCAAGATCAGTTTTACCAGACTGACAAAAAATTTGGGAAGTATTTTGACAAGTTATGTGTTTTGTCAAATGATGCATTTATCTTTGGGAAGTTTACTTTTTATGTTGTTTTGTCACTGAAATAGACTTATTTCCATTAAGGCCTTTTTGCTCTGCAGCTTATTAAGATTAAAGGAGAGAGAGATATCAAAATGAATGTTGTTTTGCTGTTACACATTTGGTTCATAAACATTCTATAGCAGAAGTTTTCACACATTTTCCAAATTAGTTTTCACGTGATCTTTAATCAGTCAAAAATGTCTGCCTTGCCATCAGCTAGCAGACAGTGTTATTCTGTACTTGCCCAATCAAAATATTTGTTCCTATTTCGGGTTCTTTTTTTCTTTGAACTATAAAAAGGGAGAATACAGGCGATTCACAATAGTGCGCCTCCAAGAGTTAGGGACAACGCGCGAAATTTGTCGACCCTTTCTGAACGCACACTTGGTCAACAGATTAAGCGCACTGTGTTTGGCCAACGTGTCGCAAACTCTTGGAAGTATTTTCAATATTTTATTTCAGAATTTATGGAATTATATTTATGTTGCTTTCTTCACTTTCGGTTGAATGTCATTGGACAAGAATTGTGTTTTATGATTCAAAAGTGTGGGTATGGAGAATTTTCTGCCCCTTTATATATATATTTTAACAGTCATTTCTTCAAATGTTTGTTTATTGATATGCATGGGAGTAGTATAGAAATTTTTCCCCAAATCAACTGAATAAAAATAAAATATAAAGATATTGTCAAACAGTTAGATTTTTTCTAATTTATTTTTGTATAGTGGAGTTTGTTTTTTTGATGAATGAGTTCTCGACGTCTTGTCTTATTCAGCAACGTAGATAGGATTTTAGTTGATTGAAAAAAGTATCTACTTTAACAATTTGGGAAGATACCCATTCGCGTTAACTTCGACCAGATTTTAATTGAATGGATGACAGTAAACGATTGCAGTGTTCGACAGGATGGACTGAATTTGCCCCAATTATGTAAATTAACTGGACGCGGATTTTGGAACTTGTTGTTTGAAGCGATTCGATTTTCTTGTATGCATATTTTACGGGCCACGTTTGAATCGACTGTAAGGAGTGAGGTTTTCGTTTTTGTCGGTTGTCAGTACGTGGCCGTGTGCTGACGGGCAGGCGTCAGCTATAATGGGAAGCCTGTGGGCTTCCGTACTAACTTTTACCAATTTATCTGACAAGAAGCATCGGTGGACTGATGCAAGTCTGCTTTGATACGGTTCATGACCGCCAGAATACAATAATCCGGTTCCCATTCAACTATATACTTTGTTTATATTTCACATCTGGTCAATATTTCATTTTTTTTGTCATAACACGTAACGACCCTGGAGTTAAGATTTCACTTTTTACGAGGCTCACCGGGCGCAGACGTGGCCCGTAGCCCGGTGCTGGGCGGCACATCAACCGTGGATCAAAGAACGATCAAGCGCGGTACAAGAGGAATTTTTTGACGTGTTGGTTCGGAGACCCCAAAATTACCACATGCATCACGAACTGCACCAGGGAAGGAAGAGTCGTGGTGGGATGTTTTTCTCAGCTTTTTCGAATCTGGGTTTCGGAACAGATGCGATGTGGGAATCGATGGTTCCAAATTGGTTGGAAATCCGGGGGATTTTCATGGGGCTGACGCCATGAGTTTCGGCAATTAGTGGGTCAAAAGAGTCTCAAGTCCGCGCCTTCAGTCTGCGAATCTCCAAAATCTTAATCTGTATAAGCCTAAGTTCTTTCTTTTTTTTTTCGTTTGGGAAAAGCAGGTGGCTACAAAGGTCTCCACATACAAAATTCATTAGATGTTGGAAATGAAATTCCCTTTTTTGTTTCCAATTCGTGATTTTTTTTTACTATTTTGTAGGTCAACTCAATCGTAATCTGCGTCTTAGTCCGGCCGCTATAGAATCACTCAGAGGCGCTAGGCTTTTGAAAAAAAGAGCTTAATCAGGGTTTTAACTCAAACGGTGAGTTATCCATTACTTCAAGTCATTCATCACCGGCAATTTACAACTGTTCAAGCAAAAGAAATAAAACCATGGTTTTGATTTGTAACTTTGTTGAAAGACCATGCTAATGCAATGCCTAAAAAATACAAGGCCTTGCATTTTGCTTCGATGATCCAAAGGTAACCACGCTAGTTTGTTAATAATTGCAAGGCCTATCGAAGAATTGGCCCAAATAATCTCAAAGTGAGATTTTTGCGATCGGCGAAATGGGCACCGAGGTGGCCGGAGGAGCGCGAACCCGAGCCGGCATCAAAGGGATTTCGACCCGGTGCCAAAAAAGCTGTCGGCGTTGGCACTCAGTGGTGCGATACCGGTCTCGGGTGCAATTCTCAGCATCCGTGCAGAGCTGAAACAAGATATGGAACTATGATGACTGCACTCAGGATATGACTTGTGAAAGCTTGGGCTGTTGGAGTTTAAAGACTTCTTTCAAAGAAGTCCCATGGGAAATTATTCAAAAATAAAAATAAAAACACCAAAACCTTAATTCCGACCTACTGGGGAGACACTAAAGAGAGAAATTGGGAATTGCTTTTGTTAGTATTTAAGCATTCTGTAACGGACATTCGAACAGCAACAGCTTATTTCAGTTAGCTTTGTTCAAAGTTGAAGAGAGATTTTGAGAAAGAGGATGCAGCTGTTTCTCATGCACTACAGTGAGAGTGAATCTCCGCGTTTCAAGTTCTTTTCTATTTTTAACCGCCTTCACACCGGCCGCCTTGCGGGCGTGTAATTCAAGGCGCTAAGTGTGGGAGGTGTGGCCGGCCCTCTACCCCGGGAAACAGGGGAACATCACCGCCAACACCACGGGTATTATCGCCGGAATCCCCCCGAGCAAGAAACACCATACTCCTCTGACACACGAGACACGCCGCTTGGCCGATTGCCCCACTTCACCCCGGTGACTGGCCTGATGAGCGGCCGATATTGGGGCCTGCTGGCAACGGTCAACTTTTCTCTGAACACAATGAGGAACCATGGATTGCCCTCGATATACCAAGAGCTTTCGGAGGTCCTGAAAGATCTGTCGTGTCTTGATCCCTTCCAGGAAAGTCTAAATTAATTAGTGAGAGAGGCTGCTTTGTTTCATTGCACTAATAAGACAATGAAATGGATTTGACCTCTAACCTCAGGTTCAATAGCGTCACATTACAGAAAAAGACCTGTTTTCTGCTTGTACGCAACGCCCAAATGTCTTGATAAATCATAGTTCAACGGAGCATATATATCTGTCTCAACATTAAGCCTGTAAGTGAAAGCTTTCACGAGTTTAGCTGAAGACAGCTAATTACATCATTACAACTGCAAATGTCTCTCATTGCAAACGAAACACTTTACATGGCATGGACGGTACTGCGGAGGTCGCAGCGCACGTTACATTTCGTGCATAAGCGAACTGTTGGCGCAAGTTGCAGGCTTCAAAGCGCGTTTAGGAGACAATACTGATGCAACATTCTTCTCCTGAAGGTCTGAAAAATACGCCACAGGTCTTTTTTTTCCTTAAAGCAAAGTCCACGTTAAGTTGCAGGCAATGACATCATTACATAAGATGTTATCAGCAGTAACTACAATCAGTGTTCGCTTAGCTCCAGTTCGACAGCTAGGTATGGTGCACCCTGCTGTAAATTTCCCGCTTAGTATGATGCACACGACTACGTCCATACCAATCTGTTCATTGCCAAATAAGCCAAAAACTGGCCTGAGAAATCGCGTAGAAAATTATGTTGTCACTTTTCTCAAAGCAGCGAGCGCAAGTTGGCAGTGATTATAATGTCAAATTGCAATCAAACATCTTGGAAGAATTTCTGCAACCTGTGATGGGCATATTCAACATGCTGCAAGAAATTAGGGGCAGAGAAGTGAACCAAAAGGGCATTAAACCACGATGAAATCCTCCTCAAGTACAAACATAAACACACACTGATCCGGCTTGGTCTCGACCCCAACCGGCAACCTCGCCGGCTCAGAAAGCGCGGTAGCCGCGCCCCAACCGCGCGCTAATGTTTAGATATGCCCCAGCCCCGTTGCGGCGTATGTAGGGTCACAGCGCCGCGCTAATAGAGAGCATAAATTCCGATAAAGGGTTTGTGCCAAGGCAATTACATCAGGGGGTTGAATGTGTCATGTTCCCCTGACGAGTCTGCACACAGACACGACGGCTGCCCGGTCTTATAAACAGCGATTGTTCATTAGTTCCTCTTAATGCAATTTGTGGGTGTACAAATGTACTTAATATTTTTTATGATGGGTTATCTCAAGAAACAGCCGCCGGATTACCTTTGAATAGACCTATACTTCCAATGCTACTGCGACATTAATCGTCTGACTTCGACATGACCTTAAAAGTTGCACATCTGAATGCTTCAAAAACATTCTTTGCTACTAATGGAAATCAATACAGAAAAAAAGACTTAACAGCAACCGCACTCTAACATATCTGATATCTGAGGACATCTCAGTATCTGAATACTGAGGAGATCGATTATTGATTCATTGGTACCGTTTAATCTGTTTTCGCACGAAAGGCGCCTTGAGTATGCCATGCAGAATATCAAGAGAAGAACAAAAATTAAAGAGAGGCGGTAACTCCATAAAGTTGCTGAATGAAATGTGAAACACAATCCTGGATGTTTTTCCCCGGAAGAAATCAGCGCATTACCATCGGCATGCGTATTATTTAGCGGTGTTCTAACTCCCGCCGCCCCGCGACTAGGGCGCGTTGCACCCACACCGCGTTGTCGGTGCCTCTGAACTCAAATCGGCTTTAATGTTTGGGGCCAATCACCCCCTCGCTGTTAATAGCATCATCGTCATAAATATGCAACAAGTCCACAACGCGCACCGCACTCACTCCCAGGACTTTTTTCTCCCCTGTGTTTTTAAGAGGAGCTGTGTTTCCCTCTGATCTCGCCGCAGTTTACATTGCAGCCCGTGGTGCGGCCACCAATACACCCACCCCGCAGACAAAAGCCTCAACGGATCGGCCCCATGCCATGTAAGCTAGGGCTCTTGCTGCATGCACTGGGCCTCACGTCAAAGTTGTCACAATCCCGCTTCCTCCTTTGATCTGATGGCTGGCGCTTTCCCGTTCACATCACACGTGACTTCCAACAATCAGCTCGAACACTTTGTCGTCAGTGATCTTTCATGAGACATACACAGCGAACTTTCCCTTGACGAGGATGGTCAGCTGAACGTGTAACCGGAAAAATCACCGCATTTTCTCACGCTAGTAGAGAAAAAAGTTTCCGAAGACAGCAAGACTCGAACAAAACTCAACGCCAAACTTCTGCTCATTATTCGGCATCCGACCATCAAACAGTCGGTCACTCATCTCAAGAAAACTGCATCTGTTCCACTTTCGGCGTCGCCTTTTCACCCATCAGTCCACCTTCAATCTACCTCAAACTCCTCTCTATATACTTGAAGGCCTGCACCTTTTTACGACCTCATTGAATAAGCTGTCCACAGATAAGGAATCGGCATCACTGGGCATAAACGTTAAATTTCTCAGAAAAGAGGAACTTCGCTGGCTGAAGCAAGTTTGTGAAAAAATAACATCACCGGTTGATCATCGGCGGCTACGCACGGTGGTTGGTCTGCGAGGCGTGGGGTTTGATCAACTTTGCTCCTTGAGTTTTCCCATCAATCGACCCGGCTGGTATTGACATCGCATACACACATCAACCTCCGGTAAGTATTGACACGCCGGCTGTAGAGACCACTCCAGATCGATCTCTGAGATTTGACGAAGGGCCGTTTTACCGCTCATTAACAGAGTAAATGTATGGGCAAATATGATGATGGTTGTATAGTGGTAGGCGCGAACTTTACTTTACAAAAGTCCTTGTATTCGGTATCACAGGACTAGGAGAAATCCTTACGTGTCCGAATTACTTGGCTGTGACCTGAACTTACACAAGGGGCTATGGTAGTGGCCGAAGCCAGTTCCCATAGGGTTGTGTGTAATTACAAGCCATAGCCAAGTAATTCGGACGCGGCCTAAGCAATACCACTACGAGGTACATGTTGTTCACAGCGAATGTCGATTTGTACTGTCAATTTTATGATAGAACAGATAAAAATATGAGTGCAACCATTGCCTATATTCAAAGTTGAAACGTGAACTTCGCCGCGTGTTGAATATAGAACAAAGATTATCTTAAACGTCAGGTTGAGGGACTGTTAAGTCCTTTTTTTCATTTCCCGATCACTTACAATCCTCGCAAAATTATGCAAAATATGAAAGATAATCTTGGTCCAGGACATCCTAGAATTTTACTGATCTCTTCAGAAAAGTTGATCTTTCAGAATTAAGGGTCGTGAAGACTGGACTGTAGCCTACATAGAAATTCGTGTCGGGCTTATCTTAGATGTCTTAGGCCACATTATTTTACCCAACCGTAAACGTACAAAGACTTACGCCAACTTGTAAACACTTCGTAGAGATTGCAAGCACAGGTACTCTATCAAGGCACCCAGGTTGACGAGGAGGTCGTCGGTTATTACGTGCACGGTGCACCGTCCTGCGTAATCCCATTAGACGCCATAACTGCGGTGGCACCACACTCACACGCACATTCTTAAGCTTGACGCGCGCGTGCATTTGGTAAATCACGACACCCTGTTGGTCGAAAAGGCATGTAACGCGCGCGTACCACCTGTCCCTGAGCGTTGCACCACCGCAGTCATGGCTTCTATTTCTGGTGGTCGAATTACATTATAGAGACAAGTTGACGCAGTGACAACCCCCTTAACCATCTCACCTCAGCCCGAGTTCGAATCCCATCTCGTCACTGGGCAATCGTTCGGGTTTACCGCGCCCACATTACTCGGTTATGACCTCCAATTACATCTGTCAGTTTTAGGTAGTAGTTTCCAAGCCTATGCAGAGTCCCCCCATATCCAATCAAAGTGATTTGTGGACCCTCGTTATCGCACTGTCCAGTGATACCCTTCGGTCATTTCAGTAGTTTTTTTGGCAACGTTTGCTATGACACCGTTTAGGAACGTTCTCTTTTGACAAGCCAGTGTGCCTGTGCGAAGAATCTGTGGTTTAACCCTAACAGTCCCAAGTCTTCCAATTTCAATACGATTTTACCTACACCCTAGGGGGTTAAGCTCAACGTTTCAAACGCCGTAGTCTGGCCGTCTTCAAAAGGAACTAACCACATCACTTAGGAACATACAATGTACTTCCAAAAGGCATTTTTCCAACTTGGGGTCACCGCAAACCTTACCAGATAACTGCTGAATCAAGCAAAGCTTCAGATCTGATTAATTTCCACTAATCAGGGTAACCTTTGCTTGGGTATTCAAATAATCCTCGTTTTGACAACTATTGCTGTCTAACATCTTTACGATGAACTTGATTCGGTAAGGTTGCTCCCTTGCCTGCTCAGTCTCTGCCACTTTGTCGTTTTACATTTTAGAGCGAGTCTCCTTTAGGTCAGGCCCTCTTGTTTTTTTTTTACGTACATGTACGTCACGCCATCACTTAAACATTTTTAAGTTCAGTCACAGTACAGAAAACAGGAATAGTAAGTTGGTAATCCAAAACAAAGAACCGGACATTGTCGTAGCAGCTGAAAAATCTGTCGCCGGTGGGCCTAAAGGTATATATCAATAGAACAATGGGCTTCTTCTCGTCTTTATGCAATCGGAAAGAGCAAGACCAATGACTGTATCCACTAAGTGCCCGATGTTCCCGTGCTTGTTTTCTCTGTCTGCCAACAAAGCACAGCCCACAAGTCACGACAAAAGGACCATTTACATCTGGTCCTTTATTCTTCCACACTGGCTTGAACGTAGCTGTTTTCACGGTCGAGAGATCAAAGGCGAGCCCGCCATTGTGTCGGCAGATCAAAGCCTTCACGACTCGTGCCGTAAGACCATTGACAGTCAAGTCAATGCCATGCGTGTGTGTATCTAACGCGCAGCGTGGCGCCACTAGAGTACACACACTGCGCACAGTTTTAAAGGAATTCTCGGGCCAGGATGGCACAGAAAGCAGTTTAGATTTTGCATCGGGAATGCCTGGCTAAAGGATTTTGTAAAACAAGTGAATTGGACCATAGCATATTTGATAGAAACGGAATAAAACGGGCTTCCTATGAAGACCTCCTTGTGTGTAAAATGAAGGAACCAAGATATTTTCCCGTGCATGACAGGGAAGAGATATTTTGCGCGTTTATAATCCAGACACATGCATACTGTTTACGCCATAAAACTCCGAGGCTTTTTACTGCTATGTCTGTGCATTTGTTAAGAAAAAGGAATCATTTCAGAACAAAATATCAAGTTTGACGAATCAAAAACAAACAGACTTTGAAATGCTTCTATATGCTTTGGAGTCCATAGTGGAGCGCAATGGCCTTGTAGTTAAGAGTTGGCGGGGTAAAGCCGCAGGTTGTGGGTTCGAATCCAGCCGGGGGTCGTGGTGCGTGGGCCCTCCTTGGGCAAGGCGCTATGTCACTCATTGCCTCACTCGATCCAGGAGTACATGTATTTGGGTACCCTGTGAGGGCAGAGATGGTTATTGTGATTGATCTAGCCACTTTGCAACGAAATGGCAGCATCCAGTTGTATACTCACAAGGGAGCTGAGATGGTATTTGGAATGTCCCATGGGCCTAATGAGCTGGGGCAATAATAATGGAAAGCACTTTGATCTTAGTTCAAAGCGCTTTACAACAACCTATAATTTTCATTATTATTTCGTCTCTCTGAGAAAAAAAAAGCCTATTCCCTAAACGCCAATACATCGACCGATTCTTGCTATCCGGCCAAGATGAAACGACCTAATCTTTAGCAAAGAACACTAAAAACAATTCAGGGGTGGGTAAATACATTCCGCATTATGTGACATCATTGCCAAATTCATTAACCGACAGTCCCCGCTAAACTTAGTCTGAGTTGTTCCGTAACTATTCTGGGTTATACCAAGCGCGCCCAAGCTCAATGAGAGACGTGCTACCCATCTTTCATAGAAATCAAAGCGATGTCGGAATCATATTGAGTAGAGAAAAGCTTCACTCGGTAAAAAATAAATAAATAAATTTTAAAAACCAAGAAAGAACAAAAGACCGGAACTAGTACAAGGCAAGAATCACAACACTACAGGACGGCGTCGGACAGTCTCTCAGCAAGGCGTGACGGGGAACAGCCGCGTCAGTACGACGAGACGAAGGGAGGGGAGGCGAAAACACGGATTAAACTTGGTACAAAGATTTTCTGAAGGTTGTCCATTTCAAAGATACAATCGCTTTTGGGGTTCAATTTTACCTGGTTTACAACAAACAAAAACGACGCAAATAAACTCAACAAGACAACTTGGATTTCTGTATTAATATAAATGTTTAGAGAACAACGTTGTGCTTTTAAAAACAAATTTACGGTGTAAATGTACCTTGACAAAATAGCATTGGATGCATGTACATTGCCTAAAGACGTTTGAGTGATCGGTCAGAAAATTTCCACGTGTAGCGTTGTTCCGGAAAGGGTTACCCCTTCTTGTCATCTTATGCACAGATCACTCCTTAAGAAGACACGTGAAAGGAAACTTCCAGAGGTAGCATTTGTGACTGCGATTTTTCCCCGAGTTTCACATTTTGTAAGACCTTTGTCACGAGAGCTTTTTTACGTGCAAATTACAAGCCGAAGCAGCACATGGAATGATCCCATGTCATCATGCCCAGATCCAAACCTCGGAAATGCGTAAGTTTATGAATATATCCGTAATCTTAAAAAATGAATAAAAGAGTTTGAAGAGAATTAATCTGCGCCAAGAGAAAAAAAAATCGGTGCCGCAACATCCATCATCGCGAGAGACAAATGACCGCGCGAAGGCACTCGCGTGTATGCCCGGCGGACATGAGGGAACACGCCGCGATAAAAAAAAAGAGGTGCGCCGCGGTTCATTAAGATGCAAACAAACCCTACGTGTGGTCCAAGTCGGAAAACAAGATTCGCACAATGTGATCAGAAAAGGGGGCAGAAAAACCGCCTCGGATTTTGTTGGGCTTCGTAGGAGCCGCTGAAATCAACACTTTTTGCCCGACTTAAAGATGTTTTGTCGGTTAAGACCTTACATTGGATTGAGACTTAGCAGGGAAAAATAATTACCCATCTTCTGTGCCAGCAAATAACAAGTCTTGTCTGCAGTGTTTGGGTTATGAGCTTACAGTCAATTGTGCGGCTTCCATGTTAGAGAAGACAGCTTTCCTCTTCCAAGACTTCGGGGCAGAGTCGACAAGAAACAAAAAGAAAGTCTTGGAGATGAAAGAAACACCGGGCCGGGTGTGGATGTACAAAGGTGTTTACCAGCTGGGGCGGCAGCCCTTTTGGACTGATTTCGGGCCCAGGGGTGGGAAAATATTTGGTTGAATTTTTGTCTTTCAAGGTTTCAGAGAGAGAAGTTGGCTCATTTTGAGGATAATTGCTGGCAGACACAAGAGGCTTTTTGTAAGCTCTTAAAAGTCTGGCATATTTGTGAGGATTCCACCTCTCTTGGGATTTCGTCAAAACTAAACCGAAGATTTACAATGCGGGAAACATCTTGAGTATGTTTTTTTGTTTTTCACCCACACAACGAGTGAACTTACCTGACGGGGACAAGGTTACAGGAATATCTGCATGAATAGATTGTCAGATGGTTATAAAAAGGCGATTTAACGATTTGTTACAGCAGTCCGCCCGTCCATGAATGTTTCATTATGACTGCTATAGACTGAGTATTGTTATTTTCAATGCATCTCCAACGACAATGTGGCCCAACTCGTTGGACCTTTGTGAAACAACAGCCTTCTCCAACATTTGAAGGTCTCAAAAAGGTAATTGAAATCGTTAATCAAAAAGCACAGAACCTCAAATCGATGAAACCGGATTCAGCTGCATCTTCCGCGACTGACGGGGTCAAATAATTGAAATCCGTAACCAAAATCCGACGTACATGTACATGTACTGTGTAGGTGAAACTGGGCCATGATTCAAACTGCGTCTCTAAGGAAAAAGAAAGAAAAAGAAAGAAGTGAACGTTTTGTTATGAGGTAGATTCGGGGGCGTTCAACGACAGCTGTAAGATGGTGGCACATTATCAGCGTATCTGTTACCGATTCCCCCAGGCATTGGCACATGGGAGATGAAAAGAACGAATAAAAGCCGACCTGGAAGGGGGAGAGGACGACCAGGGGGCAAGAGGGGTCACCAGCGAGGGGGGAATTAGCGGGCTGCGGTCGGTGCGGCCATGTGTCGCTTTCGCTGTCAACAAATGAAAAAAAAAAGAATTGAGGAATTTGAACCTGTGGCCAAGACCTGGATTTATGTTTAGAGAAGCGCTGGCTGAAAAATTTCCTCCAAGGAGGACCTTGGCAATTTTCGGTCACCGTGGAAATGTTGTACCATGACTTATATTTTTTCAGCTGGGGTTTCGATGGACATGCACTGGATTTCAAACATCAGGTCCAAGTCAAGGGTCACACGATTATTATCAAGGAATCTACTTCTCAGTCATATCGTCCCGACCAAGTGTTATTACAGCCCATCGCCCCTTTGAACTTCGGAATTTTCCGCTCTGGCCCGTCAGTGTTTGTTGCTATACCACATCAGGCAATCAGCCGGCGACATCCCGAAATCTACGCAAACAAACTGACCGATGACACCCCCCCTTCAGATCACCAGAAGAAAACAAGAGTGCACAGAGAGGGGGAGATCAGAAGATTGGCCTGAGAAGGTCGGACGCTGTTTGAAGTTTTCCTCAGGCCTCTCCGAAATCTTGACAAAAATATTTATTTTACACTGCCCGTCACTGATATGAACGACAAACGACTTAGGAGTTAAGAAGGGTGAAAACAAACCGTCTTCGCGAACCCCGCGAAGCCGAAAACCTCTAAGAAGAGTGCTACGAACTCTGTACGATTGGACCGGGTTACTGTGGTTTCCTGACACCTCAAAGCAAACACAAAAACAAGACGAAAGCCCATCAAATTCATAAAACAGCGTGAGCTGAGTGCAGTACAACTTTGTATTTATTATGGAAGGCTAACGATTACACTTCAATTATTTTGAAGGTTCGTGGTTCATATATTACAGTGTTGGGCTCAGGTGTTTGTAATCGTAATTGTGAGGTTTCGACCGTATCCAACGGGATCAGGGCACTTGAGTCCATGGACAGGATACAATACTACAACACTTGTGCCTCATCAATGATAGCACGGACTGCGTATGGTCCCATCCCCCAGGACGTGAGCATATAAATGTACATGTACTTCACACTTCCGCCTACAAAATTCGTCTATTTTGGAAAGTATTCAACGATCACAGAAACAGCGTTTTACAGCTATGGATCAGCTCATCGACAAAAGTCCCCAATTCGACCGGTATTATTCCTTGATGTACATAGTTTACAGTTTCAAGTAATCGCTGTAAAATGCCGGTAAACGGGCAAGGTTTGACAAACGACAATAATTGGTGTAACATTACTTGACCTGTTGGTTAAATCACAGAGCAAGGACAGAGAATGGGGTTAAATCTGACACCTTTGCGGAAATGTCTATAAGCATCCTCAGGCTCAGCACTGCATGTTGTATATAAGCCTAAATGCACATAGACTTGGTGCCCAAAGAAACACAGACAGAGACGAAGGAAGAAATTTGGTGCTTTAGAGGAGGAAGGAAAACAATGGCACGACCTTCCAGAGAAAGCAGCCCAAATCAGGTGTAAGAACTGAAAACCCAATCCACATCCACCAGGATGGGATTCGAGCCCGAGTCACTGATATGGAAAACGAGGAAAGTAACATTAACACCGCACTTCCGGAGAATAATGGAATAGTCCGCTGCTCATCACTGACATTTTTCCCATATAAATCGTCCAATGATTTGGAGTGTCAAATCTATTGACAGTATCCATTCAGATAAGACTTGAAGGTTTTCATGGAGAAAGAACTATATGAGTTAAACGATTGCGGTTAAACCTGATATGAAGACAGAGTTCACTGTTCGAAACGTTGAGTTATTCCCCAGTTCTTCTCAGAACCACACATACTCAATATCCATTCAGTTGTGTGGACTGATTGAGAGGAAGGGTTTAGTTAATAAAAAAAATTCAGGGGCGGATTCAGGAATATTTCCGGGGGAGGAGTCAGACCGGAATTTTTTTTAAATGCCTCAATTTTTGCGGAGTATAGCCACCTATTTATAACATTTACCTTGTACACACAAGAATATTATTTCCCCCGTTTTATTTTTTTGGGGGGGATAAGAGGGGGTTGACCCCACAACCCTCAGATCCGCAATTGATAATAAAAGTCACCCAAACAGTTCTAGAATACCGACAGAATAAAGGACAAAACAAAGCTCAGTCAGTAAAACAGGTCATACCTCAATTTGATTCCATGTACAGATTAGCAAGCAAGTGTGGAATTTTGATTGAATTGGAAGTAACCGACGACTCAAATCATGTAACGAATGAAAACCTTAACAAATCTGTCAAGAAAACACAAATGTGATAAATATAATAGGCTAAGTAGAGCAATGACAGAGGTAAAAGACTACGATTTGATAAGCCCGTCAAATTTTAAAAAAGCCATCTTGTGGGGTTGGACATGTTTCTGACCTCGATGAGAAAAAAAATTAAAACAAAAGTAAAATCAAATACGAACCCACTTCAAAGGAAATTAAATAATACCACTTTGTGGAAAGGCTTCTGCCAGGCCTTGGTTATTAAAACTTCAAGGCGAACACATTTTTTATACTTTGACCGAAACCAGGTCCGCGTGGAATCACCGGCTTGTTAAGGGAGACATCACACGGCTTTCTCCTGGGACCGTAAGCAGCGGAGCTGAGAGATCAAAGGCGCCGGTAGTATTCACGGTCGGCCGGCCGGAGACTCGCGGCACGCGCTGGGCTTTTCCTCCATTCTTCTGAAGGAACGCGGCACAAGCGATCCGGTATCTTGTTTCAGATTACGATGAAATATGATTTCGCTGGAGCAGCGCTCGGTCTGTGTGTTTTCATAGTGAGTTAAGGGTTTTGTGTTTTGTTTAGGAAGGCCTTGAACCCAACCAGACCCTCTGAGGCATTTGCGACATCGACAGCAAGTTGGGCCTTCAGAGAAAGAATTCTGCGCTATGAGAAAGAAAGCTTCTGAGCGCTCAACAGATGCGGGGGGGATTTATATTGCGTTGTTGTTGCATAGTCATCACAAATTTCCATTGATGTGTTCTGAGCAGTGCTCCTACCACTCAAAATCCTGCTCAGTCTTACAAGCCTCGTCCTTGACATAAAAGTTGACAAAAATAACGTTCCCGTCTCGCACGCTAACTTTCATGTCTCTAAAGTGGTACCACCAAGTTATAATTCTCCAACTCCTTTCCATTCGTCACCTTTTTTCTTGACTTTCCTCCAAACTCCTTTCAACCTCTGTGCTGACAATCATTGCATTCTGATCTTTTCTCGCCACATCTTACATTTCACTTTTCTGCCAGCCATCCCCTACTCATTTCCGCCCTTCTCTTACACTGGCTTCTGCGCAGCGTTATGCACTGGACATCACAATCCCATCTATCCAAATATCTATACTGAATCTTATAAAAATGTTTCCAGATTTTCACCTGTCGCAAATACATCGACACATTTTGACACTTGAGGAGCCAGTAAAAACCCATTATGGACACAGTAATGCGGCTAAGAGGCCATCTCATGTTACCAGGAATGTGCAAGTTCAAATCCTGCCAAAGCAACCAGGCAGGGTGTTCTCCATTGACTTCTGAGAAGCATCAAACTGGCAAATCTACATTCCTTTTTTTCTCCTCCTGCAGCACAATGATGTTCTCAAGACACTTCATCCTCATTCTGCTCCTCAACCTCATCTTCGTTACCTCAGCCAGACAGGTGGACCTACCAGCCGAAGAGACGGGCACCCCGGACGGCTCCAACGAGTACGTGTTGGATCTCAACAAGCTGGACGGGGACCCAGACAACCTGATGGCCCAGATCAAGCACCTGGCCTCGGCGCTTCACACCTGCGGCTTCAGTGGCGACATGCAGCAGATGAGGCTGGTTGAGCTGGCCAATCGCTCTGTCACGTGCAATGATGGGTCGCCGGCAGGGTAAGCCAAACGGAGTCCAGCTTCAGGGGTGCTGCAGTTTGTTGGGGAGATCCGACTTACAATCGCAGCCAACAGTGTTGTAGTTAAGAGCCCTTCATAAGACCATCATTACACTATCATAAGACCATCACAAGACCATCATTAGGCCATCATAAGGCCATCATAGGACCAACACAAGACCTCCAGTCAGAATTCAAGTCACAAGGCTATTCAAAATGAACTGCTACAAAAGCATTCCTTTGACAAAGGAATTATCGTTGACTGGTCCTGTGACCGGTCTTCTGATGTCTAAAATACAACACACTCAGAGAGTCCCAAGGTTCCCATCCTGACACTGAATTGATACTTATATCCGTTGGTATCTTTCTCTACTTATTAACTAGAAGGTTAACAAAATGGTGCAGATAACGCAATATTTGCAAGATGCAAAATCATCAAAACACCAATTCAAATGTTTCTTTCTCTTCAGATACTATTTCAGGCAATCTCAGGGAAGCAGAAAGTGGCTGATATTTCTTGAGGGTAAGAAGATCATTTCCAATGTTGAGGGTCAGTTTAAGGATGTTTCAATCATACAACTGCATTTGTATTGCTCACCCCTGCTTAACCTCAAATTTAAACGTGGCCAACTGCACCATCAAGAAAAAAATTAGCCTATTTATTAAATTAACCAGGTAATTAAACAAATTGATACCTTTTAACATCGAGCATCAGAAGCAACAAGTAAAATGATGACATTCCCGACATGAACCCAAACCAGATTCAAAAACTCCGGAGCAAGACATTTGAGTTTTGATAACCTGCTTTTTGATTCGGTGGCAGGAGGCTGGCATTGTTTCGATCGAGACAGCTGTCACAACAGATGGTTGTCATCCAGCAGGCTCATGAGCTCCAGAACGTGGCTCCAAACAAAAACAGGTACTGGTATTGGAAAATCTGCTGATTGACAGACCAATTAGCCTACAGTATTTGCAGTATTATCAATCAACTATACAGCAACAAATGGGTTTATTTGAAGCGGTATCTTCAATTTAGCGAGGTCTTTGGCAATGTATAAATTAATCAATCTCTGACCAGGTAATCGATAACTTACACATAACATTGATTACAGCTGTCCATCCTCTTCCAGAAACTCACTGGATCGAAACAAGGATTTTCCAATAAGATTTCACCAGAACCTGCTCATTATTTCTCAAAACTTTGACAAATCAGGTAAATTAATGAATAGATTGGTATGATATAATTATATCATAATACAGTAACCAAAAGTTTCCCATTCTTTCATAGGAACTGGAATCCTATCTCCGGATCCGGAGGAAAATCCTGTCTTCTGGAAGTCCAATGTCGTGTAAGTTTCCAACTCCCAGCCAGAGAGATTTACTGCACTCGTTACTGTTGTGAATGGAATTGACCTTTTGGGGGTCAGAGGTCAACCACACTGCCTGGCGGCTGGCACAAACGGTCTTCTGATGGCCTCGACAAGAATGTGTATATTTATATCTTCATACAGAAACTACTGGTATTTCAACTTTGGCGATGGGATCAAATTTTTATGAGGTTGAGTTGGATCATGGCTTCCTCCATGGTTGGAGCTTCCTCATGTGGGACTCATAATAATAAACATTGACAGAGCACCTGCAGACAAGTCAGGTCGTTTCCAGGAACGAAACACATGTTCAAAAAGGGCCACTGATGGCAAAGAGGGAAACCAGTTTTGTAGAAAGCATAAACACACTAAGTTCCCCCATTTCTAAAACTTTTGGTAAAGGTCCTAATGAATTTTGATGCTTTTAAAATACTTCAACAAACGAATTTTTTTTCTTTCTTCGCTAGTACAGCCGCCCACATCACTATGAAACTGCACGCCATTCCATCAGGCATCCTTACTTAGCTTTTGGTAAAGGTTTGACAGAAAAAATTAACTTTATGAAAATTAATTGTTAACTTCTTGTTATGTTGTCTCACAGGTATGTCCCTTATTGCTCGAGTGATGTGTGGAGTGGGACTGCATCAGCTTCAGAAACAGGTACGCGAAGTTGTAACAAAGCCATCATAAGCAATCACTAGCCAATTGAAAGCCAGTTTGTTGATCATAATCTAATCACAATTCAATAGCAAGTCATCACGATCCAATTACTTACCAATCACTATTCCATCAGAAGCCAAGCACAAGCAAAATCAAAGGCCAATCACAAACCATCACAAGCCTAACATAAGCCATCATAGGCTAAATCCATAACCTTGTGAATGACCTGCAACCAAGTTGAGGACCCAACTAGAGTGACTTTCTGTTGAAAACAAGTATCATTTTAACAGCATAGCCTGCACTAACTCCAGAGACAATCAGAAATACTCCATGATCTTAAATGTCTGCAAATCAGAATTAATCTTGTCAAACTGAACTTGAGCAATTCAAAAGCAATCGAGGCTTTGCACGGCTGCCATCTTGCAGGCCAGTGCTTTTGTTCCACAGGCTATACAGAAAAGTTTCCCTGTGGAACAAAAGAACCACCCTGGAAGACGGCTACCATGCAAAACATCTATTAAAGATGAGCAAGATTGGACTCAAAATCTATATATCTTCCAGGTGGTTATGCCTTTATGGGAAGTCTCATACTGAACGAAGTGTTTCGAGAACTCCTTGGTGTTGGGTTGATGGATGCTAGACAGGTTGTCTTTGCTGGAAGCAGGTTTGTGGTGATTAAAATGAACAATGATGCTTGATGATATATTTTTGAGCTTGTATTATATTGATTAAACAAATTAATATCCAATATCAATATTTAGAACATGAATCCATAATTTAAAGATAGTAGGTACAAAAATGGTAACAATTAACAGACATTATTAGAACCAGTTGTGCAACTCAAAGTCATTTGGGAAAAAACATTTCTTTTATAGGAAAACATTATTTCTTGGCCAATTTTTCCCACTTTTGTGACATGAGGCTTAAATCCGACCTGAGCCAAAGTGGATTGCTATTTTGTGCCCACTCAGTTCTGAGGGTTCCACAGAAATATGAATCTAAACTCTTACAACCAGCACCAAGGTGGAACACCCGTTACAGTCGCGTCAATGTATCATTCAAGATTTCTCAATACAGGGCAATTAAGACTTGTTCATTGTTAGAACATATTCAATTTTTTAAAAAAGTGCTGGTGGTACGGGAGTTCTTCTCAACCTGGACCGAATGGCAGCCTTGTTAGCTGAGGCAGGGAGTACCGCCCAAATCCTCGGCCTCATTGACTCTGGGTGGTTCTTGGATCAAGAGCACCAGACACCAGGAGCAGAATGCAACGATGCCTTGTACTGTGATCCAGCACTGGCTTTGCAGCTAGGAACAGAGTAAGCGGAAATAAGACTTTAGTTCAGATCTACGATCTTTTTTTACTCAGTGAGGATATCATATCATAAAGTTATAATTTCAAGACACTATTGAATAGAAAAATGTAAAGTTTTAAAAGCTTGAGCGCAGGTTATATACTAACTTTTGGATGAAACAGTGACAAGAATTCAGAGTTTCAAGTGACAGAAGGTTTTATCTCTGAACAGCGCTTTCTGGAAAGCGAGTTAAAATATACAATTTCTTTTTTAAAACTGACTCTACCAATGTGAACAGTTTTATGGTGTGTTTATGTACATTACCTGTTGAGTATGTGGACATCACCATAAAACTCGATGTTAAGAAATTATTTTCAGTTTCTTGAAAATTAAATGAAGAATATCAATTTTGGCAGGTTGTGGAGGAGTGTGGCTCCCACAAGTTGCACTGACATGTACGGTGAAGAGCAAATGTGGAAATGTTTTTTTGGATTCCGGATCCATGAAACATTACAAAGTAAGTCAGCACTTAAGTCTTATAAATTGGTGAGGGAAAAAGGCCCAGCTGTGGATTTGATTCAGGCTCTAATATTGATCAAACTCAAATTTTACAAGGCTACAAGAGAAGGCCATACAGCCATAGAAAAACATGTACTCATAAAGCAAAACTGTCACAACATTTTGGCTACCATGCTGCTACAGCTTTGTAAAACACTTATTTCTCAGCTAAGGGTAGATCTTGATGCAATTTTTGTAATAGTGGCATTCCACTACATCATGAAGTTGACAAGTTTAGAGCACACTTAAGTCCAAAGATTAGGGTTTGTGACTGAAATGTTGGCAGTGAATAGGTTCACACCCAAGTAGAGATCGAGTTACTTGTGGTTCCAAGGGCTAGATATCAGCCTTCAATTGCCTCTTTCAAATAAGGACTACAAAATAACCATCTATGGGATAAACAACAGATTACACTAACCTTGAATCTGATGAACAGGACAATAACTGTGAAGCAAAGCACTACACCAATTGTATTATTGCTTCTAGGCACTCCACCCAATTTGATTAGTCCAGGCAGTGCACAGGTGTAACCATACTTTTCTTTCTGATTGGCCTTCAGCCCCAGTTTTCATCTTCCAGTGGTTGTATGATGAAGCTCAGTTAACAGTGGGTATGTCGGAGCCTCCCATCCAGATTGAACACTGGAACTTCATGCAGAAGACGGGCAGAGACATGAGAGCATCGCTTCGTAATGCATCGTAATTACCTCTTCTGCTACTTCCTTTTTGAACAGAAGTCCACTGACATGAGAAGTTAAAATTTCAGGCTTTCATTTTCAAAATCTATGGTGGAACATTTCAACAACTAATTCAAAATCACTGACCTTGCAGTAGTAAATGGGTCAGATGTTGCAAAGCTACATTTTGAGTTGATGGCTTTATCAAATCAACAAACAAAACAAAGAGGAACATTTTAAATTGGAATAACCTAGAGCAGAGTTGACAAACACCATGTGATGGACTCTAGACCAACAGGAATTACTTATCTGAAATATAATCGTGAATTCTACTTGTTTGTCTTTCAGTGCAGTTTTTGCTCCAGCCTGCTATGCTCACATGGTCCTTACAAAAAGGTGGGTCAATTCCCTCCCTAAACTTTTCAATACAAGTTGCCCAACACCAGACCTTTTAAGCAATGACCAATCAAGTGACGGTTTCAAGTAACAGAAAACCAAAAAGACAAGTTGGATGACAGAAATGGAAGGCATATGTGTAATCATATATAATAGTTCGCCATCATTTTTTTGTTAAGTGTGACCACAGCAACTCCCATGATTTTCCTCTTCACAGTGACTGGACTAATATCCAAGTAAGGAACGTGGGCCTCCACAAAGCCCTCAAATGCTGGCTCAAGAGAAACGAACCAGAACGTAAGTCAGTCGACAGGCCCCTCCAGAAAACTAGAGACCAACACCTCAGCAAACAGAGTCACAGAAGACAGTTCCATTTATTGTGCGGGGTTGCAAGAGGCTAGTCTAAACACAAAGGCTTTTCTAAATTCAACCATATTATGAAACAATCTGAAAGCTCTATGAATGATAATCTCTCATAAATTTAGTTGGATTTGATGTACTGCTTGTATACAGAGCATTAATCGTGAATTAAAAAATAAAAAATGAAACTGACAAAAATGTCTGCTAATGGACGAATGTTTCCAATGACCTTTGACACTGATCTAAAAGTTTCGGGTGGATATACAACACCTGGGATCCAGCAGCTTTGGTCACTGCAGTTGATATAGTTGAGATTTCTCTTGAGAAACTTACATGTAATCGACAGGAACTTTTTTCTGTGGTTGAATTTTCAAAAGTAGTCTCTTGTAGTTGCAATGAGTGGCATGTCTACTTGACCAAAGTTGATTTGAAAGGCAAATGTTACAGCCAAAAAAAAGGTGGAAAGTCCAGCTGCTAATTTTGCCGTGTCTTGTTTTGTGCCAAGTGTTTTGTTTTAAATGCATGTTTGCTGCAGTTGTCCTTGTAGTTCTAACACAATAGAGGTTTTTCACATGATTTAGCATGACGGACAAAGTCACTTCAAGAAGTATACCATGTCCGTGGAGGTGCGTGCACTTTCAAATCTGTGCATTTCTACTGACAATTTCATGTACGCCAGAATGTTAAGAGACTTCGAAGGTGCACACATGTTTCTGCGCAATCCCGTGTAAATTGAACACTGACCGCCAAAAATCATGACTGAAAGTCCTCTGTACTGCTCTCTGAAAGTCAGCTAACACAAACCAACACATTCTGAAAGGGGTAAACAATTCTTCCCTTCATATAATAGATGCAGTCAAACCTCATTAATAAGAGGTCCTTTAGACTTTGCAGATGACCTTATTACGACGGGAACCTTGTAGTGTCAAGAATGAAAACAAAAAATTGGGACCTAATAACTTCCTTGCTTGCAGAATGTTGTATGAACAGTGCTCTTATTAATGAGGTTAAACGAAAGGGAGCAAAACCAAGACCCTGTCATGCTACCAATGACAAATGTCACGAAAGCTGTGACAATGCAGGTCCCGTGGATCGGGAGGCTAAAATGAATCATCCAATACCTGCAACAAAGATTGGCCATTTCTTGTGATTACAATGGGTTTTTTTTGCAAAAGACACCACAAAGTTATCACAAATACAAAGAATAGAAAACCTACATGCAAAGGTGAAGAGAATGATGAAGTATGGTAAATTTGTACCCTGTAAGTTTTCCCGTCCACTGTGTGCTAATAAACTAACAAACAGAAAGCCACCCCAGTATGTATTAACAAAAAAATCCACAAAAGCAAAATACTGACATGAAATAGCTACATGGTAGAAAATACGGTATGCGAAACAGCTTCCAAGCATGGTTTAGACAAGTACAAATGTAACAGCCAGACTGCTTTTTAGTGATTACTAAAATACACCAGCCACAGCCATCTCCTCCCAAAAATGCCAGAGCCATTAGAATTTCCATTTCATGCTTCAACCAAAAAAAAGGGAAAAAAAATAAACAGCCTCAGACAAGGTAAAGAGAGACGCTGAAAGAGTCACAGGCATGTTCTGAACTAGTCTCCGTGGTGATATCTCACGCAGTGCCTGATTTGACAAGGGAAGAGTGGGGCCCCCTCTTTAGCTCCTCACGAGAAACGATAAACCCTGAGGAGTTTGGGAGCGGGTGGCTGGTGACAACCGCATCACCTCCGACAACTGTAGGGGATGATGAAGACGATGATGAGGATAGTGGAGGAGGTGGCTGGTGGGCATGGAAACGAAGTGCAGGTTTGTTGTTGTCATGGCAATGAGAATCTGCAAGAAACCAGTCTGATTGCGCTGATCGTGCAGATTTTCAAAACAAAAGCTGAGCATGAATCATACAGAGCTTTTTGACAACAACCTGTCATAAAAATTGTCACTTTGTCTAAATTCCGAAATTGAGTGTGTTTGGCTTCCTATTAGTTATGTATTGTATTTTACTCCGTAGCCTAGATGCACATCTTAATTAAGTTGCACTTACATATATCAACATGAAATGTAGCCGATTTAGAAAAAACTTTCAAAATAACATGTTTTCTGGATCCCTACTTTTTGAAAGGTTTGTGATGTTGTTGAAGAAAATGCCTGACTCACAATTATCTTTTAAACAGCCACCACGGAAAGAAGAGTAAAGAAGAACAAGAGACGAAATAGCCGCAGGAACAGCCCAGCGTTGGACAGAGAGATGCAGGGTGATGACCCATGGGCTGCAGCCAAGCGATCCACCACTCGCACCAAGAAAAAGTGCCAACAACGGCTGCTGGACCATGCAACGTGTCCTCACTGTAACCCACACTGCCCTAAGATGACCAACCCATTCACAGGTAGACAAAGGCCAGAGGATTCACAGCCCTCGTCAGAATTAAGGCTGGACTTAGAGGTTCATACTGGCATAACCTACAAAGGAGCTGTGTCAAAATGGAATTTTGTTAAACAGCGAGGTCATATCAGAATCGCATCAAGGTCATATCAAGATCAAACCAGGAGAATACATGTAATTGTCAAAATCAAACTGAGGTCATGTCAGAATTATAACAAGAGTAAAACCATTGCAAGGATGTCATAGTGGAATAAAATCAAGGAGGCCATGTCAGAATCAAACCAGAAGATCACACAAGGAAGTCAAAATCAAGCCAAGGTCAAACCAAGGTCATCAGAATCAAACAAAGGTCATGTAAGAATCAACCAAGGTAGTCAAACCAATTGCACGGTCATATCAGAATCAAACTAAGGTCAAACCAAGAAAGTCAGGCAGTGTATTGTAATAAAACCAAAAAGATTAAACCAGGGAAGCCATGTCAGAATCAAGCCAAGAAGGTCAAACCAGGAAAGTCATATCAGCATCAAACCACCCTTTCGAAATGTCCTATGGTGATTGTGCTAGGATCAAACCAAGGTCAACACAAGAAGTTCAAATCTGACTGAAACCAAGGAAGCCATCTCAAACTCAAATTAGAAGGTCAAACCAGGAAAATCATGTCAAAATCAAATCCAAATGGTCAAACCAAAAATGTCATATCGGAATCAAAGAAGGTCAAAAAATGAAGTCATGTCAAACTCAAACCAAGAAGGCGAAACTTAGGAAGTAATATCAGAATCAAACCAAGGTCAAACGAAGCAGGTCACGTCAAGATCTTGAATGGGAGGCTGGTTTGTGAAAGCTTAACTATGACCTTATGCATGATTTCAGAAAGTAAGAAGTGGAACTTTAATTGTTAAGCCTGAAGTTTTCAACTTGCATTCTTTTGTTTCTTCACATTCATTTCTTTGGCCATTCCCTTTCCAGGGGAGGACATGGAGTTTCTCTCTTTCATGCGCCTGTTTGGTCTCGATCTCAGCGTACTGGCTGAGCAGATGGGCTTAGATGAGAGGGCACTGTCGATGGTGGAACCAGCTGTAGCTATGAAAATACTGGCAGAAAGAGCACGTACCCGTGACTAGGAGAAAGCCATCACTTTAACATGGACAACTCCTTAGTTTAGTAACAATTACTTTTAACTTTAAAGCTGCAAAATTCTGGTGGACCAAACTTATCTCAGACTCTTTATATAAACCTGTGAAATGTACCAAGAACCACTCCTCTGTGAAAATTATGTACAAATCATATTCACCAGCCCTGGCAAGCAAGACACGCACAGTAGACAGGATATCAATAGGCAAAGATGAGAACACACAATCAAATGAACAAAGGGTGGAAATTCATATTTTTAAATGAACCAAGACATTAAATATCAATATAATATTAATGCTGCAGTTTAGTCAGTTACCTACTAAGCAACTAGCAGCACACATATAGCATAAGTTGTATTTACATCCCGAGATATTTCTCAATAAAAGGTAGTCTACAGGAACATGTATTAATGGGGTAAAAATTTATTTCTGATCATCATCATTTCTACCTAAAATGAATGTTCACAAAACTTGAAACTGGTCACAATTTCAGGATTCAGGATTTCTGGTCACAAGTTAAAACTTGCGACTTGCACTATGAGCCAGTGTTTCAGCCATATTCTAAACAGCCAAGGTCCTTTGGGAACAAAGCGCACGCCAGTCAGCGTACGGCTGCACTTATGGGCCAGAATATCGCGCACGTGCAAAGCTGTTCCCGAATAGCCTCACATTGGGTATGCGTTGTTGGAATACCAAACTGGGTCATTAATTGAACCAATTAATATTTATCTGTGTCAGTCGGTAGGTCATCCTGTAGTCAATTATCAACATAAATTACAGGATTAATTGACTTTGAGAGTTTGATATTTGAGGAGAGCAGCAAAGTAACCAAGTTTGAACCGCATCAGAATCTTTTTCTTTTTACTAATTTATGAGTAAAAAAGACAGCATGGGTTCAAGCTGTGGTTGAGCTTTTTAGAGAAATATTACAATGGAAAGCCTCAGTATAAATTAAAATTTAGTAAAGGTAAGTAAATAAAAATAGGACTGTTTAATCGCTTTTAATAATTACTATTTTGAAGTTGAATTTATAGTTCAATTTGTATATAAATATTTTTATTTTAGTGTTGTGAATTTTTTTTTGAGCAGAATGTTGTGGAGCATTCTTACCCATTTTTATTTGTGGGCCAATTTTGAATTTTTGACCTTTTAAACAATGACCTTGATGAATGGTAAATCAGGCAAAGCTTCAACAAATAATGAGTTAAAGGAAACAGGAAATAGAAATATTTTTTATAAATTTTACAGAAACCCTTGAAATTGCATCTTTGGGTTTCAATTAACCTTATTTCAAATTTTTGTTTGCAATTTTATCCAACATTTTGATGCTTTCTTGGTTTTATGCTAATGCATATTTGCATATTGATGAGCAGAACTATGATGTCATCCAAGGCACTGAATCTCAATGTTGCACTGATCTGTGCACAGAAAATTTCTAGCTTTTTCTAACCACTGCTATGGCATATTTTATTTTCTTTCACAATTTATTGCTCTGTAAGGCAATAATTCAGCAAAAATCCTTTTCACAGAAATGTTCCCAGATAGCAAATTCGGGATTCACAATTTTGACATGAAAACATGCAACCTGAACCATGTCTTCCTGGATTTACATCAAAGCAATTTTTAATGTTTGAAAAAGTGCACCGTTCAGTTCATGTAACTCAAAATAGATGTCAAACAGTCTTCATACATGGAAGAAGAATGCAGAAATACACAAAAAGTGATTCTAAGAAAAATTCATTTCCTTGTTCCTTTAAAGATAGAATTATGGTATTTTTAATCTGAGGCACATTTTATCTTAATAAAATTGGGCCACTCATAATTTAATAATTTTTCATAATTACTTCTACATTCGGTCACAAGTACATATAATCACCTTGTGTTTTTGAAAATGGAACAAAAATGTAACACTATATTCCATACAAAGTTTGTGAGAAATCAATTAATATTAAGCAGACCTAGTGCTTGAAAACTAGCAGTGCAAGTTGTTTATTACAGTTACAAAATGTCAAAAAAGTATCCCTACAAAATCAAACACATTTGTCAAATATTGACAAAATGCTCTTGCAGAAAACCTCTTCTCAAGGATCCCGTTGCCTAATCTGCAGTTATGCAAAAGAAAAAAATACTTTAACCGCAGAATTTCTTCACTAGGTCAGAGTAAGGTCGCGTCCAAATTACTTGGCTGGGGCTTAAAAATTACTCACAACTCTACGGGAAGTGGCTGGAGCCACAACCACAGACTTGTATGTGATTTCAAGCCATAGCCAATGCCCACACGGCCTTGTTTGTACAAACTGAGCATATTTCGAACAGGGCAATGAGTAACGGAGGGTTGCACCCCAGGTCATTGCAAAGTAAAAGATGGGCGAAATCTCCCTCTGGCCAATTACTGGGCCAGGCCAAATTCACTGCCATGTACTACCATCAACAGGAGTGGGTAGATGACTTTAATATTTAAAGTCCTATGTAATGTTTGCACGTATTTTGTATCACATTTGTATTACAGTGAATAAAAAAAATTGTACAGGCTGGTATATTTACATGGTACATGGTACTTGCTTTTGGAGTCTACCTTTAGGGACTTGAAAGAAGTCTGAAATTGCTCTTAACCCTCTCCCCCCTAAAAATGTGATTGTATTTTACTCATTTTTTTTAGTTGAATTATTTTATTTCCACTTGATTGAGGATTTTGCACTATTTCACACATAAAATACAAAACCAACTTCAAGATGAGTGGAAATGGTGCCTCAATGGGAGACCTCATTCAATCCAAAATAAGTCAAAAAGCAAATAACTTTGGAAGTATATCAAGATGGAGCTTCGAAGAAATTCAACTATAAAGCCAGTTCTACTTAAAATGTATCCTTGGAATAGAGTTGTTAAAAAGTCTCCCAAACCTAAGGCCTGACTGATGCAAAAACTTACAAGAAATGAAGGGCCAACTTTCCCTGCCGGAGTTTGCAATTACACCCATCCCCTCGGCGTCTTGAGAACTTTCATCAGTTCATCTTCCTTGGATCCCTCCTCAGGAGAGTGTTTGTACTTCCATTTCTATGCAGGTTATCACAGACATACAGGGCAGCAAGATTTTGTATAACTTTTTTTTTTCGCACAAATGTTTTGACATCTACATCAAGACGTGATGTTTATAATTAATAATATCATAGCTTCATCATAATGTCATAGCGTCATCATAGCATCAAGTGACTTCATGAAACTTTTTGCTGTGAAATAATTAGAATTACTTACTGCACTGAGAGGCAATGACATCAGAATGCTCTCTATTCTTGCTTGGGGTGTAAACAGGCCAAATTTCGTCCCTCTGTCATACACCAGATTGAACTCAACATATCTGAAAGATTAAGAAATGAGCAAGTACCTACAGATGAAATTGTAAACTCTTAAACGTGTAGAGAGGAGGTGGGAGGAAAGCTCCCAAAGAATATTCTGGTAATAACCCACAGAATTAGGTAGGGGCGGAAAACCCAACCCACATGTGGACCGAGCCGGGAATCAAACCAGAGCTGTCGAGGAAAGAACCACTACGCCAACCTGACTCTCCCAGATGTTGTACTTGCCCAGCAAAACTCACCTTCCGCGCCTGAGCAGCTGCCATTCTCTACATGAAAGGAAAACAATAAATAACATTAAGAAACAACTATAAGGGCAAAATACAGGAAACACTGAACGAAAGAGAATTTAAACAGTCTCTAGTAAAAATGCTTCCCATTCTACATGTAGAAAAGATTGAAGACTTGTCTTAAACCTGCCAACAGCTAAGCTCAAATGGGACATTCTGCAGCAGTACCTCTCTCTAAAGCCATATCCATCGTTCATGTGCTTCTTCACCATAGGCACATAGCTTGGTATGACAGCATTTGCACAATCCTGCAATTAAAGGCGAAAGCACAGTTACAAACTTCAACATGTTAAGAATTATATTTCTCATCCTCATTAGCCTTCTCACACAACTCAGCAAATGCTGTCTATTAGAGGTCAATGTTCCATTACGGTGATAAATAACAGAAAAAATACTGCCACCTCTCAAATTTGTGTACAATATCACCCTGAGGCTTAGACACAGCCCTTGCACCAACGTTGTTTTATTGGAACAAGATTTGAGATATTTCATGAAACCATGAATAAAGTTTGAAAAGAACCCTTTTCCAAAAGAGAATTTTACCAAAGTGGAAGTGTTCCCCTACCTGAATGAAAGCAAAGGCTTCTTCCTGAGAGGGCGTGTCCAGATCATCAAAGAAGATACCACCTACTCCACGTCGTTCACCTGTACATTAAAAGATAGGGGAGCAGGTACCACTCTGTGCCTCATATTTGGCCATGATATTAATTTAGCTTTGCATCCGGGAGATCTTAATATTCTACCAAGTTTGACCCTTCCATCAATGTACATGTTATATGTCACTATAACCAGTGCATTACTTATACAGTATTGAACATTAAATATTTGAGCTCAATGCTCTTGCTTACCACCCCCACAACATCTGCAAAATTCCCTCGGGAGTACAAATGAAATTCAACTTTCTAAAATGGACCTATTGAGGTCAATTGACTCTGCACAGAAAAAGTTGTCAATTTGTGGTCGTTAAAGCTTTTGAGGTTATGCAAAGAATCAAGGCATCACGACATCACAACTGTTTCATTTTGACACCTTACATAATGAGCTAAATTTTTTAAACAAAGAAGCCCACCAACCTCTGTGTGACACGACAAAGTAGTCATCACACCATTTCTTGAAGTCTGGATAGTGTTTGGGATTGTGTCTATCACAGGCTTTCTTGAGGGTACCATGAAAGTGCTTCACATCCTGGTAATTTAAACAACGGTAAAGGGTTTTTAGGTGACAATTCTCTGTATATTTCAGGGGTGTGATGAGTGTCCACTTCAAATTAAAGCTGAAAACAGCTAGCACCAAGCTGAAATGTAAGAGGTCCCAAACGTTTGTACAGACCCGGTGCACCAAAAAAGCTGAAATTCAGGGTCGACATCTACAAAAAAAAGCTGAAATCAACTCAAACGCTGAATTCTCACACCTCTGATATTTCCATTTCACTGAAGTTGTAAAAGGTGTGAGGAAGATAACCTTGAACTTCTTTAATAAGTGAAAAAATTCACGTCTGTATCTCACATTTTCCTCAAGTTACCTCTTCATCCAAGTAATAGGGAGTCAGATCTGTCCCTCCTCCAAACCACCACTGTGTCTCGTCCTCCTGCTCTACCTCAAAGTAACGATAGTTGAAATGAAGGGTTGGCACCATGGGATTGCGCTGTGAAAATAACACATTTGTGTGGGATAATTGTCATGACCCTTAAAACATGGGTGTCACAAAGGGTTTTTCCAGGGGGACAGGGCGAAGCACTCAATGGTTCAAAATGATTTTAAAGAATGAAAAGCTTAAGGGATGATTTTGAGCAAATTGGTGATATTTTATTTCCCTTCATCCCTTTTTTATCCGTTTTTCCCCTTTGTCTTTTCTTAGGGGGGTGCCCCTTACAAGAACACTTTTTTCAAAAGAACACTTTAAATTTAACACTTGTCACTTAAATGCAGATTTATTCTCAATAGCATTTTTCTAAAAAAAAAACCAATTTCGTTAAATAGTGATCATTTCAGTATTTTTGGGGGGAGGGAAAAACCTGGATGATGGCTGCAAGAGAGCCCTTTTTGCCCTGATTAGAAAAAATTGCATTTCCATGTACCCCCCATATCATATGTACCATCTGCTTCTGAGGGGTGACCATTTTTGCAAACCTACGCTCTCCACCATCTTTGCTTTTTATCTCTTGATGACAATCCACTTCTTTGTTATCATTGACTGTTCAAACCAAACAGAAAAAATTTAATGTTCCTCTTACACCCAGGAATTTCATGCTACCAAACCGGACTTTGAACCCATATTGACCCAGTGCCCCCCCCAAAAAAAATCACATGAAACCAAAGCTGGGAAAGAGAGCAAAGCTTCTGAACACGCACTACCACTGTACATTAAGCAACCACTAAACCCAGGGAACCTGCTGCACTGCTAAAAATAGAATAAACCGACAGAGCATTTCTCATCATGGGAATTTCCCAACAGTGCATGTAATGTATGCCGCGCCTGTCTGTGAGCATGGAGTAGATAAAACAGATGTACATGTACAGGCAGTGAATGTAAAGGACATCTTAGCCCTGTCAGAATTACCACACAGACACAGAAAACTGCGCTGGATCTTGGCAGAACCTTTTTTTCAACACTGTATCATAAAGAAAACTCACCAGGTAAATATGATATTTGCAATGTTCACTGAATGATAGCGTGTGCATGTCCCTGTAAGCTACTGCAAAATACATGTACATGTATATACCCATAAATCAAGGGCAGGGGGCATTCGCTCTTCAGGAGAAGGCCTACTGATAAAACACTGGAAGGGAAAGACACTTAATGTTGGGGTCAAAAAAGAAACTTTGGGGGAGGTGGACTGATGCAGTTCTCATGATTGATGATTAGCCTGGGTACTGTTGGTTATGCCCATATGTACGTACATGTACTTGCGGGACTGTTTATGATATCGAGGTATATACATGTAAGCGACGTGAAGTCGCAGTGAGTTATCGGTACGGAGTGGCATTCTCATTAACAACAGAAAACAACTTCATCTGTATCATTTTGTATGACGTAGTTCTCATCATGGATGTTCAGCCTGGGTACTGTTGGCGATGTGAGAAAGTCCTTCCTCAACATCCAGTGCCTTGTACTTTCTGCACACTGGCCAAGTACTGCTCTACGTCATGCCGACACAGAGATGAAGTCAGACATACCAGAATTGAGTGCCAACTCTACAGGCCAAAGAAATGTGAGGCTTGCGGCAGAACTGCTCCCACTCTTAGTGAGGTAAACATACACGAAAGTTGTAACTTCTGATCAACATGACCATAAGTGAAACCTGCATGATCACTCAATCATTAATTAAGTGCCCTATTGAACGATTCCACACAAAAATGATGTCAATTCTGTTTTGTCACCGTTTCTTTCTTATCCCTTGCTATGGAACACTATTTTAAAAAAAGAAAAGTTGGCATATTGTGGCATGAGCATATTCACTGATCACGCCTAACACAAGTGTATAATTAAACTCGACCCACTATTATTGAAATAGACTGTGTTTTCTTTTCTTTAATACAAAAGAAGTAAGTCAATATAAAAAAAATAGGCCTATGATATCATTGCCTCAGAAACAAATGAATTTGTTATTTCTACAATATCTTTTCGTTCATTTTTTCCCAGTGTGCTGGATGCAACAATTCTTGGTACTGCAATAAAGAGTGTCAAATGAGAGCTTGGCCGACTCATAAAAAATCATGTGGTCGTGTCAAGGATGTCATAAAAGCACTATCAATCAATCTTGCTGAAAGAAACTCAATGCTAGCTTGTAACACGAGAGTCGCTGATTCAAGTCATTATTTTGGTAATACACTGGCCGAAGACTTCCTTAAACTAGACAACAATGAGTGGTCTGATGGAATAATGCCTGACCAGTTGACGAGGGACTTCCATGTGTTATCTGCTGGTTGTGGAGACTTGCGCAGCACGGTTTTGACAGCCGGTTCCCTACCTGAAAGATACCAGGGAAAACTCCACATCACCCTCAACGACTATGACCCTTTCGTGATGGCCAGAAATGTCTTCTTTCTCTTCGTGTTGGTCCGCTTTGCAGACGATGACAACATTGCTTCCAGTTTGACGACCATCTGGTACTCACTCCATCTTCCAAAGAGAGAGTATGACCTGATCAAAACAAGCTTGGCTGAACTGATTCAGATGAATGCTCAACAACTCTACGATGCCACTAAGGGACTTGTGAGAGTCCTGGAAGATGATCTTAGGTATCTCCGCCAAGTCTGGGAAAGATGGCAATCACTGGAATGCCAACGAGACGGGAGAACCTCAATCGATCTCAGAGAGCAACGAAGGAGACGCTTTGAGCCAGATGTAGTGAAAGAAGGTGTGTCCATTTACCTAGCTCGTCTCTCGCCACCCGACCAGCTGTTCATGAAGGGATGGTATGACCACGCTTTGTTTGTCCCCACTAAAACTGCAAAAGAAGAGCGATACCCATTTGACAATCCAACACTTACTGGACGTGCTGCAAAATTTGAGAACAGTTATGACATAACGGCACCAGAAGATTGTTCATTCGTGTACTGCATCAAGGACTCATCATTTCCTTTTAAAGTCTGGGACTGTTTAAGAGTTCGCGAACACAGCGCTGGTTCCCACTCTTCTCCAATGGTGATGTACCACAAATATGTGACCAACCTTCTTCAGAAGGTCCAGCGACTCATCCTTCACGCAAGATTACATGTCCATATTTCCCTGGCCAACTGTTTAGACTTTCCTAATTTTCATCAAACGTTGAACATGCCCAACTATGACCGCATCTTTACCTCTAACCTTGCTGATTATGTTGGATTTGCCAAACTCCTGCAGACATTTAAGCCACTGCTGAATGCCAGCAACAACTACTCAGCCATTGTCACTGAGAGCATGAACTGGATTGAGATCGTACCAGGAGCAAACATCCATGATTGGACGTTAACGCCCGAGTTTAGGGAGTGCATCCTAGCTTTGAAATTAGACACTGGTAGCGAGGTTGATGGATTCAATGGCTTAAGGGAGTACTTCAACAATACTCTCTACTTTCTCATGTATCTCCGTGGAGACCTCATGGCAGGTGGACTAGGTATACCAACACTCAAGAAAGTACCCTCCTTTGCTGATGTCAAGAAGTATAGCGGCCTCCAAATGCGGGACTTCAGAAACGGACTGAACAAACTTGTCCCATTCCAGTACCGGGTGAATGCAAGGGACCTCACCATGATGAATGGATATGACAGAGCTGTGGAGTGGTGTCTACCTGGAAGTGAGGCTTAACTGGGTTAACTCTATCCTACTAGTAGTTTGAGGGGAGAAAGACAGACCAAAATCAAAGAATGTGCATCAAAACGATGGCACTTTGGATGGTACATGTATGCCCCAGCTCCCAAATAAATCAAGGAACAGTGAAACAAGATGCAAGATTTCAGCCATTTTACAAAGTACCGTATATCGAGCCCAAGTGTGAAAGTTGCATTTATGGACATTTTAAATACTTGAATTCTAAAAGAATTGTACATGTGTTTATGTTATTGCCATCATCATTTTTACATGTAACAGTCAATATTATGTGAGAAAAAATTCATTCACAATAGAGTACCGAAGTGAATACGTCACGCGCACAATAAGTGTGTAAAAGGCACGAGCGCGTGAACCAGTGCGTGAACCAACACGCGCGTGTACTCCATTCATTTGTACTGCACTTTCTGGTTCACAGTGACGTCACACTTCGGTACTCTATTAAATGCATATAAGGCCAAACAAAAAATTAGTTGTGTTTCCTATTACACTGAGAAAAAAAGGGAGGTTGGTTGGGTAAAATATTTTTTTTGCTCTAAATTTTTATAGCCCAAAATATTAGGGTCAGATGATGGTCTGTATTTTTTGGGGGGGGGCACATATATTTGTAATAGGTACTAAGTCAGTGTCAGATTCATACTGTACACATACATGTCAATACTACACATCGCCGGAGGAAACTTGACAAATAAAAGAATGGTATTCATATTGCAAAACCAATCTTGAGGAAAGTCTGTTCAATTTTAAAGACTATGTTACTTTCCAAATCCACAAATGCCAAAATAACATCTTTTGTGTTTTTAAATCTCCATGCAAATGTAGGCTGTTGTTTAAATTATTCCCATGTAACAGGTGTTACCTATAATTAAAAACACCGTACATTGCAATATTACATACATTACACATAAATTAGTCTAGAATACCAATAAACACATAATGCATGACTCCCCTTATGGTACTGTAACCATGGAAACACTGCCCACTTGAACAAACATATGCAACATGTTTACCTGCGCACACCCTTCAAAGGCAAACAGAGTGACAAAACCTCAGGAACCGATTGGTATTTCTCATGAGTGGAATTTCCGCCTTTGTCTGGAGATGAGCAATACAGCAAAAATCTTTGTATCACACCAGACTAACTGAGCCAGAGCAGGAAGTGATGAATGCAAACCACAAGTGTCTCTCTTTTACTGCAAGCAAATTGGTTTTTCTACAGCAAGCTGAGAGGATTTAGGTAAGTTTTTCAAGAAAAATTTAAAAAACACACCAGGTACAATATTTATTTCAGAATAAGGTTGGGAAAATTAGAGAGTACATATATATAGCAAGTGTGTGGCTCTCTTTGAATTGGTATTTTAAAAGAAGCTGTTTGATGGCATGTATCACTCGGATGCATTTTCGAATCCCTCAAGGTGCACTTTTCAAAGCAATGTATGAGGTTTTTGTCAAATCTAAAAACCATCTCAAGTTATGATCTTTAATACTTCTCACTGACATCATAAAAGGTCACAATATGCAGTATCCGTCAGCCAGCTTACTGCCAACAAAACTAAACAAGGCTTAAAACAATGGCCAAGTTGAAATCAAGTCTACTATTCCTGTGTCTAAATGTTGTTTCTATACAATTCCTTTTCAGTGTTTGTCATGGATGTACAACGTGGACACTGCTGGCGTTGTGAAAAAGTTCTCCCACAGCAGATTTTGGCTTGCCATCGTTGCAACATGGCAGTGTACTGCAGTAAAGCCTGCAGGAGACGAGACGAGGCAAGACACAGCTCTGTGGAGTGCCAGATGTTTAGTCCACGACAGTGTGAAAATTGTGCAAAAACTGCTCCAAGTATGAGTGAGGTACTGTACATGTCTGGTACCCTTTTCATTTTCCCAATTAAACCCCCATACCCTTTGGCATGGGATCCTATCTCATGTCCCAAATCAGCCCTTACAGTATATTTCTTTGGTATCTCCATGACAACCACTTGTACATGACATGCATGTAAAACAGTAACTTACACCCATCCTTTTACTAGATTTGGAAGGGCGTGGCAAGGTTGAGGTTGGTTTTATGAAATTCCATGTCTACAAGTTCATCAATGTGATACAGCACTGGCTGGTTGATGTAACGAAATAAATTTTGTAGGATAGTTTCAAATGGCAAATGGTTAATTGATATTCGTTTGTTTTTTTTTCCTTTCAGTGTGCAGGGTGCAACGATGCTTGGTACTGCAACAGAAACTGCCAACGGACTGACTGGAAATCCCATAAGTCAATATGCAAGGAAGTTCAGGCTTCAATAAGATCTTTGGCAGAGACACTTCAGCTGAGACGCTCTCCAACTGACAAGACAAGTCGTGATTTTCCTTATTACATAGGGAACATCATTGCCATAGACCTCCTTCAACTTGACAACAATGAAATGAAAGCTGAGGTGATGGGTGATGAATTGTCTAGAGATTACCATATTCTATCTGTTGGTTGTGGAAACCTGCGTAACATGGTTCTGACAGCTGGCTCCCTACCTGACGACTACCAGGGAAAACTCCACATCACCCTCAATGACTATGACCCTTTTGTGATGGCCAGAAATGTCCTGCTTCTCTTCATGTTGGTCCGCTTTGCAGATGATGACGACGTTGCTTCCAGTTTGACGACCATCTGGTACTCACTCCATCTTCCAAAGAGAGAGTACGACATGATCAAGACTAGCTTAGATGAACTCATTCAGAGTAATGCTAAGCAGATCTTTGATGCCACCAAAGGTCTGGTGAAAGTCCTGGAAGAAGACCTAAGCCCTATGAGGAAGATTTGGGAACAGTGGCAGTCAATGGAATGCCAACGAGACAAGAGTAACTCAATAAATCTTGGAGAACAAAGGAAGGTGCTTTTTCAGAATGCAAATATGGCACACAATTTATCTAACTATTTTGAAGAGTTGTCTGGGACCGAGAAAAAAATGGTGAAACATTGGTTTGACCATGCACTGTTTTTCCCAACTGAAAGAAAACAGAAAAACATCCCATTTGACAATCCAACTCTAACTGGGCGTCAACCTGCATTTACAGCCACATCCCAAAGTCCAGAAGAGTCCCCATTCGTCTACAGTGTCAACACAGATGCATTCCCTTTCAGCGAGTGGGACTGTTTGAGGGTGCGAGAGAAAACTGTAGGATCCCTCTCATCTCCAATGGTGATGTACCACAACTACGTGACAGACCTTCTCCAAAAAGTGAAGACTCTCATCCTTCAGGGAAGGATCCATGTCCATGTCTCCCTGGCCAACTGTCTGGACTTTCCCAAACACCACCAAAGCCTGAACATGCCAAACTATGACCGAATCTTCACCTCCAACCTTGCTGACTATCTTGGAATCCCGACGCTTCTCCAGACTTTTAAACCTCTACTCAATACCAACAACAGCTTCTCGGTTATAATCGTTACGTACATGAACTGGCTTGGATTAATACCACGAGCTGACACAAAGATAATGTTCATGCTTCAGTTCATGTCCGACAAATTCCAAGAATGTTCAGCTGCATTTTGCGAAGACACCAAAAAGGACTTTCCACTTGGCCCAAACAACTTACGAGAGTATCACAACAACACCTCCTACTTTCTCCAATATCTACGAGCAGACATCATGGCAGGGGGGCGTGGGATTCCGCCACTTGAAGACGTCCCGTCGTTTGGTAGTGTGAAAGGTTACAACGGCATGCAAATGCGTAACTTCAGGAAGGGGATGAATAAACTTATCCCTTTCATGTATCGTAAGAATGCCAGGGACCTTACAATGATGAATGGGAGTGACCGTGCTGTTGAGTGGTGCCTGCCTGAAAGTCAGGCTTAATGACCCCAACTCCATCAATGCAGTTTGCCTAAATGTACAGCTAGGAGCTTCCCATTTCAAGTCAAATTTGAAATGAGTAGAGAACCAATTACACATTCTTTATGCTTGGGTAATCATGCCACATCTAAATCAACAACGGCAGAAAAATGACAACTTTGAAATAATTACCCAAATAACTAGTTGACTTTGTAGGTCAGTAAAAGCTACACGTAACCTTGCTCATCCATTACAAATCCTTTATATCAACTCCTATAAACTGTAGGAAGAGTTTGACTTCTCCCCATTCAAATTTTCTTTTTGCGGTGTTAAGACAAATATGCTAAGAACACTCCAACATTTCAACCAAACTAGTTTGACTTCTTGTAAATGATAAATAGGGTAGAGTCAAACAATACTACAGGTGCGGATCAGGGGGGGTTTGATGGGTGGAAACCCCCACCCCTGCTCTGAATCCACCCCCCACCCCTGCCTGAAAATAATAGAAAATAACTAAAGTCAGTGCACCAATACAATTGTAAACAATGTAGGTCATGTTTAATGGTTTCCACTTGTCTCCCAAAATGAGACAGTAATCCAGCCTGATCATCACCCCCCCAGAAAAATGTCCTGGATCCGCCCCTGTACTCCCAAAATCTCCTCTTTTTTTTTGTGCTGAGTGGCGTCACATTGGTCCATCTTGGAATTTAGTACAAAATTTCTACAACTTCCACTCAGTCAAAAGATGCCAAAAGAAACACTTGCAAATTGAGAGAATTTAACATCAATAGAAAAATTGAATACTTTTAAAAAACCTTAGGAACTGCCCCAGATATTCCACAAGCTCTTCTTCATATGTACTGGAAGTTATGCAGAGTCTGTGATGGGATTTCAGAGCTATGGCTGCAGCTACCTCGGTGGCACACGTGCTTCATCTGAAGACCTACCGGTAGACTTAGCCCAAGAGGTAAGATTCATAGGTGGCCTGCGCTTCAATAAACAAAATTACCACTTACCGGATGAATCACGCAGCTTACTCCAGCAGCAAAGAAAGGCAGCATCTTTCCTTCCTCAAGTTTCTTCCCTCTGTAAATCAAGATGATTGAGTATTTATCAATTTTACAAAACCCTGATAAATCATCGAAATCTGTACACTACATAAATCTGAAGCAAATTTGTACATATTTCCAAACTTGGCATATTGATATTAGATATTTCTAGATACATATGTACATGTACTGTTATTTAATTTTCCAGGTACAAATATTTCTACTTCTAGGAACATATATGAACATGAATATAGTATGATATGGGTTCTGGAATGGTTTTAAGGTTTTAATAACATTAATTGTTTCTTTTACGAAATTGTTCTTTGTATTTCTGCACGTAAATGTTATAAGCTGTTTTGGGGTTATACTGAATCATCAAAGACAATTTTAAATTCCCCAGCTGTGATAATAAAGTTTTTATCTGTTTCTCATAAGTTTTTCGTTAATGTCTACAAGAATAAAAAATGACTCTTAGACATACAGATACTGTGAAATAAGAATTCGACTAAATTATAAAGTCATCAACCAAAGATAGAAAGGTAGTACCAAGAATTAGTTGCCGTGTGACTTGAGAAAAATTGTTACATGAGAAAAATTGCGCTATGGGGGACTTGTTTCAAATAAATTCAAATTAAAAGTGACAGAAATCTTACAATTCAACAAGTAAATTATTCATTAGAAAAGTTAAAAGGAATAGAAATTTTAAACAGGGCAAGAGGTACTGTTCATCTCTTAAATCTTGCTAAGCCATTACTGCATGTGACTTTGTATATGGTTTGTTCATCAACAATCTGCTGGTCCGTACGACTGAATTTTCAGATATTTGATCAAATTGAAGGTCAAATATTCTAAAACTTAATAATTTGAATTGACTCAGCCCTCTTTGGAGTGCAAACGGTATGATGGAGTGTCTACTGCATATTACAATCTGTAGGGTATTTGTATGGGCACTGGACAGATTAGAATGAGCCTTACGTATTGGATTTCTGACCCCAAACTCCCTTTTTTATCAGCAATCCACCTTGAACAGATGCACCCCCCATCAATTTGCAAAGTGCCATGATGGTGGGGCTTTTCATTTCGCTGGTAACTGCAACATATGCATTTCATAGTTGTTAGTGAGCCAGTGAAGTGCAGTTCCCACAAAAGAGCCTCATTGCTTTGAAATTGCGTCCTCTCTTGGTCCATCTCAGGACTGAGGACTCATAGAGCAGAGCAGATACTCAGTTGAATATCTAACTCTATATTTCTCATAAAAAAAATTATTTAAGATTTAAATCTAATGGCGTTAAGCTTTGGAATAAATCTTCTGCTTGGCTGACTAAAACCTTTTGAGTTTGGATAGTCTGCCTACCTTGATTTCATCTGAGCCACGGCTTTTGATGTCAGATTGCCACTGACAACCGAGACATTGACACCTGCCCTCTCAAATACCCTGCCATCTTCCATGAGGCAGGTCACCCCACCCCCACCCTACAAAAAAAAAAACGAGATGTGTTATATCACAAATACATTTAAGATGACGACCAGCATTCTCCTAATAATGGACAGAGTGAACTGTTCTTTTCAGAACCTCAGTAGCACACAAGACAGATTTACATGGTGTTTTCACAAACGTTAGCCTGATAGAGGTTGTGTGTTTCTGGCTTTATTTTAATTTACTTACAACAAATGCTAGACAGGTTTGCTCCAGTCTATCTCAGTGATACAAAACTCTGCCTTCTGATGATGTGTTAACTCTTATTACGGCATCAACCATGCAAACCTCCAGATTATATTTAACCAACCCAGGTACGTTTTAGAATTTGCTAAATACATGTGCGAAATTTTTAACATTTTATAATTTTTTGTTCTAATCTTGTCTCAAAATTTGTATGATAAATTTCATGTCGCTATTAAACCAGCAGCGTGGCTGGGGGGCGTGGCTGGGGGTAATTGCCCCCCATGAAAAATTGTCGTTCCCCACCAGTTGCCTTCCCACTTACATTTTGGAAACAGAAATATTTTCAAACTCATGTTCTTAGCCCTGCAGACGCCATTATTGATTTGGCCTACACAAATTGCAAAATCTAAATGTAACATCAAGTCAGCCCTCCCCCTTTAGCGTGAAGCCCCAAATACCCCCCCCCCTTCAGAATCCTGGCTATGCCGCTGTATTAAACCTTTCTATAAATTCTGCCCAAAAGCACATGCAAAATGGGCTAATCTGATTAAGGAATATGTTGCAAGCAAAGTCCAAGGGAGACACGGATGTTAAGAAAATATTTTTATTATATGATTCATCTTACTGCTTGTCTTTCCCATCTGTCAACGAGAAACTTCTTCTCGCCCTCAATTTCTTCAAGAGTTCTACAGAGGTCAGCCTGTATAAACAAAAAAGTGAATACATTTTTGATTTGTAACTGTACGTAGTGGTTACAGATGTATGTTCTCCTGTAGAAAATAATAAAAGAGGGCGTGTTTTAAATGAAACTGACACTCCTTTGGGTATGAACTCAACGCAGAGGCATGCAAGCTATGAGCATTTGGCATAGAGCACACTGCGAATTTATTCTGGAATGCATGGTCTTCGCGTGCACGCCAAACATATGCAAGAACCTGGTTGGAAAACTTTCGACAGTGAAGGTGCACTTCAACTCAGGGCGTATAACCCTGGTAGTAATGATTTGGTAAAATATTATCTTGGGACAACTTGATTAGAAAACTTACACTTGTCTAGACTTATTCCAGTCCCTCCATATAAATGAAGGGAACAGTGTTGAAGAATTCTGGCATTCACAAGTAGATTTCCATACCTCGGATGCGTGTCCATGTACAGTGTAAGGTTAACTGTTCAGATTCAAGGCTATCTGTTCATGCACTGGCTGGATGCTTTCACAAACTCACCTGAATTTTCATGATGAAGAGTTCCATTCTGGATTTCATAGCTGTACTTCTCTGAAAACAGACACACATCACTTTGTTATTAAGACTGACGGCATACTTCACATTAAGTGCAAGTCTGATGAAGACTTTTGGTTCAGAAATACAGTTTGACATTATTCTGTTCAGAAACACACAATGCAATACTTATGGCCGTGACTGTCAAAACCTTATAAAAGTGTCTAGAAACAACATCCAAACTGACGAGTTGAGCCATCATTGTGTCATAATTGCGAGAGAAATACCCTCTCTGCAATAACCTTCAATCACTAAAACCAAGACGGCATAACAATGAACAACTTCTTCATCTGAAGTGTCTGAATAAAATCATTGGTAAATCCAGAAATTTGATCAACACAAAAAACTCCTGTTGGATTTTATTCTGGTAAAGTACAAACCTCGAGGGTGGAGGCAGGCGTAATTGTTTCGGCCATAAATTTGTTAGCACTAGGAGCTGGAAAATGCAACGTCTTGGCCAAAACTGGACTTTTCTGAGATGCAAGAAGAAGAAACTTTTACACATTAAAACTGTAAGTACTTGTTTTCATTTTAATGTCTGAATAGGAAGATGATTCTGCACTTCTTGATTTTTTCTTACAAAGTGAATGCATCAAAATTGTTGACACAAAGGAAATCCAGCAAAAACTACATACCAATTGTTCTCTTATACAATGAAAATTAATTTGTGTTTAGTTTTGTCACTTAACGTTCCTTTAAGTAGCACTAGGTAGGGGTCAAGTTTTGGGCTTACTTGATGCCGGTAGGTCCCATAGCAGACAAAACCACCCACAACGGAGCCAACAACCACAGGCTTCAAACTGAAATCGATCACAAACTAGACTGATTGAGAAAAAACATTGAGAAACAGCCTAATACTAAGTGCATTACACTGCAGGAGCTCTTTGACAATAACATTGAACAAACATGACAACCTTGCAAGTTGTTGACGTTTCTACTTCAGAAATTGTGATTCAGTCACTGACTGTCTAATATGGAATTCTCCCCACGATTTCAGTGTTTTACATTACATTTACACACAGTAACTAGTAAAATTAAGCCTAGGCTGCATAAAATGGATTGTCATGTCCCACACGGAGGCCAGACCATATGTCTACGGGCCAGACTACTTCCATGACTTCCTGTTATACATAATAATTATGATACAATGCAAAATCAAGCACATAAACGTCGTAACCACAAACCTTGACTTGAGAAGAGAGCGAAAGGTGAATGATGCCATGATGAGAAAGACACAACTTCCTCAGCTTCGAAAGAGGACAATTACGACAAGAAGTGGTGAAATCAAAACAATGCTGCCCGCATTCCGGTTTCCGAAATTCGTTGTAGCAGACGACTCTCGGACTTTGAAGCGCAGCGTAATCGTGCGTCGCGTTTGGAGTTAAGTCGTCGAGCGCCCTCTACAACGTCCGTGAAAACAGTAGACTCGTTTTAGGTCCCTACAGAGTTTGGTTTCAAGTTTGGTTTACTTATTTTCTTCAGCATTTTGTTCATTAGACCAATGGTGCAGCCATGGGGGAGGGGTCACATGCCCCTAGAAAGTCCAAGCGGCCCCCCCCCCACTAAAAATGGGATGAGTGGATATTGAACTAGGCTAATACTTGCCCCCAAAACCACACCCCTGAAAGCTGATGCTCTCCCCCCCCATAAGATGCTCGTGCCTCCTCGTGCCCCCACAAGTAAAATCCACTGCATTAGACCTGTCGACAGGTGGTGTGGAAGTTAGATCTTTCCCATAATTGTCCTTTTCTGCAACTACATGTATATACGTGTACAACCAAACAAAATTAAGACAAAGATAGCGCAGTATATTCACATCAAATTGTCCGCAACTACCATGTAGGCCTACACTGCTAAACTCGTGATCTCGGCCTCGATCGGCGACTGTCATGAGCAGGGAATCATGCCGGCCTGCTCCATGCCTAAAGCTCGATGTAATGGCAGGTGGGGTCATTCAGTGACAAAACACATCTACATCTGCCTTGTACCAAGATCTAATCGGATCTGTCTGGCTTTCCAAACTCACTATACACACTCCACATGCATCGGATTTCCACGTTTGATAAACCAGTGGATTCCAATCATTCACGTTATTCAAAATGTGTTGGCAACATTGTGCAAAATGGCCTTAAAATGTTGCTGCAATTAAAAGCTGTGACAACCTTAACCAGCGACAGCTGTCAGCTGAAAAGAACCATTCTAACACGTATATGGATAACAAAAAGACCGGTCTGGCATATGACGCAGTTGAAATTTGGGCTCTTGGGTGAAACTTGGAAGAAGTTTACGAATTTCGACAAAGAGGAAATGGATACACAGTAACCTCCAACTTCAATTTCAAATTCAGACTTTGATCAAAAGTATATAAAAATTTGAGTCTTATACAATGTTTCACTTACGGATGAAAAACAGGAGGAAAATGAAGGTGGAAGGTGTTAAACTGAATTGGGCAGCAACACAGCCGGAATATGCCGCTGATCGCTTCTGCATGTCTATATCGCCAGCGATCACGTTGCCAATTCGTTGAAGTTCGTCTCCAAAGTAATGATGCTCTCAACTGCAGAGTGAAAATTTCAGCGTTTATTCCTGAGATCGTTAGGCCAAGTTGACAGCCGGAGACAGTAGCTGAATTCTATGTGTTCTGTTTGTTGTAAAACGTGAGTGCCACCACCAACCATCTACGGATTCAAATTGCACCACTGTATGCACACTGATAATTTCAAAGTCTCGCGCGTAAATGAATGCCCCTTGGAAGCAGACGTCCACTTGATTTCTTGAAGACAAAACTCGCCATTGCGTTCGTCCGCGCCAAATTTGTCGTCCGACTTCGTTACACTGTCAAAACTCTCGAATTAACAAAAAATATTTAAATACTTACAGCAAATATGTTTTGCTTCTTTTATCACTCGTTATATTTTTATAAACAAATTAAGCGTGCGAATAGTCTCAACAAAAAGTGTGCACTATTTTCTTTGAGGAGTGATATTAAAATGAGAGCGGCTTTGCAGGTCACGCATGCTAGCAAAAATGCTATTGGTCAGAAGTGAATGTAACAGGCTGGTGCCGGATATTAAAGTCGTTATGGCTTTTCGATAACATTGTTCTCCGTCCAAATTAAAGTGCTTGCTATGCAGCAATACATACACAATGAACAGATTAAATAACGATTTATTAAAGCTAAAAGTCTCGGTAAAGTAAAATTATTACTTTTTTAGTTCAAGTCAGTTAAACTTCGGAAGAGGGTCTTAAATTATTTTACCAAGGAAAGGAGAACAGGGCAATTTCCCCCGACAAGAAATGGATACAACACTGCCATATCAAATTCTGAAATAAAAAGGAGTACAATGCCTCTACAAATGGAATCGGACTCTCCTTGTAAATCTTTGTAAACATTTGAAGGAAGTAAGTCAAGAAATAACAATACACAGTGAAAGAAAACAATTATTGAATCGATTTATTTTTTATCCAAAACGGCCATAACCGGGCAAGGTTTCAACATGGCTAAGGGGGAAAAACAAAAATCCTGGAATTTTTTAAAATGCACTCTGTGCAAGTAGGCCTACAGATCCTTGGTAAGAAAACTTATAAAATTCTTTGTTTCCCATTCGGAGTGGTTTTTTGTTGTGTGTCCACATATCACCAGATAAATGGAAGTAAGGAAATCTGAGTGATATGGCTACAGCTGACGCCCGTGGAAGCCAATGGATGGAGGATGTAGCCATTTCCTATTGACAGGTATGGTAATCCAAAAAAAATATTTCACAAAATCTTGGTAAGAATTTCCATGATTTCAGAAAACCAGTTACTTTCTATTTTTTTTAAAATAGTACAGTTAACATGAAATTAGGCTCATTATTTCTTTAATTACCCTGCGTATAATTACATAATCAGTAGCAGCAATCAGAAATATAAGTAGAGAAACTAAGCACTATTACAACTGAATACATTATGTGGAATTTAAAATCAGTACAAAATGCTGGACTAATATACACAAGATTATAATTTAATTCCTGAAGTACATGTATAAAAAGTACAGCAGTAAATCTATCAATAACCAAATTTCCTTTTGAATCATATCATTCTGGTATTCAGACTTCGCAAAATTAAAAGGTTACAAAGATTACTTAAAATCACCGTCATTGGCACTTGAAACACTCACTGTCTACTTTCAAAACAAGAAAAACTTCAAAAATACACCAAACACCATGAACTTGGAAAGTAATGCAAATTTAAACAGCAGACTTTGGAATTTCTGCCAGAAGAACATGCAAAAAACAGCATCTACCTAGATTTTACTTCCTCTTTGGCATAATAATGAATGATTTTTACTGAAACTTACCTATGTTAAATCCATTTTGGTTTTGATTAACAATTTCCAGCAGTCTTGTCAAGACTATTCTTTGAATGAATACGTAATCACAACTGATTTTTAAATCCTCCATAAATATTTCTAAAAGCCAAATTTGAATTTTGTCTTGACAAGTAAATATTATCACAGTTTTTAAAATGCAATTAGAAATTTCTTGTAAAAATATAATCAGTCTTGTTTCGTTTCAGTTTTCTTCTCAGACTTACAGGTGAATTACAATTTCATAAATAGTATGACTTCATTGGAGCAACAATTTCAGGCACAAGAAATTAGTCATTGTAATGACAGAATACAAAGAAATTTGAACACTGAAAATGAATCAACTTATGGCTTTTCGATCTGCACGTATCAAGTTATGTACAAAAGTACCACACCTTATAAAAATTGGATCTATAAATGCCTCCAAACAGATCATTAGATTGGTATTTTTTCATCTGGCACACTACACATACTGATTAAAAATCTTATTTCTCCAAATATACAGATAATTCATCTCCTTAAAATAGAACTGTAAAAAAGGGCCCGTAATCAATAGTAATCCCTGTTTTGATAAAAAATTACATTACAGAAACTTGGAGTACATCTGATTTGTTCACGTCAAGATATTTCACAGTTAAAATCAAACAAATTAGAATTGCTGGAAATTGTCATGAAAAACTAGAAGCAAAACTATAGCAAAGCCACACAGATCTCAGAGGAACTAAATATACATTGGCAACCCATCACCGCGGTAATGAAAAATACATTGCCATGGTGATAATCCATGGGGGAAAAATCATAAAAAGGCTTTACTTTTGCAACAGATAACTTATGAGAGATGAGAAAATCAAGATGGTACTTGTCCCAGCAACACATGTGGCACCCCCGGTCACCGTGTAATCATAGGTGATTTTCCTGGTCTTTGACTCCAGCCACTTCCTAGCTGACTGAGTGGTCAGCAATGGCTCAACCAAAGTGCGGACTTGCAAGTTGTAGCTGTTCAACCAGTCAATCTGTGCAACATTTTCAAAGGAAACTGACATTCAATCGTCAACATTTACCAAAAATTACACTTTAATACAAAGGGTAAACCTCAACATTTACAACTTTACATCTCCTCAATGTGACAATATCCACATGTAAAGTGAGTCTACATTGGTGCATTTTGGTAAGAAAGGACCGATTTGAAGATTTCAGAAAAAGCTTGTTTGAAATGCTCAATATGAAATCAAGCAATACTTTTTAAAACGCTTCATACTCACTGCAGTAGGCATGACAATTCAGAGCAATGCACCATCACTGAATTACCAGGTGCCAACTTTTCCCCATAATGCTTTGCACATTTGTTGATTATGGAATCTAGTGGCAATGTAGTGACAGCAAATTTGTGGAGACTTGCAATGAAGTGTTTTTCTTTTCTTGCTCGACAAACAGCGAACTGGTTTTTGGACTTACCTGGCGTGGACTCAGCTTATTGTAGTAGATCAAACGGGGTTCAAAGGGCACCAAGCTCACCATTTCGAAGTTCATGAAGGTGTAGTCCTCAAAGCGATTCTGTACAGGAAAAGAAACCAATTTGATGATTAAATGACCCGTACACCAGCTCCCCTTTATTGGTAAACGTAAACTTGAGAGATGAGATCTTTTTATCAAAGATTTGTGGTCGTAAACTATCTCTATACATAAAGACATTGTCAACATTTGAAGATGTCCCCAAGTTTCTGGCAAGAAGTCCTCACTGAGTGTGTAAGGTGGTTGGGTAGACAGGCAAGTGGTCAGGTAGTCAGTCAGAAGGTGGGATTTTGGGAGGAGCTGCTTGAATTTGAGGGCTATCTGGCCCGAGCGGAACCAAGAGAGAATGCCATTTTCCCAGCAACGAAGGCTCCTTTGGTGGGAACTGCACATCACTGGTTCACAAATTACTCTGAAAAACATGCATTACGGTTGCATCACTTCCAACCAAATGAGCACTCCTGACCAACATGACTCTCTCTGCTCAAGGCAGACAGACCTCTTTCGGTTCCACTTCAACCAATGTACGCGCACTTCCGACTTAAGTGACATGTGATATGCATCAGAAGCTAAGTGCGATGTGCACCAGTTAATGTCCATCGCCCAACCATCAGAGACCCAGTGGACGTGTTCTGTGTCCTGTCCACTTACTTCCAGTCTGATCTGCTTGACATGCATAACGTTCTGTATTCGCAGACCAAACTGATCCCGCAGGTCTGTGTCGTCAACATGGTAATAACCAGGTCCTGGGTAGAAAGAAAAAAATGTGAGAAAGGGAGAGAAAATGAAATGCCAGTCATGATACTGGTAATCATGCACATTGCAGATAAGGCTGCAGGATAAGGCACACTCAGGCAATGTTACTTCCATCCAACAATCAAAACAAATGCTGTTCAATAGCTCAATATGTTCAAGAACTCCATAGCTTCGAGAAGTACATGCAGTATATGATGTGCATTTATAACAATTAGCCAAATTTAACTTGACAGGGACAGCACAGAATAGAACTTTTTCCCATGATGTCATCATCGTGCCGGACTGCTACGTATTGC